GTATGCATAAACATGTCAACAATGCCCATATTTGGTCTTATATCAATATTCATGCGCAACCAGATTTTGCAACCGGTTTCAGTTTGGTCTGTCAACGAACGAAAGTTGTTATGTATTTACACTTAAATATATATTTAACGTGGGTAATAAATAAAATACCACACTCATTCTCGTTAACAGTCTGATTTCGTTAACACTCGTGAACTTTCTATGGTATCTGACCTCGCTTTCGCTAGGTCAGATACCATAGAAAGTCCACTCGTTTCGTAAAAATGGTATCTAACGAGAATGAGTGTAGTATTCTCTATATATGACGGCGGTCTGTAAATAATCGAGTCTGGACCAGACAATCCAGTGATTGATATCATGAGCATCGATCCACGCCATTGGGATCGATGACATGCATTAACCAAGTGAGCGAGCCTGACCATCCGATCCTGTTAGTCGCCTCTTACAACAAGCATAGTCGCCTTTTACGGCAAGCATGGATTGCTGAAGACGTATTCTACCCCGGATCTTCACGGGTCTACAGGTGGACCAACTTGTTGCATACAGGTGTATGGCACAAGTTGGTATGGTTCCTACTAGACGTCAACATAATGGCATTGCGCATGACACTACACTCCCGGGAACATTATCCCAAAACTGTGAGAATCGTAAAATCAAATTCAAAGAGGCAAGCAAATATTATAAAATATTTTCCGTTTTCAAATCTATCACGATATCATTACATCTTATATGATTAAGATATAAATAAATGCAATAAACTCCTCATTTGGTTGGGTAGTTTAGATCCTATCACGGTACTCAGTCTTCCGTATTTGGGCAAAGTAAGATTCATATCAATATATTATTACTGTTTAGTGGGGGAAATGTTTTCTTTGCAAGATGTAAATAACTTTTTTTAACGAATCAGCTTTCATGGATAGTTCGTTTAATCAGTACTCTATTTTCACAGCTTGTATTTATGCAATGCAGTAATGCGAACCATGCAAGAGAACTAAAACAGACGGGGTCTCGTATGTGATATTCCACAAAATAGAAAGGATGTTTTTAGCTTGTATATGTAATTACATTATCAGCATGAGCGCATTTCTTTAATTTTTGCTTACGTGTTTAGTAGATACCTATAAATAATTGAATATGGGCCCGACAATCTTGTGATTGATATTACGCGCAACGATCCATGGTACGTTGATAAGTCAGAAACTAAGCCATACCATTGGGCTTCGGGGGGTCAGACTTGGCTCATTGTGTAGTCAATGCACCCCTATTGTGGTACAGTCTGTCGTGGTGTGGCTGGAATATTGATAACTGTGGATATTGAAAACATGTTTTATTTTCAGAGGAAATATAACAAGTATTTATTCCTGTTGCTGGTTGCTAAGTCGGGTAGTGAGTCAGGCTCTGTGGGTTAGCTGATCGTGTGTCACCGTGCCCGGATCACACGGGTCCTTGATTAGTAATCTGTCATTGTGTTTTTCAAACCCAGACTCGATTGTTTGCAGATTGTCGTAATATACTTCTAACTACAGTGTTTTGTTTGTTTGTTTGTTTGTTTGTTTGTTTGTTGTTTAACGCCACAATCAGCATGAGATGGTAATGTGGCTGTTCACCTTCTAGCGCCTCACAGACAGCTTGGGTTGTATACTCCCCAGGGAGATGAGCATGAAAATCGATCCATTGACCGGGGTAATAATAGTGTAGCGCTATGAGCATCCACTTGGTGAATGGAATCTGGCGCACTATAAATGCACTTAGTAGTAGTAGTAGTAGTAGTAGTAGTAGTAGTAGTAGTATTCCAGCTACATGACGGCGGTTTGTAAATAATCGAGTCTAGCCCAGACAATCCAGTGATTGACATCATGAGCATCGATCTACTCAATTGGAAACGATGACTTGCGTCAACCAAGCTGACCCCGTTAGTCGCCTCTTGCGACAAGCATTGTCGCCGTTTACGGCATGCATGAGTTGCTGAAAACCTATTCTAACCCGGGTACTAACGATACAGTGTATACTAAATAGCATGCAATCAAAGTACACAGAGTTATATTCGACATATAACATCAATAAATCTCCCGAGTGTTTGATTGACCAATTTATACATATGCTAGACAATCTTGACAAAAAAACAATTTCATAATAACTATTTCATAATGATTGTTTATAAGAAATCCTTGTCATAATACATGCAGCCCGCAAACCCTCTTCAGTACAGGTGGCGTGAGTAGGGCACACTGGGATGATTATACGCACGCTTCAAGCAGTTTACCAATGTTTTGCATCGTGACGTTCACAATGATTGATTATGTCGACTTATAACACGTTAGCCTCGTCATGTCAGCTGAACGAGTTTGTTTGAATCACTCCTTCGACAGCTATTTATAGTAGACATATACTCACTCAATCTAGTAATAACTGGTTACTTTAGTGTCACACTAGGCTCTAATTGACATGTCTACACTGTGGTCGGAGGTAGCTTCACAGTTGTGAGAAAATGAGTGAATATTGATTTACGCCGCACACAACGGGATATAACGAGTCTCATATGTAACGAACCTAGACTAACTTATTCCACAGAAAATATTTACCCTACGTGAACTGATTGTGCAAGTCCTTTATAGTATATATCGTTGTGATTCCAGATTAGAATTGACACCAAGGAATAAGCTCCTGTAAAATCAAATACAACCGTGACATCACTTTCCCGGAACATTTTAGAAACGATAAACCAACAAATACACAGTGAGTTTAATCCCTGCTCGGACATGACAAACACAAACAAGAAACAAGCTCAGACATACATGGGGTGAGCAGAGCAAAAGCTCAGACATACAAGAGGTGACCTGAGCTCCAGCACAGACATACAAGAGGTGATCGGAGATCCAGCTCAGACATACAAGAGGTGAGCGGAGATCCAGCTCAGACATACAAGAGGTGATCGGAGATCCAGCTCAGACATACAAGAGGTGACCTGAGCTCCAGCACAGACATACAAGAGGTGATCGGAGATCAAGCTCAGACATATAAGAGGTGAGCGGAGATCCAGCACAGACATACAAGAGGTGACCTGAGCTCCAGCACAGACATACAAGAGGTGACCTGAGCTCCAGCACAGACATACAAGAGGTGACCTGAGCTCCAGCACAGACATACAAGAGGTGAGCAGAGCTCCAGCTCAGACATATAAGAGGTGAGCGGAGATCCAGCTCAGACATACAAGAGGTGACCTGAGCTCCAGCACAGACATACAAGCGGTGACCTGAGCTCCAGCACAGACATACAAGAGGTGAGCAGAGCTCCAGCTCAGACATATAAGAGGTGAGCGGAGATCCAGCTCAGACATGCAAGAGGTGAGCGGACATCCAGCTCAGACATATAAGAGGTGAGCGGAGATCCAGCTCAGACATACAAGAGGTGAGCAGAGCTCCAGCTCAGACATACAAGAGGTGACCTGAGCTCCAGCACAGACATACAAGAGGTGATCGGAGATCCAGCTCAGACATACAAGAGGTGAGCGGACATCCAGCTCAGACATATAAGAGGTGAGCGGAGATCCAGCTCAGACATACAAGAGGTGAGCAGAGCTCCATCTCAGACATACAAGAGGTGAGCAGAGCTCCAGCTCAGACATACAAGAGGTGAGCGGACATCCAGCTCAGACATATAAGAGGTGAGCGGAGATCCAGCACAGACATACAAGAAGTGAGCGGAGATCCAGCTCAGACATACAAGAGGTGAGCAGAGCTCCAGCTCTGACATACAAGAGGTGACCTGAGCTCCAGCACAGACATACAAGAGGTGAGCGGACATCCAGCTCAGACATATAAGAGGTGAGCGGAGATCCAGCTCAGACATACAAGAAGTGAGCGGAGATCCAGCACAGACATACAAGAGGTGAGCGGACATCCAGCTCAGACATATAAGAGGTGAGCGGAGATCCTGCTCAGACATACAAGAAGTGAGCGGAGATCCAGCTCAGACATACAAGAAGTGAGCGGAGATCCAGCTCAGACATACAAGAAGTGAGCGGAGATCCAGCTCAGACATACAAGAAGTGAGCGGAGATCCAGCTCAGACATAGAAGAGGTGAGCGGAGATCCAGCTCAGACATACAAGAAGTGAGCGGAGATCCAGCTCAGACATAGAAGAGGTGAGCGGAGATCCAGCTTAGACATACAAGAAGTGAGTGGAGATCCAGCTCAGACATACAAGCGGTGACCGGAGCTCCAGCACAGACATACATGAGGTGACCGGAGCTCCAGCACAGACATGCAAGAGATGAGCAGAGATCTAGCTCAACCTTCGCGCAGTGCTCACGGGTGGCCCAGTGGTGTAAAACCACACAATTCGCTGTACAGAGCTGTGTCTCTTAGGCGTAACAGAAACCTTTTATCGTTAGCACCATATCCGCGGGTTTCACCAAAGTGGTACATATCTGAGACCTGCATAACTTCGGGCTTTCGTCCCACATCGCTACCACACCGTTACATAACAGAATTAATATTCAAACTACACCACACTCATCCACTCGCCCTCCGAACGTCACACGCTGCTCCCAGACGTACGCGGACAAGCAGTCGTTATACCAGACTGGCGTCAAGAAGTTAAACACGTTGTACATTAACACAAAGACATCATACCACATTTAAAACCTCGTTAATTCGAATTCCATCATCTCAAGATATCGATGAAGACGACGGTCTCACATCGACGCCCTTCTTGTGTTGCATTAAGGGTCAATGTTTCAGATGGTCCCCTGCACTTCGGGTTTAGGTAGGTTTCATGTCTGTTTTTCTGGTTGATCCATCTTCAGAACCACGACATATAAGTTGGACACATGGCAATACACGTCCAATACACGTCCATATGTAACCGGGGGCATGGTGGCCCAGTCGTCTAAGGGGCCGCGATTCGCCGTGCAGAGTTGCGTCACTTGGGCAGAAACCTTGATTGTTGGTTCGAATCCCGGTTCGCCCCGTTTATGTATCTAGGTTTGTCAGCACCATACCCGTGCTCGTGGGTTTCACCGAAGTGGTAAACCTGCATCACTTCGGGCTTTCCTCACGCCGTGATATAACTGTTAAAAGCGGCGTTAAACCAAGCTCACTCACTCCATATGTAACCCCTGCAGTCACGAGCTGCAATATGGCAGAAACATTGCTGATGCAAGGTTACATTGTAACGCACCCATTAACTGTTGTAGTCCATCGACCTGTTTCAACCAATCAGATAGTCAGTCAACAGTCACATCTTTCCTTTCATTAAGAGTTCTGATAAACATGCCTTCCATATGCATACATTGTCTTGAGTTTAAGTAATGAATTATCTAATATTAATAATAGGCTTTTCATGTTGCGCACATTTCCACACCACTCAGGGGCATGCTGAAAGCGCTATTATTACCCCGGTCACAGGATCATTGTGCACTCAAGAATCATTATCAGCTCCCTGGGGAGTATACAACCCAAGCCAGAAGATTAACAATTGTGCAAAGGTTAAATTCAACTGCTCGACCGGCGTGGAAACAATCCAACAACCTTTGGTGGTCAGGCTCGGGCAAATAGCTGGAATAGCGATGATATTCACGTTTATCAATGCAATTCCACTGTCGCATGACTAAAAGCTTTTGTCTTTTTCCCTAGGATCACGATTTCATAGTCCAGTTGTCCAACACATCTATATTGCTGGAATGTTGCTATACTCAGTCAAGCGCGACTTTCATCAGACACGGATACATAGTGAAACCTTTTTGGGCCAAGTCTCCTGCAGCAGATTAGCAGATTTCAGACTCCCTGAACGCATAATCGGGGCGAATCTAGAATCATTACCAATGATCCGCAGATCTTGCTAAGGGGCGCAACTGAGTGAGGCGACCGCCTCCTGCACACATTCCGATAACATTCGTGACCAACACATGTCATTCCGGGACAGACCCCTTGTTGGTTACGGAAAGATGCGAGTGGTGGCGAATGATCCCAGTAGAACGCAAATGCACTGGGACCACAAATTGTTTTTCTGAAAAAGTATGTAAAAAAACACCAACATCGGTAAAAAAAAACCTCATAGATAACCCTGTTTGAAATATTCCAGACAATTACATTGCTGTCATTTCCGTGGTGCATATTTCAATAACAATTTTTGCATAGATATATTTTTTTGGAGAACGTTATTGTTTGTTTCCATTATGAACCGGTCGTGTCAACCTCTTCATAAAGCGGACACTGGGCAGTCTCCACGATGTCCGCCACCTTATAAGCTGGGACAAGACCATTTGTAGAGTAACCGTGGTTCCTCACCACCACGTCGCCGGTCCAGGTGTTTCCGGCGATGTACACGTCAGAACCCTTCATTACACTTAATTCCTTGTTACTCAGCGCTTCGTGGTCTTCCACTGCAGTCATCCTGTGCGGACCTTGACCTCCATAATAATAAACATCATCAAGTGATCGAAAATTGGACGAAGCATCGACATGTTTAGTCTGCATTAATTCATATGCTGCGCGACATACCTGAAACAAGAAGACGACTTGAAAATGACACAAATGATAATGGGTATAATCTTATCTATATCTACTGAATCAAAGTGCTGCTCAGTGAATGAAAAGGGTTTTACTCCACTTGTAGCCATATTCCTGCAATATCACATTAGGGAACACCACCATTGGGCTTGACACATTGTACCCATGTTGGGAATCGAACCAGGGTCGGCGTGGGAACGCTTTAACCACAGGTTCCGAACTGCTTCGCAGAGACGCCAAACAGAACGCGATGATCGTGTTTCAGAATTTTCTGGAGATAGTTTCGTTTCAAATATCACCAAAATGGCCTATAGGTGTGTATTTTGGCTTCATACACAATATCCTATGGAATGTGTCTTGACATATATTGAATCTAAATGTATTATATCCAAATTACACCAATATCTTAAATCATTTATTTATCTTGACAGATGAAATATTTACTTGACCAAGGTCAGATATGACCTTGACCTTGACCTTGAACGTATCAGTTCATGTTTAATTAATTTCTACCTACCTGTGATTCTGTGACAATTCAGGGAAAGATTCTGTGTTCAGATAGGTACCCACCAACTTTTGCTAGTCAAAAGACTAGACTATATGTGTCGGGTGACAAGTGACTTGGTTGATTATGGGTCATGGTGCCAAGACGGCGAGGGACTTTCCCCAAAACCCAATTACTGGTCTGTCTGGACGTAGGCTCAAGGACATGCCACGTGTCACATCGCTTTAATAAAGCTGCGTGGGTGTTAAAAAACCCCAAACAAATCCAAACAAACATACTTTGAATTTAACCTACCTGTGAGGAGAACGTACACACAAGAAAATCCGATTTAGAAAGGAAATGTATGTCGTAAACGATTCCAGTCATAACACTAGGGGACCCAGCGACTCTCTCAGCCTTGCGGATGATGTCCATATTATAGATGAAAGTATAATTCCTGTACCTGGAACACATGGATTTCCGACCGAAATGGATAAAAGAGGGTGAACGAAAAACAGACCGCTAAAAATCTGAGAAACCTAATACTGCTATACTGCATTTTAGAAACATTTATACACGGAACTGTGGTCTTTTATTTGCTATTTACTACATATAATGTTATTCATGGAGGCTAAGTTATGTTTAATGGAGGCACAGAACTCGTAACTGGTTTATCGAAAAAGCGGCCATCTTGGATTCGGTGACAATCTTGAAATGTTCAGGTTGACCCGAATCAGGCGTTTATAGTTGGTTGTCCATGTACGAAATTTGGGGTCACAAATCAAATAAAGCACAAATTAAATTATACACACCGTTTACTTTCATTGATGACTGTAGGTTCATCCGTTGCTAGGTACACCTTTCTTTCGACCTTCGACCCTGTTTGAATGTCAAGGCCGTTGAAGTAGTCCTCTACATACGCCATGTATTCATCAAGATAATGAAAAGCTGCTTCCCGGTCAAGTTTATCTGTACGGCGCACGTGAACCCTAAAGGGTTAAACCAAGAACAGAGTCAGACACCAACCTACATGTTCAGACTGAAAACAATAACATTTGTTGTGTTGTGTTGTGTTTGGTTGGTTGGTTTGTTGTTTAACACTGCAATCAGCAATATTCCAGCCATATGACGGCGGTATGTAAATAATCGAGTCTGGCCCTGAGAATCCAGTCATTGACATCATGAGCATCGATCCAGGCATTTGGGATACGATGACATGCTTCAACCTAGTCAGCAAACTTGACCAGCCAGTCGCCTCTTACGGCAAGTATGGGTTGCTGAAGACCGTACCGCTATTAAAATATAATTTCGGATTTGTGGTCAACAGGTTATGTAGAAGAGCGCTGTAAACCCTTCAATGTACATTGACAGACTTCTAAGGGGATGAATCGTAGGCCGCAATGGTCATCAAGAAAAAAACTTATTTCAACCGATTAGGGAACACGATAACAGGGGCTAGGCTGCAGGTTGTTTTCTAAATGTCCTAAATATTTCTCATTTATATATGTAATGATAAAGAAGATTGGTCTATCTTAAACTAAAACAATCCAATCTTTGAAATGTCCCAAAACGTCTCAATCTAACACCAAATTAAATCAGTCCGTAATTGTAGCATTGTGCGCCATGTTGTGTTGAGCAGGTCTACCGCATGAAACGCAATTGCATGTTGTAACATGGAAACCTCGCATTGTTTCCACGGGGTGTGAATAAAAATCTAGTGTCAGACTCAAACTCAAACCTATTGTGAACCGTATTCTGTCTGTTCCACACGCAAACAAGCGAGCACAAATAAAACGGAACAGAAGTTGAATATATACCCAACTATTGGTCCTGTAAATTTGATTGTCTTTTCATATTCTTCAACGTTACGCTCGGTTTCGTCATCGAATCTTGTCAAATACTTTGCAACTTGACCTATCCACCAAGTGATTGGATTCCCATGGAAACGTTGTAATATTGGCGCAAGGTCTGCTGGGATAGCTAGGGGGAGATAGTCCGGACGAAAAAGCATGTTGTCAAGGGAAGGCAGCAAGATCTCCACATTGTCTGGTTCTCTCTTCTCAGAGATGTCCTTGACATCTAATAAAAGAATGTATTTCATGATATTTAAGACGAAAGTCAATGACCCGTACACTCCAAATTCAGGTTTGTAATGGCGATTGTTCTTTCAAATACAGTAAACTACGGTTATAACGAACTCATGGGGACTGCTAATTTTAGTTCGTTATAACCGTAGTTCGCTATAAGCATATATACATAATAACTACAGCAAATAGTCGGGACTAAATAAGTAAGTTCGTTATATCCGTCAGTTCACTATAAGCGTGTTCGCTATAACCGTAGTTTACTGTATTCAAATTCATACTAGCTTAGGGAAGCCACCTTAGCTGCCATGATCCGCTAGGTTTGGGTTCGAATCCCAGATTCACCTTGATAAGAGGCCATGATATGTTAATACCGCGTCATGTCTATTGAGTTCAACTCGGATTTAATTTACTTCAATCACATTGTTAATGCTACATGTATACTCAACGTCATTATTGAAGGGACAGCTAGGTTTATCTTACCTTACAATAAAAAACTGGCTTCTGATTGGTTAAGGAGCGGCCAATTATTGCAGGAGAAGTGCCTTATTTGTTATGGGTTTGAGAAACTCACATGAGGGCATAAGGATGAATAACTGTTGGAAAGTTTTAAGAAACTTTATCTTTGTCTCACATATGCATAATGATAGGCGTACATTCGAAATAATTATGAATTATTTTTTTAAAACATACCTAACTGTAAATTATTACACTAAACATGTTCATGTTATTTGGCAACAATCAAAACAGGGAGCCACGTCCTGTCCTAGACTGGTTTACCTGCCCTAGAGCCGCTAGGAGGCGAAGGGCAGAGTACCAGTTTAGCTCTGTCGGACCTCCTTCCCCCTACAGCATTTCGCTGCGTTGAAACGTTGACCCATTTCCGTGAAGCGGGAATGTCTGTCGAGAGAGGTGGAGACAGGTCATCGGCATATCGCTATGCGAAATGTGTCATATTCTCATTCCTGATTCTGAAGCTACTACAATTTGTTTTATCTTCTGGGTTACACACGTGCGCTTTATGACAGTACAGGTACTTGGTAATTCTACAAAAGTTCTTTGCGCCGTGTTGAACTCTGGATTAAAGTTATCTTATTTTCCATAAAGCCCTCTCATGTACTTCGCTCATGTACCCCGCTGAGAAATCAATCGGCACACACCTGATGTAACTTGCTTATCTCGCATAGTATCGTTGAGCTGATGTAAACCGATGTTTATCCGAATTCATTGGGTAAAGTAGAGCTACAGATAAGCGTAAAATACCCCCCAAAACTATTTAAAACCCAATTACTTTCAATTAACTTGTGTACAGAGATGCATGCATTAAATGAAAAACTCAATTGTCAGCAGCACCTGTAAATACCCAATGAAGCTTTTTCAGCATGCGCACAGCAGAGCTAATTTCAAAAACACAACTACGAGCTAATTTACTTTCCGAGTCAAGTCTATATTTAGAACCGTTATAAACATCTAAAACATTATTTCATTTTTTAAATCTCAAAATGCTTACTTATTTTGTGAAAAACCCAATAGAGTGATGAATAGATGAGTTAAAAAATATTGGTTCCCCAATGAAAATTGTAATAACCCAATTAAAATCATCTTCCCGAGGCAAGAGAGTTAACTGACTTTAAAAGTCCAGTTTCCACCCTTGCCGAACTAGGCTGGAATTAATGGGCTCGATCGTAGCGCCACCAGTGGCTATTACCAGTCATGTCCTTTCTAAGCCTCTCCTATGGACCAATCAGATTCCACCTCTCGTATCACTTGCGTTTGCTTCACACAAAATGGTGGCGCCCGGTCAGTTAGATCTGATCGACAATCATGATCTATATTGTGATAAAACGGGTCCTACATCGCGAAATGCATCAAATCACGTGAGCACCTTGATTAAAAACATGAAAACATTTGGAAAATATCTGCTGACAACGAGTTGGCGGTGAACATGTTTTGCAAATCCTGCAATCGACCGAAATCTGTACGACAGTGTACGAACCGGATTTCGATTTCGGTGCGCGATTTTGATTGGATTATGCATAGACTCGTTAGTCCGGCCAAAATGTAACTCCATAATACTAGCCTAGTTCGGCAAGGGTGGAAACTGGACTTTTATAGTGAGTTAACTCTCTTGCATCTGGAAGATGAATTAGAATAGAAACCTTCGAGTAAAAACTCAATTGCTCAAAAAGTTATCTGGAGCTCTGGGGGAAGGGAAGTAACTCGGTTCGTTTGTTGTGTCGTCTGCTAGCTAGCTGTCAAAATGGCTGCATCAAAGCTTTAACTCGGTGAGACATCGGTTCTTAACAAACAACGAAACAATTCTTCCTTCACATACTAATACCATACGTAACATGATGGGCTTACACGATATTGAGGACTTTGCCACCACGAATGCGATAGCACAGCTTCGACAAATGTAGAGGTGAATCTGGTCCTTTTGTGTGACCAGCGAAATACATTAACTATTGTCAGTACAAAAAAGCCTCTACACCATATAGGAACCGTACACACATAAAGTAATCTTAGACTCTTCCAGCCATACAGGAAAAGCTTTACTCTACTTTATTTTACAGCCGCTTGGAGGTCGTCAACAGCGACACGGAACATACGCTTTTACGCTTTCGGCTTTGTTGGTGGACAACGTGTTTGGAGACGGCTTCCAGGAAGAATGACAACGCCTACAACGGGAGACAATCTGACAATTGGTTTCCAGTATGCCCAGAAGATGTCGTTCCTGCATCGATGCTCACGGGGTATGGACCAGATATTGACTAAAAAGGAGACTGAATTCCAAAACGTCATTTCTATAGTGTAACAGATTGCGCGTGTGCACAAATATGGTATAATAGATTGTGCATGTGCACTAAAGCAGCACATGCTTACCATTCCATTCGACCACAGCGTTTCCATCATATGACTTCAAACAAGTTTCGCTGAGTGGTTTAAAAAATGGCGTCCAGGACTGAGTCTTCCTGTCAAGCGTATTTACGACCAAGGTCCTGTTGGAGACGTACGCCATGATGAGACAGTACGCCATGTGATGCAACTGGCAACCATACCCGCATTGCTTCGGGGAACAAATGTACTTCCGTGCAGTGGGGCAATGCTTAGGATTCTGTAGCAGATAAACAGAAGTCATAACGTAACTATGAGTCACGAAAAGTATCAATGTCAACTCGAATACTTAATCGACTTCTACCCCAACTCTTTAAAAAAAACGACAACAAAGCTTATTCTTAAAAAATATGTTTGTTACACTCAACCTTTCAAACACATTATATTTTTAAAGGGTTGAAAAAGTCTTGAAATCTTGTAAAAATGTCGCTCACAAACATTCCAGCCATTCACCACCAACCCTAAGTGAACTGTTGGCCTATTACAGTCCACTGTCCGGTAAGTAAGACACAATGGTATGTATTTTGCAGAGGTTGGTAATTGAACTTTACTGGAAGATCAGGAAACCGGAGCATTTTATGTAGTACATACTTTGTTCCGCTTAAATATCGTCCGACAGGAGAGGTTTCCGGACATCTGAGATCCTTATAAACGATATTCCACTTTACACAATTGTAACTACACTTTTCATTTCATCCGTTTGGACAATATTATTTGACCCGTCGACCTGGGACGAAGCGACTCTAGCGCCATCGGAAGTCATATACAAGCGATATACCCCCCTTCCGTGCGATTCCCACCATAAGCATGTGTTTATGAATCACTGTCCAATAGTGTCTGTCAAATCTCCATCGAAAGCAAAATTAATGCAGAGTCGCTTGCTGTCATGGTGGCCTCATTAGGCTTATGGCGGAAATACATTCTAATGTGGCTGTGTTAACACAACTAAAGTGTGTTGTATACCTGTATATAGGCAAGACGTCTCTGGACTTTCTGACCGAGCTCATTCATGATGACTCGCTTTTTCTTCTCTCTACCGTCTCCATCTTGTATCTCCTTCAGTTTGTGCTTGACCCTCCTTTGAAATATTTTTTAAAGGAAATATTATTTCTGAATTAAATCAAGAACAAACATAAACATGCATTATGACAACCAGCAGATATGAGATTATACGACCTGCAGACATTGTCATTCTTAAATCTCCAGCGTGTGTGAGTGTGTGTGTGTGTGCGTGCGTGCGTGCGTGCGTGCGTGCGTATGTGTGTTATTCCTATAGTTTGTACTTGTGGTACAAAGGTTCCTATTGTGTGTATAGGAGTTGAAAAGGTCGTTATTGTCTGTGTGGGAGCTCCCTAGGTGCCTATTGTCTGTATAGGAGGTGCATAGGTTCCTATTGTGTGTATAGGAGTTGAAAAGGTCGTTATTGTCTGTGTGGGAGCTCCCTAGGTGCCTATTGTCTGTATAGGAGGTGCATAGGTTCTTATTGTGTGTATAGGAGTTGAAAAGGTTGTTATTGTCTGTATGGGAGGTGCCTATCGTCTTTAAAGGAGGTGTCATTTAATGAAGACTTACCAATGATATTGGTCTACAGTTTTGCGCATGTGATCGACCGTCTGTTTTAGTTGGCTTCGGCTTCTGATGTCATGCACCCGGTCGAGTTTATCTCTCAAATAGAACCAGAAGTTATCCAGCAAGTACACGGCTCGTCTGGCGGCCTTATCCCCGCCCCAGAGAAGGTCATCATCTGGTATAAAAACCCACCATGATTCAATGTGGCATAACTTAATCTTCATCAATATTCCAGCAATATCAGGGTAGGGGACATAAGCTTGTAAGGAATGAGTACTAAATAAGAAATTAATGAGAATTTAACCACTTGCAGACTCAAAACCAGTCTTCGGCGTGATGAGCGAACGCTTTACCCACTGTTCCACGATACTCACAGGAAATAATTGAAACTGACATGTAGTGATTTATATTCTGTGAATATTTATTGCTTAAAAATACAGATACTGACATCCATTTGAAATCAAGGGGATTTTGCTATATAGGTAAAATGCCACTAAGTTAACAAATACATTTAATCCTATAATTGATCGTTTTTCTGAAGTTATTTGAAGTGAAACATTGTTAACTTTAACTCCATAGCTCAATATTTTTAAGACCATGTTAATAGAGATCATTAGTCGAGTGTTTTGTATCATAAATAGCATACATCAGCAATATGATTGTATTATGGGAGCCCATGATAAATATCATATATCTGGAATACAAATTGTCAGAACTACAGGAGGGCATTAATCCCTTTATCACATAATGTGATTCTTAAAATAATCTGTTTTCAAGACGCAATTTAATCACTGAAGTATGTTTAGACACCGCGTGTGAATGAATACAAAATGAACAGTGTTTATGATTCATGTTCCAAGAATTGCAAGCGGCGGAGGGGGTAGCCTAGTGGTTAAAGCGTTCGTTGGTCACGCCAAAGACCCGGGTTCGATTCCCCACATGGGGTACAATGTGTGAAGCCCCTTTCTGGTGTCTCCCGCCATGATATTGCTGGAATATTGCTCAAAGTGAAGTAAAACCAAACTCACTCATTCAATTCAAGAATTGTTAGCAAATAAATTCTAACACCATATTTAAAATACAAGTGAGCTTCATGTACGACGGTTGACTGATAAGTTCTTAACCTCACGCAGAAGGAAATGCTAAAATGTGAAATCTTTTGGTGTGGACATAGAGTTGTTGACGACCAGAAATGATCCAGAGAATGCAAGATATGGTGATTTGTGACTGTGGATGCAACCTGGGTTCAGCACGTCAGAGCTGATTCAGTGGGCACGGGTGGCCCAGTCGTCTAAGACGCCTCGATTCTCTGTGCAGAGTTGCGTCCCTTGGGCACGCCAGAAATCTATGATTGTGGATTCGAATCCCGGTTCGCCCCGATTATGTTTCTAGGTTTGTCAGCACCATACCCGTGCTCGTGGGTTTCACCGAAGAGGTAAACGTCTGAGACCTGCATCACATCGGGCTTTCCTCCCACATTAAGCTGACACGCCGTGATATAACTGGAATACTGTTAAAAGCGGCGTTAAACCCAACTCACTCACTCACTCCAGGCTCTTTCCAAAACATCAATCAAGGCAGGGGAATAATCTGATGTCATCAAGACTGTCCCATTAGCTGGAAAGGTTATGGCGTCCATGTTCTTGGATGCCGAGGGTGTAAACAGGATGGACTATCTTCCAAAGGGCCAGACGATAAACGGAGCATATTGGGCTTCACTTTAAAACCAATTACCGTATTAAATTAAGACTAAGAAACGTAGAAAGCTAAGTGCATCAGTGCATTAATCAGCCATTGTCGAGTCTACAATCCGCGAGTGTGACTTTGAACTCCTTTAGCACCAACCTTATTCTCCTGAACGCTGGGTTGCTGGTGTAATGGACGGAGAGACTGCTTCGAGCAGTTTCAAGAGGGCGTGGCGTGGCATACGATATCGCGCATACAGTTCATCGTCAGATAACGTATCCAGCTGCCGGGTGCGGTCTCTAAAAACCCTTTCTTTGTGTAAGACACGGTCCATTTCCTTGCACATCATAATAAAAGTCGCCATCTTTGTTGTTATGGTACAATATTTAAGATCGATTTTAGCGATCCTAAGTTGGTCCGGAGCAACTTAGCATTTTGATCTTAACTTACAACTCTCTCAAGTTAAGATTGCTTTGTGGAACGGGCGGCCGATCGTAACAAAAATTTAAGATCGCGTACTTAGTGAGTTACAATCAACTTAGCCCAAACATCGCTTTGTGGAACGGGGCCCTGATCTCCGTCAGTCTAACATATGTTCACAAACATTCAGAAAGCTCTGTCGGGACTCATTTCTAGTCGAAGCATGACGTCATAGTGTCTGTGGAAAACTTTTTGGAAAGAGAAGGATTTCTGCGAAATTGGGATAAAATCCCCCCATCACCGTTCGCATGTAGAAGGGGGGCATGTTGATCAATAAATAATTTTAATGTGTTAAGGTCAAATCTTTCTACGTGAGGCTCAGTACATATCTATCATCCATCGTATGTCAACACGATACATTCTATATAGCGTTGACAATATCGTTACTATCATAAAAAATCATGTTTTTATTGTAATGGTGATATATAGAGGCTATTTCATGTGCCATGTGAAAGAAGTTTCTCTCATCGAGTGAAGTGGAAAGGCTATCTTCTTTATTTTAAACTTTCTGTGTAGTTTTCTTCCGGAAACCTTTAAACGTCAATTATCCCTACTTAACACGCAGTGACGTTTCACCACCCTTTTAATTGCGACTTAAAAAGTAATTCCGAAAAAGTAATTGCAAAATCTTAAAAAATATAAACAAAAGTAATAAAAAGTTTTGAGGTCACTAAAATACATACATTTGGATATGAGTGTATGCAAAATCAACTTGAAAGCTACGAGACCGCTGTTGAGAGTGAAGGAATACACGCTAGTCAAGTAACAAAATTGCGCTTTGCGAAACGACCAACCTCGATTTACGAATAACATTTACATTTTATAACATTTGCAAAAGAATAACTATCGGCGAAGAAGCGATATTAACTCCATAAATGACATCATTTTGCTTTGTTAATGTGGAACTAACATAAAAAGGAAGTCAACAGTTTGTGTACGGGCCAGACACTTACGATAAAGGGAGACAATTTGCGGGGAGGTAGCTCTGGTACATTCCGTCAAAGTGTTATTTTCACTGCTGTGAAATATCAAGAGTCATGTTCATTGCAATGAAATATCAAGAGTCATGTTCATTGCAATGAAAATATCACTAAATATCACAAAAAGTCTTAATAAAAAATATAAAATAATAATTCTGTTATTGACTTCACCTGGTTGTTCCTTCCTGGGACCGTTCCGACCAGGCACTGCATTCAAGGACATTCTATACATTGGAATAAAACAAACTGAAATTGTAGTCATCCAGTCAGTTGTATAATGACAAGGATCAGGTGGTGTTGTGCAGTTCGCAAATTCTGTACAGCTGTTATGTTGTTCAGTATTGACATGTTGTCTGATGCATGCAACCGCCGTTATATACAAACGAGAAACAGTATTACCAGTCCTTAATTAAGTATCGAATACACGTTACAATATCGACCCTGAATTTAATATGAAAGCGCAAACCTTTATGCGAGGGTTTGTGTGGTTATACGCTGGAGCGTATGTATATATGTGTGTTGTGAGTGTGTATGTGTGTATTTGTTTGTGTTTGTGTGTGTATTTGTTTGTGTTTGTGTGTGTATTTGTTTGTGTGTTTGTGTGTGTGTGTCCTGGTTGTGTGTATGTGTCTGCATGTTGTGTGCGAGTGTGTTTGTTGTATGTGTTGTGTTTATGTCTGTTGTGTGTGTATCTATGTTGTGTGTATGTGTGCGCGCGCGGGGGATGTGTGTGTGTGTGTGTGCGTGCGTGCGTGCGTGCGTGCGTGCGTGCGGGGTGTGTGGATGTGTGTGCGAAAATGTTCTTTCTGAACACGTTTAGTATCTAAACACGTGTAATAAACTATCGTCTCACAGCCTAACACCGCCTTAACACAACATCCCCATAATCTAAACATGTTTAGAATTTAATCATGTTTAGATAAAGTGCATACCATTAGGCAATAAGTCTAATATGGATAAGATGTATAATGTATACTGAAATTAGATGTGCAAATAAGATTCACAGGCAATTGCATAACACACATACCACCAGGACTTACACCGAACTTGGTACAATGCTATCAGAAAAATATACAAAGGCTAGGTTAATAGTGACTAGGAAAAATGACATTTGTGATGACAACTGTCTGGTAGAGCGAAGGACAACAAAACAAGAGGTTGCAAGTTCGCGTCCCGACCAGGTTTAAAAAGTGTTGTGTTCATAAATTTGTTGTTGCTGTATGAATAATAGTATTTGTGTTTTGAATCTAAACACATTTTTTACAGTGTACCTCATTTCGTCAAAGATGGCGGCTTTTAGATTCTCATTTTCAGACAAGACCGTCTCGATTTTCTGGACGAGGCTGCTAGCTACGCTGTTGTCGTTGAGCGTGACGGCGCTGGGTCTCTCTTCTGTAACTCGACGGACAAGGATACTGACAGTAGCAATCCATGTTATTAACGTAGCTACCTGCATCCAGCTCTTCATAATGAGGGCTTTCTGTATCCTGGCGCAGTGTTCAAGGTGACGGCGATCTCCTTTAAGGAAATAGTTAATTGTTTTCATATTTATATAGAAATATATATTAATACCCGGTTGTCTAGTGCGTGCGTGCAGTTATTTCACGGCGTGTCAGCTTTATGTGGAAGAAAAGCCTGAAGTGATTCAGGTTTGTAACAAGCAAAATCGAACTAATTGCAACGTAGAAAGGTATTTTGTCTTCATTTGCGTCATGTGCACATAACTTGATAAATTATCCTGCCGAACGTTTAAAATAAATCCAATTTCATTCTTTTTCATTTTTTGTAATCCCTTAGCTATTATCAATTGTAATCCTTTATTAATGGCTTTAAGCCATGCTTGTTGTCGAACATCTGTTACCTACGCTCTTACCTACGCAGAATAACCCGTGAACCCGGGGTAGAATAGGTCTTCAGCAACCCATGCTTGCCGTAAAAGGCGACTATGCTTGTCGCAAGAGGCGACTAACGGGATCGGCTGGTCAGGCTCGCTGACTTGGTTGATGCATGTCATCGATCCCAATTGCGTAGATCGATGCTCATTATATCAATCACTGGATTGTCTGGTCCAGACTCGATTATTTACAGACTGCCGTCATATAGCCGGAATATTGCTGAGTGCGTCGTTAAAGAACAAACACACAAACAAACAAACACGGCACCAATTACAACTTATAGATCTTGCCTGAAGCTGGTCACCACGTTGTGGAGGATGACCCTCGTGTAAGAGGTGTATCGGTGCCACGCGGCGAAATAAAGAATTCGAAGACTATGAGAAAATATAACCAATTTAGCATGTCGACTTTACCAAGTGATCAATGAAACAATACGTTTCAATACAGGATAAACATGACATTTGACAGCACTCTAATATTACTGACCTGTGTATTTTCTCTGTGTATCTGCACTCACATCACAAGCGTGTACTTATTGCTAACTATACATATCGCAATCACACCTTGCATATTTTCTCAATATACATGATCAGGCAGCTGGTGGGCACTCGGGGAGGGGCTTTTTACGCTCCAGCTGTTTTATGGACATATATTAAATCATATTAGTTATTCAATCATTCTTTATTTTCAGTACTGGAAACGACATAGGCCATAGTAAATATAAACATACAGTAGCAATGGGTGCAATTTAAATAAATACATCATAAATAATGTATAAGATGTGATTAGAGGAAATGATGTTCATTGAATGGTATATACACATTACCATTCAGTGAACTTTGTGACAGTTTGATTTTGAGATGACATGAAGATATAAGAGTTGTCTATTCGAGGATTGAATAGAAATACCTCTTTATATATTCTTTTCTGATATTTGCATACAATGGACAAACAAGCTAAAAAGGGTATTCATCTTCTATCTCATGACAAGTACATTTTTTACACAATCGGTTTTCCCTAAATGTCTACCTTTTTTCTTTTTGAAGGTCATGATAATTACATCTGAAACGGAAATGTGCTGTTCGGAATTTCTTAACGTTTATGTCCAAAAGATATTTTTCAGTAAGAATGAATTATTAAAAACAGGAGTAATGATTTAACTTATTGTGTAAACATAGTGAAGAGTACCACTTTTGAAAATGCAAATCTTTTGGCCTTGTCTTAGATTATAAAATTTATATTTAATTTAATATCAGTTATTAAACATTGATTCACAAGGGTTCGGATATTTTAGCTTGGTATTTGATTTTGGCAGGTATCGGAGATATGCGGAGATTTTTTACCATATTCAGGTGAAATACTGCTTACTGTGTCGTTACCCCATGACAACCAAGCCAAACGTTCGCGTACATTCTTAGGTCACATACAGTATATATCAAGAAATAAGAGGCGAACTGTTGACATATTCCTTGTTGTCAGGTTGATAAGGTGTAAATACTTACATATTTCGTTATGTTGAACTCACATCTCTGAAAGTATTCCAGTGTAGTTACCATTGAACGCCACGTCGCTGATTGCTGTATTAACGCAGCTGCCCAATTATGTAATTGTTTAGTCTCGAAATACCAGCACAAACTCATCCGAACAAACGAGCTGTGGCACTCAATACACTTCCCACGCAGATAAGTGGTGTATTTGCACACAAGGTGACTGTAAGCACATATCACATAGGCCACAACACAACTATTCACCTCTGAAAGCGAATGCTCTTCCCCTAAACACCTGTCAGACACAGCTGCCCCAAAGGAAGCCACAACGTACTTTTTTACAAAGGACGACGGGAACGAAATCTCTACTTCAACCCTTTAAGTATCTCACTTTTGACGAACTAATTCCGAAAACAAAGGATTAACTATTTTGTGCTCGTTCTAAAAATAGTTTTAATTTCGAAATATTGAACATTTACCGAAAACTACGTCCATTTGATCGATACGAACCTTATCGTATTTCACGTCGTACATAGCTTGTCAATAAAGCACTGTGACATTGGTCCCTATACAGTCAATAATGCACATGCGTCACACAGGTTGTCAATGTCCCAAGTGGATGCTTTTTCAAACATCAGCTCCTTAAAGCCCTGGCTCCATTTCCCATTGGTACAATCTGCAGTACCCACTCCTGGTGTATTGCGGGAATATATTTCTAATAGCGGCGTAAAAATATACCCATTCACTCTTCTTATAAAGCGTATTTTTATGTGAGCTGAATATACATTTTCTCTGAATCAATCTACCTAAACATTATCACCATATAGATCTTAGTAGACACCATCTTCCTAAACCTCTGCTGAAACACCATCTCCCTACACATAATGAACGTCATGATTTACATCCCTTTTGGTTAATTCGTGGAGGAAATTAAAGATTATGTTTCCTTATATGTTCCTACTTGGTGATGCCATGTAATTATCGTTATCGTTAATTATCGTTAATCATATTCGAAGGTAAAAACACGTGTTTGTCTAATATATATGGGTTTTCTGTGCCTTAAATAAAAACAAGCAAGTTATAGCTGATTGTGTTCCGTGTGTATACACTTAGCAACGTGACCAGTGGGGCGACATACAGTATAACATCGACCTATCGAGCTGTACAAATTGATAGCGCGTTAACAGCTGTCCCTGTTTCTTCAGCGGGCCATGTGTTTCCCGCCAGGGTAAACTACAACTGCTGTGATGTTTTTATCTTGGATACGCAAGAGACACCGTATACGTAATGTTTTAGTACCTTCAATCGGCAGTTAAGGGTTGGTGGTGTAGCCAAGTTGTTGTAGCGTTGGCTCACTCCATCTAACAACCAGGTTCAGTTCATCACACCTATATACTATATGTGAAACCAGTTCTTCGAGATCTTGCTGGGATATTGATGAAAGGAGGCTAGGGGAGATGAACGGCGCGTTTAAGATTATTACCGAAAGGGGCGTAAAACACAATTTATAAGCCTTAAAGGGGAACTAGATTCTGTCTTTTTGGCAGTCCTATCAATTTTGTCTCTCAAGTACAACTTTGCTTGTCCGCTGCTTCAAATTGTATCATGCATATCATTCTAACAATTATTGATCACCCTAATTACACAGCTATACATATAATATTGGTTACAATGCCTCAGTTTTACACATGACATAGGTTATAATGCCTCAGTTTTACACATGACATAGGTTACGATGCCTCAGTTTTACATATGACATAGGTTACAATGCCTCAGTTTTACACATGACATAGGTTACAATGTCTCAGTTTTACACATGACATAGGTTACGATGCCTCAGTTTTACATATGACATAGGTTACATTGCCTCAGTTTTACACATGACATAGGTTACAATGTCTCAGTTTTACACATGACATAGGTTACAATGTCTCAATTTTTCACATGAAACCGATTACAAAGCCTCAGGTTTACACATAATATTGGTTACAATGCCTAAGTTTTAGACACGATCCCGGTTACAATGTCTATAACTTGGGAGACAATGAAACCAAGGCCGTAGACGAGAGAGGTTTGATGACGACATCCCCGCTGGAAGAGCCTAGTTTTATAAATGTCGACAATCAAACTGTTGCCGGGCAACTCTCGTTTTTCGTTTCAGCTTGCAAACACCTATTGTAAGGAATGGTCTTGGGTCACTGGCGTGACGCGCGAACGATTACATTAATCAATATGTCTTATATTCAGTGTTCCTGGACCTTTTCACAACAGCCAGATCAAAATGTTATACTTACAACCGACGACGAGAGTAGATAATGCCAGATGGTTATAACTTATCGATGTGTGACAGATCAAGATGGGTAACACGTGTTCGCGAATAGACTTTCTCGGTCGATAAACTGGTTGAAAGAAACTATCAACATACAATTCAACCGTAAGACTAAATGGTTTTAAATATAGGATTTTAATGCATGAGGAATACACCATTGGCGAGACATAAAACACAGCTAGGGCTCTATACTATAGGAAGAGTCTGTTTCTAGTCGCATTAATACCAGAAATACAGACAACGAAATACACGTTGATTTCAAAGCAATTATATGACGGCTGAAAATGGCCATCGTTTGATTTTTTGATCGATGACACGATGCGATGGAAATATGGAGTGACACGATGGCGCGACGCAATGAAGTCGTGTAACGTTGCGAATGACGAAACGATTGAGCGATGCGATAACATGACTAAGTGATGCGATAAAACTTTGAAGAGGTGCAAAGAAACTATGAACCGAAGCGATGAAACTAAATGCCCCGTTGCTGTATCGTTCGATCTAACGCATGGCTGCATCGCTCCATCCAACATAACTACTGTCTTATTCCATCGTGCCATCATTCGCCCTGTGCATCGCTCCATCTTTCCATCATATTGCTGCATCGCTACATTACTCGCACATGGAACAAGGACCCTTCTCGGCAATCATACAATCGTAAAGAAACTGATCGGAATGGCCTTTGGCAACCAGAGTTTCTTGTGAGAGAATATATGTATATAAAGGTGCAATAAACATTATACACAGTTTCTTGTGAGATTGCAAACAGTCTAGCAAATCCTTTGAGTTTTTGAGAATCCACATGCTATTAACTTCACTTGTCTCAAATACTTTCTGTGAATATAAAGAAAGTCCTTCCTTGATTGTATTAAGGATTATGGTTAGTCTTTGAGACATCGATTTGGTGGTACATTTGCTTGACCCAGCAATAAATCTGTCTTTGTACGGATTTTTATGGAGCTTTGGAATCAAGTACAAAAGAAGAATGGACATGTCTTCAGTTTTTAGAGTCAAATGAAAACTTGACAGAACTGAAAAATGGTTTTGGCAGATTTCTTCCTCAGTTAACATACTGGCCTTATATGTGGCTTTATTTTATATGTCATTTATACCAAGTTTGTTTTTATCAATCAATTAATGTAGTGATGCTGACATGTAATGGTTATGTTTTTTTTAGGCCTTGTTAGTGGGAACAACTACAAACTTTTTATGTAGGGCAGACAGCATTTGGATGACAGCTGGCTGGGACAGAATGAGTTTATTCCAATTCTGTTTGTGCATTCAACCAATGACAACATCACGCACTGACTTAACCCACCCTGAAATACATTCAACAGTTTCCTGTCTTTTTTACAATAATTTTTAGCATATTCTTCGACAGCATCAATAATGATTCTAAACTTGTGATCCCAATTGGTAGGAGGTTGCTCGCGGTATTTTGGTCCATATTTGAATAACTGACGAAGCTTGTTTTACCAACAATAGAGAAGTTACACAGCGAATCGCGGCGCCTTAGACAACTGGGCCTACCGCCCCCCCCCCCCCCCCCCCCCTACACAAAGTAAGAACAAGACTATACTCTGTGTCACTGAAAGAAACTAAACGACTTCAGCAACTTTTGCTGATGGGTGGATTTACAAACGGTAAGAGCCCACAGTATCGACTGGAGAGTAGAGTTCTTGATATGCTATGAAACGTTTGGCCAAACAAGAAACGGACTCCACTAAATCAGACAAAGACCACAATTTCTTGAATTTGAAATTTGCAAACAAGGGAATTGATGCTTTAAATTTAAGTAACATTCTCAGACAAAGATTGTTGGTTCGAACCCCGGTTCGCCGGTATTATGTTTCTAGGTTTGTCAGGATCACCTCGGGCTTTCCTCCCACATTTAGCTGACACGCCGCGATATAAATGTAATACTGTTAAAAGCGGCGTTAAACCAAACTCACTCACTAAGTCACTATTAGAGGGATGTCATATTTTCTCCAATATCCTAACTTTTTTTGGCAAAGGATTGAATGATTTTCAGAATTGAAATGTTGGTAGACACAAATGGAAAATATTTTCTTGATGTCCGATCTGTGCTGGCTGACTAATGTGGATAATTTCTGTTGTGTCTCTTCAGCTTAAATAAATCAACAAAGAGTACATTCAATGTCATATATATGAAGTTTTTTAATTTGACAAAAGGTTTTGTGTAATATGTTTTAGCTGTAAACTTAGATTTGAATTCAGGATCAGTTATCAAAATAGGACAAGTTTTGCAATTTTTTGTGCCACATGAAGACATACAGAACGAAAAATGTCCTTCAACTTAACTGAACATTTTTTAATGATGTTTGTAAATGAATCTTCGTTTTTGAAATACAAGTTGCCTTCATGTTGAACATATGTCGGTTTCAAGACGTCCCGAAGGACCAGCCAAGGACTTCAATCTAAACCATATGATGCAGCAGTCAAGTCTGAGCCGAGTTGGGGGGCAGTTTTACTGTCTCGGCCTAAACAGTTTCTATTGTGTTCGTTCAACATTTGTATGGTTAATGCTACCAAGCAAGCAGACAAACCGGCTTGATTCGTGTATATAAAGCGACAAAACCCTTTCAATACCCAATAGAAATCTCTGCATTAAGCAGAGTCGATTGTACGATTCCGACTATATCATGAGCATGTGTTTATGAATCAATATAAAATAGTAATGGCACCAGGTGTTCGCGAAAAAGTCAGCGTATCCTGCTCCACGACCGAAACAGGCTCAAAGATGGCCTTGGAGTTAAATGTTCATTCAGACAATGGTTGTCGTAAATCAGTCGCTATGACACTACTGTAGCCTATTTAGTAAGAAGGTTTCCTACTTTTACCTAGGATCACATCGAGGAAACTGTTTTGGTATACTGGGGGTGGCTGAAACTTTTGGAGCCTTGCTAATATTTTTCAGCATAATCAACTCCGCGGTCCACACGCTTCTACCAATGATGATGGAGTGCCTGGATCGCACTGATGAAGAAGGCCTCCTCCTGGTGTGGTGCGTTTGGGTCGCCTAGTGGTTAAACCAGAAAATACGTCATCATTATTTGCAATGCCGCTTGCCAGGCAATTCTTTCATCAAGAAGAATTCCCTTGGAATCCCAGAAAACCTAAGCCATCATCTGATGCAACACGTTCTGCTTCTTCGGATGGCACACGGGTGGCCCAATCGTCTAATGGGGCCCTTACACAGAATGGCGACCTTTGTGCCTCCCGTGTGCGACCATAAAACTTGCCAGGTCGTCGTTGGTGGCTCAAAGGAGGCAAAATGGTTGCCTAGGTCGTTCCAAGGTGGTACACGGGAGGTTCAGACATCGCAATGGACGCCATGATCGCCGATAAGTTTCGAACTTGTTCAAAACAGTCGCACAAAGGTCGCCGAGGAGGCTGGTTGTTCAAAGGTGGCTCAAAGGAGGCAGAAGGAAGGCACAATCACTGCCGTTGTTGCAGAATGAAGGCATAGTGGTTGCCCATTGGTCACCAGGTAATAGATGCGTTCTGCTGAAATATTTTCCCTCAATTTGGGCGATGCTTCTGCCTCCTTTGGGCGACCAACAGCGTGCATTAAACGATGACTGTGGCGACCGTGCCTCCATTCGGCGACAACGGCAACCTTTAGGACACCATAGCAATGCTTCTGCATCTCTCCTGCCTCCTTTGAGCTACCTGCAGTGCCTCCTCAGCTGGGTGTGCTTCAAAACGTAAATTCTCACAACAGCTGAAGAACTTGGAGCGTTTCTGCCCTGGCGGCTTTGTTTCCTTTGAGCACCAAAGTACTTCGTAATATTTAAACTAAAGATAAGAATAATCTGAAAATTGTTCAAACAGTTTCTACCGTCAATGACTCATAAAACATTCTTACTTATAGGTGTTCGAAGTCATGGTGGGATATGAAGTATAGTGCGTTTCGCCGTGTTAGTTGCTGCCAATATGTCTGGCAATATGTCTGGCAATATGTCTGGCTATGCCTCTGCCATGTTTGATATTTTAATTGTTAAACGTAGTGACAGAAAGAATCTGGTATAATAACAAACAAATACATCAGTAAGAAAGGTGGGTTTTAAAAGAATTGGATAAACATGGTGTCCGTTGGATACTTTCATTTGACGCATTTGTAAAAAGGTTTCATATCAAATTTAAAATTCCAAAGAGACAAGTACAACTTGGTTCTCCAAGTAGAAACAATGATCCAGTCAACATTCTTCTTCTTCTTCTTCTTATTATTATAAGTAGTAGTAGTAGTAGTAGTAGTAGTAGTAGTAGTAGTAGTAGTAGTAGCATTAGTATTAGTATTATTAAAAGTGTGATTTTCAAAAGTAAGTATAAAAATATATTTATTCAAATAAATATATTTATTTTCTGTTGATATTGTTATATAATGACATGGTATTCCAGGGGTTATGAATGAAGTGCATGTAGATACATAAATGTAGATGTGGCAAATGTTTATTTTTCTTATATAAATGTTATTAACTTAAAATTGACAATGTGATATATTTTGTTTCTGTTATCTGATGGATCATGCTTAACTTTGTTCCAGTTATATGCTTTGTATGTTTAATCCCAGTTTTGAGTTTCGGACAAATAGGTTCGTGTGTATATATTAAACTGGAATATGGCAGTATGCTGATTGTAGCCGATATCGACTTTTTACATCAAAAAAATAATTCAAGACCACGTGCCACTCACTCTGGTGTACATGTACGTCTTGTCAATCCTTCATGTATTACATATACAGAGTACGAAAATTATCACAGTTGCCACTTTATTACGAGTGTCTCGAAGTTACAATACAGTCCCGCTAAGTTCGAGACAACGGGGTTCGACTGTGTACTCCTGTAAACAGGTTAGCATCGCTCATAAAACAACCATTTTAAAAATTATCCGACGAAACTGTTGTTTTCTAACTGACTACATCAATTTGAAATACAGAAACCTTTTATCAAATGACACACTTCACTGACGTCTTTAACCATACTCCGCAAATCAAATCTCCTATGGAAAACAAAACGTTGTTTCTTTAATTTCCAGGTACTCTGTTACCTGTTCCTTTCAGTCAAACAATCTAATGAGCATGTCAAAAGAATGTCACGGACAAACGCTAGCGATACGCTCTGTGTTGAGAAATGCGTTTCATAAATTCCCTCCTTGACAAAAGGCCCTCTTCCCTAAATCGCTAAAGCGTAACACTGCTATTTATAGCTTGGCATGCCCTTTAGTAGACTCACTTGCAGTTTCGCTCGTTCCTTGAGGAGTGAACACCTTTCTCGGTCACTCAGAGTTGATATAGCACTAAATGAGCACCCAAAATATGATGCGATCAGAGTCGGAGGTAAGCTATTATTAGTATGGCATAATATATCAATCTTTGTTTAGCCGTATGTCATTATACGTGTGTTGTTTAAGAGAGAAATAAGGTCTACAACAGGGTTGTTTGCTTAGCCTTCACTTGTTACTGTTGTGTGGCGTAAAACGCAAATTGTTTGTTTTGTATGTCCTCTGTGTATGATGTAGAGTAAGCTTGAGGTTGGTGTGTAATAGGAAGTATCCATATTGATATATCCAGCGGTTTTGTGTATAAATTGACAATGATGGATGAGGAAAGAGTAATTATTATCTTTGTCATGAAATTAAGTCCGTATGATTAATCGCTGATGTTTAATGTCACGCAAAATGGGTAAACGGAAATACGCCATCTGTTGACGCCTCATAAGGATTAAAGTCTCTGTACATGTTGTCATTAAAGAGCGACGCATGATGGTATGGATTTCAATCTTTCTATTCTTAAACACACATTTTAAAGGCGTTGGTTGTCCACACTGACCATATTTAGGGGTGGTAGTAGTGAGGTAAGGTGAAATAGGGTTTTACGTCGCGTCCAAGATTAGTGCACCTATATAGCGACGTGCATGCCTCTGTGTGTGTGTGTGTGTGTGTGTGTGTGTGTGTGTGTGTGTGTGTGTGTGTGTTTGTTCAAATGATTGATGTCCACCTTTACGAATAAGAATAATGAAGTTGAAATATTTATGAAGTTTATATATATGTATCACCAAGAAGGTTAAATAAATCTTAATAAATTATAATGTCGTAAATACCTCAAAAAAACGCTCATGATTTAGGTCAGATCTAATGTAATAGCGATCAGGTGTTACGTGAACAACTTGCTGTAAACAAACATATCTGATATCTGATCTGGTTGGTTCTAGATCACACACGTTGAGTTATGCACCGTTTTCTTAAGATATGGCTCATTGCCCTTTCAAATCCTTTAAGTATAAAGTTTAGATTTGTAAAGAACAGTTTCGCTCGCATTAAACACGGGCATGTGTAAATGGCAAGGCAAATACTGTGCATTCGCTTTCAGTTGTTAAACTGTAACAAATATATAAAAACATATTACACATACAGACAGGACATATCGCTGGGTTATATGCAGAAGTAACATTGTAAGTTTTATTGTGATTGAATATACGGTTATCCGTCGCTTTATGCAACATTCAAGCTATCGTTCCATGTTGGGGATCGAACCCGGGGTTTCGGAGTGACGAACCAACGCTTTAACCACTCTACTACCCCATCGCCCCAATGTGAAATAACACGGTGTTAAACAACAGGACATAAAGCTGTATTATATGTAAAAGCAAACAGTCATATGTTATATCGGGAAATCACGACGTGCCGTATGTAGAGTAATATAAATAGTATGTTAATGCCTTTTCACGTCTTCCACATCAGCGGCGCCCCTCACAAACTCATGCAAAGGCAAGTAAATTGTTCATCTGACAAAACACGGGAACATGTGATTCAGATAAAAAATAAGGAATTGTATCGGACATTATTTTTGTCACTGATGCGACAAATTTGGAAATGTCCACCACATGTTTCTCTTTTATCAGAATTTTTGGTAAGAGCAAAATGTATTTATCAGCAAGACTGGCATGCATCCTTGTCACATTGTGCAAAAACATTCAATTACTCTATGTATTTTTCTATGCATAAATTTCACGCAGCTTTAGCTAAGTTTAGATCTAGTTACCACCAACTAAAACTTGAGACTGGCAGATATGCAAATGTTCCAAGAAAAGAAAGGTTTTGCAATGTTTGTGATAAAGGTTTTGTTGAGGATGAGTATCATTTCTTGTTTGTATGCACGGTGTTTGCCGAATTGCGTGAACAGTACATTCCAAAAAAATACCTAGTATTTCCCACATTACATAAATTCAACGTCTTGATGTCAAGTGATGAATTTAATATCCAAAGAAATTTGACTATGTATATATATATAAGTCTATGCAATTAAGGACAAAACTGCTGATGTAAATTCCAATTACAATAATGGCTTCTGTACAACTGCTGTGATATGGGCCGATGGCCTACGTAACCTTGCTGAATAAACAACAACACCATCATGCTGGATTGTACCTCAAAAGTTGTGAAATGTAGACACGGAAAGTTGGCTACTGGAAATTTGAAGTCATCCCTATTGTCACACGGTCTTGAAGAAAGTTGTTTGTCACATTAAATCTTTATGCATAGACCAAAAAAGGTCTATGAAAGTATAGGTTGGCAATTTGTAATTTTCCTAAAAACAGCGATAACTAGTGGAAAGTGGGTATTGGGAATATGACTGCCCAGAAACAGGTACCAAAAAACACCTCACCCGAACGCGCCACCTTTGACGGCGCTCGTGCGGTGACAAAAAAATGGTGAAACAGGTTTCCCGCCTATGTCATAAACTGCACGTGCATGTTAGATGTATAAATGCGTTCGTCTGCAGGATATAACCACACGTGATGAAAGCACACACAAGAAATGCCACGACTGTCACTGGAGCAGAGAGAGAGAGACAGAGCCATCGGTGTGGCCGAAATGGGGGCAACACTGGTCCAAATTGCCAGAAGGTTTGGTTGTATACCACTGACAGTAGCCAGGCTGATTCAACGGTACAGGCAGACAGGGAGGACACAGGACAGGCCTAGAACCGGACGACCCCGAGTGACAACACCACTGGAAGATGGTCAGATACGGCTCATTCACCTGCGCAACAGATTCGTAACGGCAGCAACAGCGTTGGGACATCCCATAAGCCAACGTACAGTACTACGACGAATTCGTGATACTGGAATCTGAGCATATCGTCCTTCCCGAGGAATGGTACTGACTGCTCAACATCGACGCCTGAGACTGCGATGGGCGAGGCAGGGTCGATGCTGGCAAGTGAGAAATTGGCGTCGAGTGCTGTTTACTGATGAAAGTCGGTTTAACTTGTTTCGAAATGACGGCAGAGAACGAGTTTATCGACGCAAGGGGGAACGTTTGGCTCCGGCGTGTATTCGAGAGGTCCATCCATTCGGCGGGGGAGGTGTCATGGTGTGGGGCGGTATTTGTGGAGATCAGAAGACTATATGATTATACAGGGAAACCTGAACGCTGTGCAGTACAGAGACCAAGTGTTGCAGCCAGTTGTGCTTCCGTTCTTACAAAACCAAAAGCAGGGGACATTGTTTCAACACGACAGGTCCCATACTACAAGACTTACTCGGAACTTTCTAAACCAGCAGAACGTTGACGTTTTGCCCTGGCCTGCCCACTCACCCGATATGAATCCTATTGAACATCTGTGGGACCATCTTGGCAGACAGATTAGAGCACTCCATCAGCCTCCCGTCAACACAAGAATTGCAGCAGGCCCTGAGAGACGAGTGGCAACGGATTCCAGTCCACATCATCAGAAGACTGACGTCATCGATGAGGCGGCGTATCACAGCATGCATTGAGGCAGCTGGAGGTCATACACGCTATTGAAGGCAACTGTGTCGACAATGAACTTGTTGTGTGTCTGACAATTTTTTGGTCACATTTCAAACAACTTTTGAAAATGAAATTTCTTACCCAATCATTGCTTACCTTGAGCTTACATTACCTGTGATTGAACAATTTTATTCAAACTGTGGATGTTACCCCTCCCTAGATTATATTATAATTCACAACAAAACCTCTTATTTTTTTATCGATCATGGAACTCGACCTATACTTTCTTTTGCCGCCCAGTTTATGAAACAGATGAGGCGGCTTTTATTTCTAGTTCAGAGTGTCGTTGCACCAATCAACCTTAGCGCTACGACTGTCGTAAGTCTATGTTACGGTATGGGAGTTATGATCACCTTAACGTACAGCGGCACCCAGGTAGGTAAATCGGGCAAAGATTGGCCATCTTTTGAATTTCATTGTGACCAAGGTCAAAAGGTCAAAGACCCGTAGAAATATTGGTTAGAATAGGTCTTCAGCGACCATGTTTGTCCCAAGAGGCGATTATGATTGTCGTAAGAGGCGACTAACGGGGTCGGGCGGTCAGGCTCCCTGACTTGGTTGATACATGTCATCGATCCCAAATGCGTAGAACGATGCTCATGATATCAATCACGGGATTGTCTGGTCCAGATTCGATTATTTACAGACCGCCGTCATATAGCTGGAAAATTGTGGCGTTAAACAATGAAAAAAAAAAAAAAGTTCAAAAGGGGTTTATAGTTGAAATGAGGGTTTATTACCCATGATGCCGTGCGTAGAAGATCGTTGGGGGATATCGTTGACAAAGGGTTATCAGGAGAAATTACGTTATGAAATATTTGCACATTAAAGTTTGTCTACATGTGATTAAATCATGTTTCATTCTTAAGATTTTTATGATATAGTGGGAATCGTACAATTGACTCTGCTTTTGGCTGAGATTTCTTATGAATATGGAACGGGTTTTGTCGCTTTTAATATTATTATTAAGATCTTAGGTGATGCTACCGGTGTGGGCCTTCACATGTGTTGTCGCTATAAACACCTTTGACCTGGGACTTCCACCCATATTAAGGAGGCGGTGGGGTAGCCTAGTGGTTAAAGCTTTCGTCGTCATGCCGAAAGGCCCTGGCTCGATTCCCCACGTGGGTTCAATGTGTGAAGCCAGTTTCTGCTGTCCCCGTCGTGATATTGCTGGAATATTGCTAAAAGCGGCGTAAACCCATACTCACTCACTCCACCCATATTGAACTGAGGCCACTTGTAAATTCAGGTTACAACAGATCTCAAGTACGCGATACTTGTCGTGAGTGACTAATAAGGATGGTGTCTTGCCACGATGGTCGGTGCTCATGATACTAACCACTGGAAGTCTGACAAACTTTATTTATTTATTTATATCTGACTTTGTGTTCAGATCAACCGATGCATCACGGTCGAATAGATACATGCAAACACTTTGCTTGCTCCGCCGCACCCTCCTCAGTACCTTGGAGCCAGATAAGCGCCAGGTTGGGATCGAGTGGTTCCAATGTGTGACAGCTGGTTGTGTGTCATCATGACGATGTGGCTTTCATTGTTGCTCATGATGTCACTCACTGGTCGATTGTAAAATCGAGGATGGCCTTGATATAGCCGGGCTTCGGCTTCAAACAACAAAGACTGTGTAGTTTGCAGACTGTAAGTTTTTAGTAGGTAGGCGCTTGGCCATGCTGTTCCCCATGGTGTTGACGCAGCTCGTTGTCGTCTCTGATACATAACCCACATAAGCACGCAAACCTGAGTGCGTTGTTGTTACAATGCGCATATAACTGACACTAAGAAAGACGAGATGACAGCTGAAGTGGGTCCCAGGTGATTAGTCTCAGCATGCACAGGGACTGAGTGTATCTGAAACCATTGTGTACAGGCCGTGAGAACACACGAGGTCGGACACTCGCATTTCAATTTACAAAAAGTGGAACTGATTTATGCTAATGCGAGCCACAGAGCTAACTCGACAACAGCCCTGGGGAATAATGCGCAGGGGATCGACCCCATGTTACACACGTTTCGGCGACACGTTTTAAATGTAAATTCTCAAACATACAAGCAAAACACACGAAGTGGTGGGAGGTGCGTTTAACCCTGTCAGTGGTAGCTTGCATGGTCGTGGTAGTAACAGCGAACATGGTAGTGCTAACGCCAATGGTAGAGAAATTGGAAAAGGTAGTTACAGTAAGCGATTGGAGCAACACCGAGGCCAGGAATTGGTTTAACACACGGACTGTATCCATGTGGGCAACACACTGGTGACAGAGCTACCCTTTCACAATTGTAAAAGTAGTAGTAGTAGTAGTAGTAGTAGTAGTAGTAGTAGTAGTAGTAGTAGTAGTAGTAGTCATGGGCGGATACAGCTTTTTTGAAAAGGGGGGGTGCACAGTTAAGATCTATTTATTGTCTTTGGTGGTAATTTATACAGAAATAAAGATTTTTTTCGAAATAAAATGGGGAGGGGGCGGGGGGGGGGGGGGGGGGGGGGGCGCACCCCCGCACCCACCCCCCACCCCCCTCTGTATCCGCCCATGATAGTAGTAGTAGTAGTAGTAGTAGTAGTAGTAGTAGTAGCGGTTCCAATAATAGTTGTTATCGCAATAAAAGCAGTATGTGTTGTTTTAGCAGCAGTAGTAGTACAAACAGTAGTACCAGCAGTGCCCGCAGCAGTAGTAGCACTGTGAACGAGACACGCATTGTATTTCAGTTAGACTCGGGCATATCAAAACACATGACTGTGGAATGAAAGTCAACATTAATGCGGTCACTAGAATGGCTAGGAGAGCCAACACACTGTCTACAGTATACATCCGCTCAGCTAATGCCCAGCAGTCACTAGGATGGCTCGGAGACTCAATACTGTCTACGGTATCAAGGAGGTAACGACCAGCAGTCACTAGCATGACTCGGAGAGTTAATACTGTCTACGGTATAAAGGAGTTAACGACCAGCAGTCACTAGGATGGCTCGGAGAGTCAATACTGTCTACGGTATAAAGGAGGTAACGACCAGCAGTCACTGGGATGCCTCGGAGACTCAATACTGTCTACGGTATAAAGGAGGTAACGACCAGCAGTCACTAGGATGGCTCGGAGACTCAATACTGTCTACGGTTTAAAGGAGGTAACGACCATCAGTCACTAGGATGACTCGGAGACTCAATACTGTCTACGGTATACAGGATATAACGACCAGCAGTCACTAGGATGGCTCGGAGACTCAATACTGTCTACGGTATACAGGATATAACGACCAGCAGTCACTAGGATGACTCGGAGAGTCAATACTGTCTACGGTATACAGGATATAACGACCAGCAGTCACTAGGATGGCTCGGAGACTCAATACTGTCTACGGTATAAAGGAGGTAACGACCATCAGTCACTAGGATGGCTCGGAGACTCAATACTGTCTACGATACAAAGGAGGTAACGACCAGCAGTCACTAGGATGGCTGAGAGAGTCAATACTGTCTACGGTATAAAGGAGGTAACGACCAGCAGTCACTGGGATGCCTCGGAGACTCAATACTGTCTACGGTATAAAGGAGGTAACGACCATCAGTCACTAGGATGGCTCGGAGAGTCAATACTGTCTACGGTATAAGGGAGGTAACGACCATCAGTCACAAGGATGACTCGGAGACTCAATACTGTCTACAGTATACAGGATATAACGACCAGCAGTCAGTAGGATGGCTCGGAGACTCAATACTGTCTACGGTATACAGGATATAACGACCAGCAGTCACTAGGATGGCTCGGAGACTCAATACTGTCTACGGTATACAGGATATAACGACCAGCAGTCACTAGGATGACTCGGAGACTCAATACTGTCTACGGTATACAGGATATAACGACCAGCAGTCACTAGGATGGCTCGGAGACTCAATACTGTCTACGGTATACAGGATATAACGACCAGCAGTCACTAGGATGACTCGGAGACTCAATACTGTCTACGGTATACAGGATATAACGACCAGCAGTCAGTAGGATGACTCGGAGAGTCAATACTGTCTACGGTATACAGGATATAACGACCAGCAGTCAGTAGGATGACTCGGAGACTCAATACTGTGTTCGGTATACAGGATATAACGACCAGCAGTCACTAGGATGGCTCGGAGAGTTAATACTCTCTACGGTATAAAGGAGGTAACGACCATCAGTCTCTAGGATGGCTCGGAGAGTCAATATTGTTTATGGTATAAGGGAGGTAACGACCATCAGTCTCTAGGATGGCTCGGAGAGTCAATATTGTTTACGGTATAAGGGAGGTAACGACCAGCAGTCAGTAGGATGACTCGGAGACTCAATACTGTCTACGGTATAAAGGAGGTAACGACCAGCAGTCACTAGGATGGCTCGGAGACTCAATATTGTCTACGGTATAAAGGAGGTAACGACCATCAGTCACTAGGATGACTCGGAGAGTCAATATTGTCTATGGTATAAAGGAGGTAACGACCATCAGTCACTAGGATGACTCGGAGACTCAATACTGTCTACGGTATACAGGATATAACGACCAGCAGTCACAAGGATGGCTCGGAGGCTCAATACTGTCTACGGTATACAGGATATAACGGCCAGCAGTCACTAGGATGGCTCGGAGAGTCAATACTGTCTACAGTATACAGGAGCTAACGGCCAGCACACATACACACACACACACACACACTAACACACACACACACTAACACACACACACTAACACACACACCCACACTAATACTAACACACACACACTAACACTTACACTAACACACACACTAACACACACACACACACACACACACACACTAACATACACTAACACACACTAACATAAACTAACACATTAACAAACTAACACACATATAAATACACACGAACATATCCTTATAAAGGGGAAATTTCTCTTGAGGAAGGATGTACCGGTAATAACATATTTTCACACGTCATCCCAACAAAACAACCGATGACTAAGTGGCCGACCGTTTAGAAAAACAAAAACATCCGCACCTGTGGAAATATCCTCATTCCTATTCAAGTCAGTGTGTCATATTATATGTTATAATCACGCGTGTTGTTGGGCACCCTAGATCAGTGCGAAGCCGTCCTGTGTGATGGTGCTATGTGGTATATTCGCTAGTCTGGAGCTTGATGTAAAGTAATGTGTTTTCAGGACCCTGGCTTGGACAATAAAGCATACGAGTGTGACGCCAATGGCTCGACCAACCACGAGGTCAAACCTAAACAAGAGAAGGATGGATTTCAGAATGTCGGTTTCTCCAGATCGGCTGATGACGTTTTCGTGTCCATCCCGGCGTCAAAGGAGGTGACGACGACATCCGCAAAGGTTGGCCATAATAACATTTAAACGAATCCCCCTAATTAACTACTAGATTGGTTTACAAAAGAAATTGGAGTTGATACCCAAAATACTTTTGAACCTAACCTGCTAGGATTTCATGCAGAGTTGTACCTTGGTAAGGGTTACCTAATATATGGAATACCGCAAGGGACATTCTCTCGATATCGACCTCAGGAAACGATATGTTTAGAGTTTGAACGATATCTTGTCCATGCGAAGAATTCTTCTCCCTTGAAACGGGTAAGCGGAAACAGCCAAGATGATGACATGTATTCGGAAATGAGACTAATTATTTGATTATTATCTACGGATAATTAAAATGACGCAGGCATGTACTGTCTGACACAGCAGTCTCACGGAGATCAAACGTTATCTTGTCTTCAATACGTTGTGTCAGTTCACGGCTTAATGTTTCAAATATGCCCTTAAGTTTAGATGTAATCTCTTGGGTAGATTGCCAACAGCTTTAATATTTATAATTTTACTTTGAGGTACCTGGAATGTGACGGTTGGTGTCAGTGTTTGACGGTGACAGTAACTTTCATTGCCATCTTGGCATAAATAATGAGTTGGTGAATGTTCTAGCGTGCATCAACAGTACTAACGCACGGGTCTAATCCACGAAACTGTTTCAGCCCTACGGAGGTGACGAGGAGAAGATGTACCGGTACGGATGGCGTGGTTTTAAACCAGGGTAAGTTGGACACACACGTATAACCTGTTTTTCAAGTATTTTGTTCTTTCCAGATAGAATACGTCATAAAATCGATGATATTTTGATATCGCTTGAAATGGGACTCCGTTGAGGTAATGTATGTAGCATGAAGACCAGGGAGAGGGAGAGTTCACATTATAAGTTGTAGCCGGAGCACGAGGGATACACGGGGTTTAATGCGTCCCGCGTTAGATTTTATACTAGGAGCCAGATGCGTCCCACGTTAGATTTAAAACGACAAGCCGGAGACGAGTGGTATAAAACCTTACGAGAGACGCATATAAACCCCATGTATCTCGAGTTATCCTGCTACAACGAATTTATCTTATCGACAGGTTTGATATGGCATTGTAAAAGAATTAAAACAAATTCAAAATTGATAGAAAACAGCTGTTAGATCGATATTAAGTTAACTCGTGCTATGTCACGTGACTTTTATTGACTCGATAAACAAGTTGCGGCATTTTGTTTCAAAGTCGGCAACAAGGGATTTATTCTGCCTCTCAGAAATCCACGTACAACCTGACTTGTTCGTGGCGGGTACAAGAGGTTTATTCTCCCTCTGAGAAATTTATATTCCTCCAAGGCGGGATACATAATATTTTATCAAGATCACTTGGAACAATCAGATCTCATCATTCTGACATGGAGGTATGATAAACATGTGTGTTTGTTTGTTATTTAACGCCCCATTCAGCATTATTCCAGCTGAATGACGACGGCCTCTTTGAGTCTGGACCAGACAATCCAGTGATTGATGTTGATCAACCAAGTCATCGAACATGACCACCCATCCATTTTGTCGCCTCGTACGATCAGCATAGGTTATCGGGAACCTGTTCTACCCGGGAATCCCCACTGAGTCCTACGAGACATGCAGGACACTGCGACACACGCCCTCTCATGCTGTATGGGAAGCTTGGGACTTACTCTCTGAAAACGTGACACACGCCACCAATGCTGTCTTTGGTGCTTGATGTTTAGGATTAATGATTAATGGGAAAACACTACTCCCATCACAGGGATATTTGACAGATACCACTCCCACTAACCCTGTCTCTCAGCACAGAACTATGTGAACTGCCACCATTAATAATGATAATAATAATAATAATAATAATAATTTGTCAGGAGTCGTATCCACCCACATATGCATGCTCATGGCATTGCATTATTTTCACCACGAACAATGGATCAGTTTGCACTTCAATTTCATTCTCAGCTCCCTGAGGCGTATACTTGCTGCCCATGAGGCGCTAGAAGGTTTACAGTCATCATCTTACCATCTTATCCTACCGGGTACCCATTCACTGCGTGCCAAAAGGACACAACATGTAACATGTTTTTCAGTACAATGTGGAACAAGACCCTAAAAACTTTTAGGGATCAGGATTACCGACCTCGTCACCCATCCATCTACTCTCCGCGACCAATGTTGCCTGACATGATTTGTGACCGCTGTACATGCAACTAATCATGTCTCTAAAAACAGAAATATGTTATACATGCCACTAATCCTGTTTCTAATTAAGAAATATGTGATACACCTCAATATCACTTCGCTATATAGATAAGACAACTGCTCGAATGCAATTCATAATTAACAAAGTCTATTTTCTTTAGTTTCATACAGAAATTCAACAGAATCGGAATCTTCGTCTTCTGGGCTATAGTACTCTGTGTTACCGAGGGTTTTACAGTGAACGGGATAGCCAATGCAGCTTTACCTCATCTAGAGAAACAGTTCGGCCTCCAAAGCTCCAAATCTGCCCTGATAACAAGTTCCCAGGACATAGGAGCCCTGGTCGTTGTCCTGTTCGTCAGCTTCATCGGAGGCCGGTACAACAAGGCGTCTTGGGTCGCCGGGGGCTCGCTCATCAGTGCCGTCGGGTCTTTCTTGTTTATGGTTCCTCATATGGCTACAAATGCCCCCGTTATAGGTGAGTTGTTTCGATAACCCATGGTATCTCATGGTGTGATGACAGTGGCCAGCCTGTATTGCAGAGATTGCATTGTAAACTTAAGTCTACGTCTTCTTCAATACAGAGTCTTAGTGGTTTGTTCCTTTTCGTAACTGTAGCGTTATAAAATACTAATACCTCTTCAGTCTTAGAACTTTTAATGTCGGAGTACAGAATAAATGAATCCTAGTAGCATGTTTAGCTAACTATTTCATTAAAATCTGATCTTACGTCTCGCTACCAGTAAACAAAGATCTGAGGGCAACCCATTTCAGGTCACGTCATAAGGACTTTATGGCCAACTTTCACCGACCAATGAAATGACTAATAAGAAAAAGACATTAGCCAATCAGAACATTCTGGAATGTCAAATAAATGGCCTATATTGTATGGCAGTACTTCCCACGGGGCTATGCAAAGTCGCTTTCTTTTCGAATGTCTGTCCCGTTGAAGCTATAGATAGATGATGATCTGGATGGATTTAGTCGTACAGCTCGTAACGATGGAATTCAAGAAGGGACATTGTCGCGTTGTCGCCCTTTGGTAAAATAAAAAGTATTATTTAAAGCCCGACAATGCGACTACGCGACATTGCGACAAATGGCCAAATTGTCTCGTTGTCGCGCTTTGGTTAATTTTGACACTTTTTGCTTGTTTTTGTAAGGGCGACAACGCGAGAATGTCCCTTCAAGGATTCCATACGTTACTGTAGTTCGGAATACCCCATGTTAATCTTTTCGAGGTTGCATGTTCAGGAAACACATTCCGTCTGTCACTTTCCTGATCTGGTAAGCGACGCTCTGATTGGTCGGATGAAAAGTGACCAGTGAAAGGATGTCCTTGGAAAAACTAAGATCTGAGTTTAATGAGATTGGATTAGCCAATAGCTTCTAAATTGTAGCGGAGACGCTTATGAGGAATTTGAAGTATAATATTTCATGTTTTATTCACCAGCTTCTTCTGGTAGTTCTTCTGTGTCACCCATATGTGATCTCCAGAATTCGACTTCCGGTTCCGGTCCTACGTCTGGGGACGGTAGTGGGCTGTCCCATTATCTAGGGGTGTTCATGATCGCTCAGATGGTTCACGGGGTAGGCTTCACACCCATGTTATCACTTGGAACAGCCTATATTGATGAGAACGCGGAACCCGCGTCAGCAGCTATATACGTCGGTAAGTCTCCAGGCAACTGAAATACATGACTGTGTTGGGTTAAATAAATCTCAATATTTCAGTTATATCACTGCGTGACAGCTTACCTCGAGAAGACTTGGGTTATCCAATTGTTGAAACCCATCTGCACATCTGCACTTCTAGTGTCATATTCATGTTGAAAACTCTTCAAGAACTGAAGAAAGAGTTTCCTGACCGCCAGGAAAGAACAAATCATCTCAAGTAGTCTATTAATGTTGACACTTTTATTCCATCCAGACGTACATGCGGGTTGTCTTGATCTATCTATCTATCTCTTTCATTCGAATTTGTTCGTGTTACGCAATCGGAATGTATCATAACGTTCAACCATAATATTTAAAGCTGCAACGTGTTCAACCTGTTTCACTCATGCGCAAATTAGCTAAAGAATAATATAATTTGTGTATTCATTATCAAAATTTTATTTGGCAAAGCCTTCTGTAGGTAAATAAATGTTAATTTGTGCAGGATACTCACATCCGTCAAGGTTTGTTCTCTATAAATGGTGTCTGCAGTGGACGTTGACATGCATACTCAGCATGTACTTGGTGGGTTACATGTAGCATTAGTATGTAAAAAGTAGTTGCTTATCACAGATTTTCTATTTATTTCAATACACAAAAATAGAGGGGATGGCTAAGAAATGGATTTAAATTATTTCTTATATATTTTTGTTCGGATCTTTTAACACCAGTTAAACAGTTGTAAACTGAAAAGTTCAGTATTAATCTGACATCACTCTATATGCCTCTAGGTTTGACGTATGCTGCGGCTGCAGTCGGGGTCGCAATTGGGTTCTTTGCCGGAGGCCAGTTGACGGAGAAGTTTTACGTGGATTATGACAGGGTGGATCAGGCAAGGTATGGAGACTCTGCTCTGTGATTGAAAGTTCGTTTAACATTGAAAAATATATTATAAAATTTGCATTTACCGCGATAACATTCCTATGTCTATCGGTCGATATGAGCATACTGATTTGAAAAAAACAACATATAAGCGTACAGTTTACCTTAACTTCAAATTGCAGAAATTCTGCAAATTACAATCAATGTTGACATTCTTCCTTACATGTGCGAAGGGTTCAGGCTGGGATGTATGTCGTTTCTGTTTGTTTGGAGGCAGCAAATGTACGTTAGAGCATGTGTGTTGTCTGGTGCAAGAAGTTTCTTTACCATATGCTTGTGTTTTAGTTTAGATTTCGGGCCCCGCGACCCGCGTTGGATCGGAGGATGGTGGATCGGGTTTACAGTATCGGTTTTGCTGTTCGCGTTGGCATCCATCCCGTTGTTTGGCTTCCCGAGGGCTATACCAGGTAGGTATCAGGGCGGGTTTCTATGGGTATCCTCAAATGCAAACACTTTCAATTATCTTAGTGGAAATTTGTGAGGTTTGTATTGAATATTTAACAAATGAGGGTAAGCGAGTGAGTGAAGTTTGTGACGCCACAGACAGCCTTTAAACCCTAGTCACACTAGAGGCAGGATGAGCGTGAATCCCGTCGGAATGAAAATTCTAAGTTTATTCCTGGATATTCGAAGTGCATTCCAAAACTTCTGACTGCTTTCTGTGTGCATTCCAAATATTCGGGCCCATTCTTGTGGCCGGCCCGAATGTTTTGCTCATGCTCAAAACTTTCGAAGTGGAGAAACATGTAACGACATTCTAAGTGTAGTCTAACTGCACTCAGACTGCATTCTAAATATTCTTACGGCATTCCAACAGCGTTCGAAACATTCTGATCGAAGCCACTTCAAATTCTGCCCGAATGTCCCGAATGCGTCTGGGATGAGCCGGAATGCATCTCGATGGCTGCCGGAATCTATTTCGATATTAAAAGAATTCAACTGGAATGCACTTCGAATGCCGTCAGAATCTTTCAAATGCCGCTCGAATGCGGCTCGAAAGCAGTCGGAATGTCCCGATTGTCCCTCGAATGAGTCCGGACGTATTTCAGAACACCGCCGATTTACATAGAAACGCGGCCAGCCATCGCTGGAACGTCAGTCTACATTGAGCAGTCACCTGGTCAACATCATGCCATGCCGCCAGGAAGAAGGGCGCCAAGGTCAAGAACTCCACCACTGGCCGCGGCCATGGTCGGGTGTGCTATCTTCTGGGTCTTCTCCTTCTGTTTCTTCTCCTGGCCTCCTCCACAACTCTTTCAAGCAGGTCTTGCTGGTGGACAGCAATCTGGAGCAAAGCAACATGGTACAGGGGATCATGCAGGATGATGCTTGGGCTGAGACTGATGAAAATGCTAGATTCGGCAGCATTTTATACCCTATCGGGGACCATTCCGGCGGCATTTTTGATACACTCGGGACATTCGTGTTACATTTGAAGTACAGTCTAAGTATTCGAGCTGCATTCGTTTTGAAATCTTGGACGTTCGAACCATATTCGGCGGCCATTCCAGGAGCGTTCTGACTGTATTCGAGGTGACTTCGTACAGCATTCGAGGCACCTTCCAACCAGTCTTCGGGCGGTATTCGGGCAGCAATCGAACCGCATTCGTATGGCATTCGAAGTGCATTCTAATTATTCTGACTGCATTCTAACAGCATTCTAAATATTCCTACTGTGTTCCAACTACATTCGAACTGCATTCGAGAGCTAATACACCCGGAATGTGCGAGAATAATACGCGGTGGGTTCGAAGCGCATTCTAAGTAAAAAACGGCATTCTTAAAAAGCTTGGTCAATTTGAAATTCCTTCCCGAATGTGGCACGAATTTTGAAAATTCTTCATTCCGACTGGTTCTGCTTGATTCCTGCTGATTCCGAATAAGTGTGACGGGGCATTATTCATCCTCCCGAGGCAAGGGAGTTAACTGACTGTATAAGTCCAGTTTCCTCGGGAACTGGATTTTTATAGTCAGTTAACTCCCTTGCCTCGGGAAGATGACCTTTACTATCCTGAGTATAAATCGAGTACCGAATAGTTCCAGGGATTGTATCATCACAGAATGGAGATATAATACACTGGATGTTCGGGGATGTCTGTATCATGGCGACCTGTAAATGATCGAGCCTAAGCCAGGCAAACCAACAGAAAAAAACATCAGCATCGGCAGTGGTAGATCAATGTGACTCAATGGACTCAAGTGAAGATCCGGTGTAGAATAGGTCTTCAGTAACCCATGCTTGTCGTCAGAGGCGACTAAAGGGATCGGGTGGTCAGGCTCGCTGACTTGGTTGATGCATGTCATCGTATCCCAGTTGTGAGGATCGATGCGCATGATGTCAATCACTAGAGTGTCTAGTCAAGACTCGATTATTTACAGACCGCCGTCATATAGCTGAATATTGATGAGTGCGACGGTGAACAACAAACAAACAATATATGGAAAACATGATCGGAACCCCTCTATGGTGACACACACGAACAAGCAAGGGGTACAAGGGGGACACTTCCGTGAAACAAAGAACTTAAATGTAATTTGTTACATGCAACATATTCTTTTTCTACTTTATTTCCAAATTTGTTTTATTTATCGGTCTTCCGTGGATTTTCTTCTGTTACCTCGTGTTATACCCTCGTCAGATATTTAGCTTGATGGTAGAAACGTTAGGTGAAAGATACAGAATGACATGAATTCATTCTCTGATATGTTGGACGTCCACTATTTAAGATTAAAGAGACAAATATTTCAACCTTCATATTACAGGGGGTGAAAAACACCGCAATGAACTGGCGCAAGACGCGAATGGCCGTGAGGAGAAACCTGTTCTTACTGTGATCAAAGACACCGTCGTAGATTTCTTTAAAGCTGTTTTGAAATTTGTAAGTATAAACAATCACAGATATTGCAGTGATTTCTTTAATATATTATTAACTGATCAGCGGCAGCGAAATGTGCATCTTCGCACGTACCCAAGTTTCACATCATAACAGTTTGTTATCTCTTTTGTCTAGAAAGATATTACCATATAATTTCACTTACTTAATGAAGATGTTACCTTACACCCGCACTTACACTTTCTTACCCAGTGAAGATACGGGATGGAATCTTCAGCAACCCCTGCTTGTCGGAAGAGGTGACGAACGGGATCGGGTGGTCAGACTCGCTAACTTTGTTGATGCATGTCTTTCAAGTGCGTGTATCACAAGTGCGAAAATCGATGATCATAATGTCAGTCACTGGATTGTCTGGTCCGTCATGTATTTAGGGATAGCCGTCATATAGCCGGAATATTGCTGAGTGCGTCGTTAAACAACAAATAAATGACACTTTCTCATACTTACACACACTGACACTTAATCTTAAAATTTACCCTGACTTCCACTCAATGGCAATTACACTTAAGTTGACTGACACTGACATTTATATATGAACATGCACTGACACTTGAACTTACACTGACGCTTATACATGGTCTTACACTGTCACTTGAACTTAAAATAAGACTCGAACTTACACTGATACTTAAACTTACACTAAAACCGTAACTATCACTGAACCTTACACTGACATTTTTATTTGGACTTGCACTGACACTTGCTCTTACACTGGCGTCTGTCAGGTCACACATTGTAACCATCCGATCCGGATGAGTCGGCGCTTGTGAAAAGCACGGGTAGTTGGCCTACACACGCACGCACTCGCACGCACGCACGCACGCACGCAGTGTCATACACACACACACACACACACACACACACACACACACACACACACACACCACAGTCCTCACGGGAAGTACGGGGCTCGTCTGCCTCACACACCTCATTGTCCCCGCCCAAGTACCTACATGCGTGAACATTTTAACATACGGCTTCCATCACTTCCAATCTTACTGACGTCCCCGCAAAGTTGCAGATCTCCTATGTTTCAGCTGGGTAACTTGGAGTTGATGTTTCTCAGTCTTGGGGGAGCTGCCGAGGCGCTCATTATCCTCGGAGTGGGGGCGTTTGCGTTCAAATACCTGGCTGAACAGTATGACATGCCCTTTGATCAGGCCGGCTACCTGTTAGGTGAGTTAGTGACTTTACTTTGATGTTGGGAAAGAAGACAGGTTGGTCTCGTTTAAGATGCACCGAGTACACATGAATGTGTATTTCTGTTAAAGATTATATAAAGATGTGATTATAAAATAACTCGAGTAGGCGTTTTCTCTTTAATTCCACATCAAAGAGGTCTTAATGCATATGTGTTGAGATGAAATGCAGTTTCTTAGAAACGTGCATTGGAGTTGGTAATAGTAAAATATGACTAGTAACGTAAAGTTTTTGTACATGAATAGAACACAATATATACTCTTCAAAAAAAAGAAACTTGACATAGATGTAAAACCACTCTTTGCCAAATATCTAAAATAATTACATTAAATGAGAACCAAATAAGTCAAACAGAAAGATGATGTGTCTATAATTCGCGAAAACACATGCAAATCACATAAACGTAGCGTTTGGGGATCAATTTTACAGCTTCATCCAAACGCAAACGCCTGTAAAATTTAGGCATGCAGGCCCCCCTGCTGAATGGGTATAAAAATCCACACCAACGGCTGTTCATACAGTCCTTATAACGGCTGTAGAGGCGGTGACAGAATGCCAAGACTGAATGCAGCTCAACGGAACAACGCCATTGGGAGATTACAAGCTGGAGCAACTCAGCAAGAAGTGGCCAGGCACTTTGGCGTATCCAGACAGACAATCTCCGCACTGTGGACCCGATACAACAACACCAACAGAGTTGACGACAGACCAAGGTCAGGAAGACCAAGGGTGACAACCCAAGCACAAGATCGATACATCCGGCTGCGACACCTCCGAGACCGCACTACCACAGCCACGTCTACAACCACACAGATCCCTGGGGTACGCAGAATATCAGATCAAACGGTACGCAACAGACTGAGGGAGGCTGGACTTTTTGCACGAAGACCTGTTCGACGTCATGTATTGACCCCACGTCATCTGGCGGACCGTCTGCTTTGGTGCCAACAGAGGGTTAGATGGGCACTCGCAAGGTGGAGAAATGTACTGTTTACTGACGAGTCCCGTTTCCTATTCACACGTACTGATGGGCGCGCACGTGTCTACAGACGTCGGGGTGAACGTTACGCCCCATACTGTGTGCAGCAGGTTGTCCCATTTGGCGGCGGGAATGTCATGGTATGGGCCGGAATTCATCACCGTGGTAGGACGCCTCTCGTGCATGTGGCAGGTGCATTGACAGGTGTGCGTTACAGAGACTTGATCCTATAGCCTTACGTTCTTCCTCACGTCAACGTTCATGGCGGACAGTTCCAGCAGGACAACGCTAAACCGCACATTGCACGTGTTTGTCAGGACTTCTTACAGCACAACAACATCCAGACATTACCTTGGCCAGCCCGGTCACTAGATTTGTCCCCGATTGAGCATCTGTGGGACGAGTTGGATCGGCGCGTTCGCAGAAGGAATCCACCCCCCCAAACACTTCCGGCGCTTCTTGATGCACTTCAGCATGAATGGCAGCACATCCAACAGCGTGTTATTGACAACTTGATTGCATCTATGGGTCGTCGGTGTCACGCGGTGATTGATGCACGTGGTGGGCACAACCGATACTGACATTTTCTGTACCCCTGCGACATTAACTGTATCGTGTACGTGTGTCTGTCTAGGTGACACGATTAATGTTTTGAACATTGTGTACATTGATCTTCAAACCGTGTTTCAATTGTATGGTTTCTGTGTCCTTTTTTTGAAACAATCGTATTAGATTACATTTTGAAAGTCAGTGTCAAGTTTCTTTTTTTTGAAGAGTATACAATGTTATTCCAAGTTCGACTTTTGTAATTCTATGTTGAAGTATGGTATGGGTTCTTGGTATCGTCGAATTCACGTCGAGTGTTTCTTAGACCGAAACTCGCTATTAGACAATGGTACCCATACCAATTCTGCCCAAATAATAAAGTTACATTAAAGCTTAAACTATAAACTTTGGTCCGGTATTGACAGAAATACGAAATTAATCCGAAGTCCATTTCGACATATTCCATTGTATCTGTTCTTTAGATGACTTTGTCTACAGTGAAATTCGGAGGGTATTATACATGGTAACAACATTTGATTTCGAAATAAACTGACGTCCAAAAGAAACTTTACCAGAGTTTGAAATCACTCTTGCTCAAAAACAACAAAACATACATGCATGAAGTAAAGTGTATTGAGAAGATCAATATATCAACATAATCAACACTGAAAATGACAATCATACCGGGACCGAGAATGACGTCAAAGCCCCCCAAAGTTGGGTGTGGTACAAAGCTCGACCTTTCAGAATCATGGACAATAGGCCGAGTACATAAACAATCGCTCACGTTCAATAACAAGTCATTAGTAGCGTGTGTGACCACCAAATGCCTAAATACACGCAAAAACTCTTCGACGCACAGAAAAAGTCAGTCAGATGAGGTCACGTGGGATTTGACGCCATTCGTCTTGGAGGGCCAAGATCAGTTCTTGCCGGTTGGCTGGAGAGTGTGGTCGTTGTCGAACACGACGATCCATCAAGTCCCAGAGGTGTTCTATGGGGGACATGTCGGGTGAGCGTGCAGGCCACGGCAGGACGTTGACGTTGTTTGCTGCGAGGAAGTTAGTGACAATTCTGGCTGTATTTGCTCTAGCGTTGTCATGCTGATAAATGACACCACGTGGCTGCTGTTGGAGAAATGGTAGGACAACTGGACGAAGAATGTTATCCATGTACCGCTGAGCTGTCAAGTTTCCGTCAACGATGACCAGCGGTGTCCTCTCCTGCCCACAGATCCCTCCCCACACCATGACACTCCCTCCACCATATGGTACGACCTCCTGCACGCAAAACGCCGCCGTTCGTTCACCCCTTCGGCGGTAAACACGTTGTCTTCCATCAGCCCTAAACATACAGAATCGACTTTCGTCAGTGAAGACAACCCTCTGCCAGTCACGTCGTTGCCAACGTCGTACACTCCGGGCCCATCTCAATCGCAGACGACGATGTTGCGCTGTCAATAGCTGTCCTCTGTATGGTCTAAAAGCCCTGATTCCATGAGCCCTGAGTCTCCTGGCCACTGTCTGTCGACTAACCCTGTGACCTAAGGCATTTGTCGCCGATGACGTCACTGTCAGGAAGCGATTTCGGAGGTGCAAGGTACGCAAGTACCGGTCATCATGGGGCGTGGTCACCCTGGGTCTGCCTGTTCTTGGCCTGTCAGCGGTCCGCCCTGTCTGTCTGTAACGTTGCATCAAGTTGGTAACGGCAACACGGGAGCAACCGAAGGTTCGTGCGATATGGGCGTGGGTGGCTCTCATCTGTACCATACCCAAGGCTCGTTCACGTTGTTCGACTGTGAGTCGTGGCATTTCTTTTGTGTTTCTTTATCACTGTGGATGTCTGACTTGCCGTTGCAATCGTTTTATACCCTTACCCGCACGTGCATTTGCAGTTGTCCATGGTGCACGTGTTTTTCACTTTTTCGCGTGTAACAGACGATTAACATTTTCTGCATACGCTATTGTTGTATTTAGGTTATGTGTTTTAGGTAGACTTCATCGTGAAAAAATGTATACTTTGTCTGAAATTTATATTTTCAGTTGGTAAAGATTCTTTTGGACGTCAGTTTAGTTCAAATTTATTTATCTTGAAATGGCAATGGTTATCTAACCGATGTTACATTAAGGATATTACTAATTCAATGAGTGAGCATTCCCTGTATGATAATGAATGAATATTGTTTTACACCGCATCAGCAATTTTCCAGCTATTCGCGGCCCTCCATGATAAGCATAAGTTTACAATTAATCTACAAACACCCTTTCTCAGATATTTTCTAGTGGGTAGCTAATTCAGTAGCTAAATATGGTTACCTTGTACGATTTGAAATAGATTGTTCTTACTGAAAATGCTTATTTTTCATATTGGAGTAAAAATCAACTCCTGAATATATTTTTTTCGATTTAATTATACCCTTGACAGCGTTGGAGACGGATTAACGGAATTGTTTGCAGGTGTCGGTTTAGAGAAACATAGAAAGACTCATAGAAACACATTCGCCCATGGAAACAAAACATTTTTTCTATAACATGTCAATATTACAAAGAAACAAACAAACAAAAAACAAATTATATCCGTAGAGCATTCATCAACGGTCTCACCATTCTTGTACGGCTAAGTGATTTTTTCAGGTGTTTCAAACTCTTCCCGTTTATACCTGTATAAATGTTGTAATATTTGCAGGAGGTCTAATATTGTTCAGCGCTTTTGGGATGGTGCTTGGTGGTATCCTCATCCGGGTATTTCACCTTGAGGGGGTAGGGATGGCGAGACTCAACGTCGGCCTGTGTGTTCTGTCCAGCATCCTGGGGTTCGCACTGCTGGCCAAGTGCCCCAATGTCCAGTTGGCAGGCACGGAAATACCTTACCCGGGCGAGAGGTGAGTCTTGCATGACGCATGGAAAACATACACTTAACACCTTCATTGAAATGTTTATTTTTCATTTTATAAAGAACACCACATTTTGCATATAAAAGGTCTGATGAATAATGTGTATGATTTGTGTTTTAATAGTACACAAATACCTATGTTTAAAGTACTAATTAAGATTACAACATAACCCAGAAGTTTTGAGGATTCGTTGGAAAATAACACCTTACAAACAGGACCGGCAAATATTTAAAAAATACAACCTAAATAAATAACTATGTTTTTAATTTTTAATTTTTACCAGATATAAAAATATTATCGGCAGTTATAGTGTCAGGAAGTATGTTTTCATTGATTAAGTGTTAGACATTCATTATCACAATCAGTATGCTACTGTTACAATACTGACCTATTTCCGCCCAACACCAACTAGTGTATGATGTATATTCAGCTCTGTGGCTGCCAACAACGCAACGTGTCGTGGGTCATGTGACTGCTCGAAGCAGATGTACAACCCCGTGTGCGGCGCTGACGACATCGTCTACTACTCCCCGTGTCACGCCGGCTGTATCAACCAGACCACCCTCGGACCATTAGCTGTAAGAATGCGCTGACAGCTGTATTAATTTTAAAAGAAACTATTTACTTCATGTCATAATACGACCAGAAATAGTATATGTATGGTGTTTTGTTTACACGTGTTGAACATATTCTCATTTGTTGTGAGAATACATATGTCTGCCACTTTTTTTTATGTTGCAATGTGGACTAGAATAATGCCTTTACTAGAAGCATTATGTTAAACATGAAACAAGAGATATCATTACCCGTACTACAAATTAATTAAGACAAATGTTCAACAATTCACTCACGACACTCTATAAGTAAAAGTTGTTTGGGTTTGCTTGAGCGTCCTTACTTAGTTTTGTGTTTGTTATTGCCAAGGTTTTCCCAGAGGGGGTGGGCGGGCTTACTGAGAAAAAACAAAAAAGGGAAAAAAGGTTGCAGAATACATCTTCATGGCTTTGACGATCGGGACCAGATATTCGTCAATTTAAACACGTCTGGTCGACTATTGAAAGCAAGCGGAACCCCAAAACCTAAATTTAAACACATTGTGGAAAAGCATTTAGGAGGAAAGCACACACATAAAAAAAAGAAACCATCACCATTAAGTTACATTGTAATTAAAAACCATTCTTACCATTGACCTTTTTCAAGTAATAAAACACACCTTCGAATCACTTTTATAAACAAATTATGTATCTTCTGACTTGCAGTCTCGGGCAAAATGGAACCAGATACTATATATACAGTATGTAAACTTACGAACAAGGACAAATCTTTCTACACAGCTTTAGATCTAGATTATTCTTAAAATATGTTTTAGTTATGAAATTAGAATGACAGATGGACCTAATCTTGGTCTACAATCTGCGACGTTTCACATTTTTGTCATGGTCAAAGGGAGACAATTCAATCGATTTTATTCCAGGTGGTAAAGTTTGTGGTCAAAGGGAAGTAATTCAGCTAGATAATTAGACTGTGCTCCTGTCTGACTAAAAGCGCTAAACTTGCGGCGCATACCAACAGTGTAACCAGTTTACTTTGTAGTTTCAAACGGAGTTATGTCCCTTGTACAAGCTTCCGTCAAGCTCCTCATAGCGATAGCCCGTCTGAATAGGTGGCAACAACCATGCTTGGAGTTTACCTCGCAACCGAATAACCGTTATGTTTACAAACAAGTGACGACTGTCGTGACTCCGAATACACTTATCGCTGCTAGATTACTTTTTTCGTTTGTCAATTTGAATTTCTGTTTCATTAAAACTATCATGTTATTGATATAGTAAGAATGTAAGGGAGAAGTTGGTTGATTTTCCGTTAGTCTGCAATCTCGAACCAATCTGATTATTAAAACAACAAAGTAAATTCATCTGGAAAACATGGTCAGTCGTAAACCTTTTCAAAACGAAACATCATGGCATTCCCAAAGACATAAACAAAAGTATCAACGTTACTACATTTGGGGTTAGAGGGCAAATTTCAAGATTCTAGTAATGGCCGCGCCCACACTGGTGGCAGCGATGTTACCGAGAGTGTAACGAAGGTGTCACGCGCTGGGAAGGAGCTTGAGCTTCCGTCCCGGTCTATGTGAAAACTTCAGACACTGCCTTCTACTTTGTCAGAGTAACTGTGTTGAGAAAATAATCTTGTCCTTAACCTGTAAAATAATGCGCATGTCCGACCTAAGTTATCACGACAAGGTAAATAACCAGTATTTACTAAGCTCAGTGCGTGAATGGACTATCGTTGTGAAGAGCTTGAATTTCCCCATAGAACTCGGAACATTCCACACGATGTACGGAGTTTACGTGAACAAACTGTATGGAGCTCATGACAAGGGACCTTACTCTTATATTACCAGTAGATCATTACATGATTATCTCCCTTAGACCATTAATGCAATGATGGCGCGGTAGGGTAATCTTTCAATGACGTTTAACAACCGTTTCGTGTTTACTTCTATCTTGATTCACTGTTCATTGTGTATGTACGTCTATTGGGATCATGCGACGACAGTTTATGTCACACAAAGAACCCGAAAACCGAAATTTAAACACATTGTGGAAAGCATAACAGATATGCACACGTATTATTTAAAAAGAAACCATCACTATGAAGTTATACTGTAATGAAGAAACGTTTTTCCATTGACCTATTTCAAGTCATGAAACATAAAACACGGGTTCATAACAGTTCTAAAATCACTTTAATTTTAAATCAAATATATATTTTCTGATACGGGAAAATGGAACTGGGTGTTATGTTGTAAATCTACGAACAAGGGAAAAACGTTCTACACGGGGTTCAATCTAGACAGTTTCTTAAATGTAATTTTTACATATGAAATATGAAGTACAGACAGGCCTGATCTTGTAAGGTCTACAGTTACAACAAAGAAATGCAAAATTAACTTTCCTAAGTGAAGCAGGTTTCATATCCTAGCATCATTCATAAATACATTTCCACAATATTTCCATGTTTGTTTTCGATTTTCACAGCTGAACGAAAATAGGACAGTCAACTAAGTAAAATATATTCTCACAGATGTCACGCAAATTCTATTTAATATTGCAGGCATTGATTAAACTGAGGTTTTTGCGCAAACAAACATGAATAAAAATTTCTTGAATTTTCTTTAAATAAGACAAGCACGCAGTGGGGTTTATTTTTAACAGTGGTACTACCCGGTAGGCTTTGGCTACCCTGTCGGTAGAAACTTGAACAGGCTCTGTGGAGTCAAGCTTGTGGTACAAAGTCATTTTAACTCTCTTATCGCTGAGAGAATCACCAAAGTTAGTCAGAACTTTGACGATCAAGGTTGCACGAACTCCGAACTTCACAAATAATAGGCCCGTCTGGGTGGTCTTCATGCCATGTACTTTCTCCAACATGAACACAGCTCCCCGCTTTGTATATGAACTATAGTTGAGGCGAATCCTATATCGCAACACAGAAATAAACACTTCACTTTAAGAACGCATGCTGTCATTTATATGTATGACCGTGGTTTTCAAACCATTTATTTCTTTTCGTGGAAGGAAAATTTGCAGGCGACGCGAGATGAGAAACACAAAAATAATTAACGACACGCCCTGAGTAATATCCACCCTTCTATTTCAGACTTACGGCAACTGCAGTTGTGTGGCACATAGTATGAACAGAACTACCAATGACGTCATTTCCACTGCCGTAAAGGGGCGGTGTGATATTGACTGTAACAACCTGTACATCTTAGCGCCTCTACTTTTTGTTATGCTTCTATCAGTATTAACGACAACAACACCGGTTTCCATGGCAACACTCAGGTGAGTTTCCTTCCATATATAGATTTCAATATTCCGAGTTCAAAACAATTAATTGTATCACATTGCATGTAGCTATGTCCACAAAGGGTGATCTACTACACTCGTGTCAATTGGGTATTTGAGCTGACTGATCATAGTCAGTGTAAGCGGATATTCGAACCCACTGGATCCTGGCACGGAAAAGAGACACAACACAGTTAATGGCGGCGCTTTAGGCCACTAGTCACCATCTGAAATATAGTTTAAGTTTGTAGTTTTGATAAACAATCTCCTTGCGTTTCCGTGTTTGTTTTTGTAGTTTGTTGTTTAACGCAGCACTCCGCAATATCCCAGCTATATGACGGTGGTCTGTAAAAAATCGAGTCTTGATCAGACATTCCAATGATTGATATTATGAGCACTGATCAAGACTGTGCTTATAATAGACTGCGATTACACACATTCAACCAAGTCATTTACCCGGATTTCCAGGCTGAAATCTGATCAGCTTTGAAGCAAGTCGTCAAGTAGAGTACCCGTCAAAACGGACAAGCCGATTTGGCCATAACGGCTGAAATGAACCGATGTTCGTGAAAACCAACCAGTGAAATATAAGATCAAAACCTAATACCACATCTTTAGTCATATATACAAAGTCATTAGTCTCGTTTCATTGTTGTGTTGTCTTTTATTTTGTATTATCGTATTGTTAAAAATATATCTCACTACGACTGAAAGTTTATGTTATTCCGTCCCAGATGCGTGGATCCGCAGCTGAAGCCATTTGCACTGGGATTCCAGTGGATGCTGATGAGGCTGTTAGGTAAGACTTAGCGTCCTACGTGATGATAGCCCATGTTATTTAGACATTCGACACCGTCACCAGCCAAGACGTTCTTTCAAAATTTAATTCATGGTTGGTCTACGGGTTCTGTATCGGACCAAAAGATCTGTGCTGCAATTCTTCTGAAGTCATCTCTTAACAGTACAATCAGTATGGACCTTACCGCCATTGACACAATGGAATCCAATAAATGTGTTTATGGGAGGTTTTTGAACAGTTGCTTCTCTTGCAATATCGATCTGTTTTTGGTTTTGGTTTTCAGTATTACTATTTGTTATGGAACTCTAAGGGACGGAAAACAAAGGGTTCTTAAATCGTGAATTTATCTCATATTTGTGATATGTTAAGACGGCGGTCCAGTGAACTAGGTAATGCAATACGAAAATCAGTTGTGGAATAAACATGCTTGTCCTCTACTGCAGGTTCCATCCCAGGGCCGGTGCTGATTGGCTTCGTTCTGGATTCCTCCTGTGAAATCTGGAGTCCCCCTTCTCCAGATGGGACCCGGTTCTGCATGCTCTATAACAAGCAAAGGATGTCCATAGGTGTGTTCACGTGGTGGATTGTTGTCAACATCATTGCGGCACTTTGCTTTTTGATAGCTTCCTTTGCCGGTGCACGGAAGAGGAAGTCAATGGACCTGTAGACCCACGAGCAACAGTTTTGTTTTTTATGAGATTGTGACTTTGCATTGAATTCCCTTCATATTTTGGTTCGAAGGAGTGTTCAGTGCTGACTGTGGACGTTGGTCAACGGTTGGTTTCCATGGTAACATTTCGCTTGTACAGAGATCATATGCTTGTATAAAGGTACAGAGACAAGTCCCGAGTTGACATGATCACATGCATCTGATTGGTCAACAAATTTACAAAAGGGGTCGAAATGTAGACCATTATTATTTTCGGTGGCAATATTCAATACCTATGAACACTTGTTAGTGGAGCCAGACAATACTTATCCATACGCATTAGAATCCATATCACTTTGCTGGCCGTAAGTCACAAAACCTGCGGTATTACTTATCATCATGTAATGTCCAAGCAAACCTCCTTAACCCAGACAGCATCGTTCCCAATGAAATCGTTCGGTTAAACGATACTACGCAATACGGTGTTATCTGCCTTTCATATGTAACTTTAAATTCGCGAAATTTAAATTCTTACAAAAGTTTTTGTGTTCTTTATACAATTGATGTAGCGACATAACTGATTCTTGTCAGTAACGATAAGCGTTAGATGATTGATCAGCCTACAAAGGCATATAGTACATATCAAACTTATTATAATTACATTACATTTATCGATACATTTACACATACAGCTACCACCACCCACCTCACCCCAACAAGATGACATGCACTGTTATAACTGCAATACTACTAAATGTACACGCACGGTGCTATCAATGTTACACATTGTTTGTAGTTTAAGTTCCATGCTCGTTGAATTCTCGCTGCACCCTCATCCTACTCACTTTAATTACTTGAAGGTAGTCATCGAGTCGTACTAAAAGGATAGAAGATTTAAATTAACACGTGACCTAAATACGTCACAGTTGAATTGTTTTCTGCATACGTTTGCAGCATAACAACTTGATTAAACCTACTTCTCAAAATAATGGAGGAATCGTATAGAGCCCTGTGGATTTCTTACACAAAGGGTACACTTCAGGTGTTTGTGAAATAACTGTTGGATGGCTGTTTTTGCCCTTAAGAACATTTTTATGCAGGAGGTCCTGCCTTGTACATGGATACATCAGTATAGTCTAATGTTTACACATTTTGTTATATATTTGTTCAAAATGATTTACGTTTTATGTAGTATGTAATCTTTGATTTTTATTTGACAAGTTAATAAAATGTTCTTGTTGGATATTGTATTGTTTCCTTACAATCTCATTAAAATCAGATCTTAAAAGATGATCTGAGGACATCCCATTACGGGAAATGTTACGGCAGAAAACACCTGTTTGCATATTGCACACTTCATTACGACGACACACGGTGGGTATATACATACCAAAATGGACCCGTGAAGATCCGGGTTAGAATAGGTCTTCAGCAACCCATGCTTGCTGTAAGAGGTGACTGTTTGTGATAAGAGGCGACTAACGGGATCGGGTGATCAGACTCGCAGACTTGATTGATGCATATCATCGTATCCGAACTGCGTGGATCGATGCTCATGATGTCAATCACTGGATTGTCTGGTCCACAGTTGATTATTTACAGACCGCCTTCATATAACTGGAATATTGCTGAGTGCGGAGCTAAACAACAAACAAACAAAGCATCCCAAAATGAATACGAATCTCATGATCTTCCTCTCGTTGTATACATGCAGTAAACTGCGGTTGTGTGTTCAATGCTTCCTAAACAACGTGATTCAGTAAGTGGTTGACAACATGAAGTCGGTGAAATAAAGTTAAATCAATTTCATTTGAATACAGGAACCCGCGAGTATTAAATGAACTCTTAAATCTCTTAAAATGACAATGGGGTGAGTATAGGCTGGTAGAGCTGCCATGGGGGGAGTATAGGCTGGTAGAGCTGACAATGGGGTGAGTATAGGCTGGTAGAGCTGACAATGGGGTGAGTATAGGCTGGTAGAGCTGACAATGGGGTGAGTATAGGCTGGTAGAGCTGACAATGGGGTGAGTATAGGCTGGTAGAGCTGACAAAGATGTGAGCATAGGCTGCTAGAGCTGAGAAGGGGATGAGTATAGGCTGGTAGAGTTGAAAAGGGAATCGGTATAGGATTCTAGAGGTGAGAGGGGGATGAGTATAGGCTGCTTGAGCCAAGAAGGGGATGAGTATAGGCTGACAAGCGGATAAGTATAGGCTGCTTGAGCCAAGAAGTGGATGAGTATAGGCTGCTAAGGCTGACAAGGGGATTTCTTGCATTAAACGAAACTGAGTGTCGAAAGTGGCCGGGTGCATCTCGTTCATAGACATTGATCAAGAGCTTCGCACCCGATCTATCTGTTGTCTGTATGCTCATGTAAAATTGGTATAAATGTATATAATGTATGTAGGAGAACTATGTACTGTAATGTGGAATGCAAAGTGTCTGAAGCGTGCGACGTGTTTATTTGGTTTTATGAAGTGTTAATCTCGATTAAATCTCTCTTTTTTATGAATGAGAAAAAGATTCCAGCGTGATATTTCATGTTTCTAAAACGAGGTCAACCTTGTTTTGTTTGTTGTTTAACGCCGCACTCGGCAATATTACAGCTATATGACAGCAGTCTGTAAATATTCGATTCTTGACATCATGAGCATCGACCCATGAAACTGGGATACGATGCCGTGCATCAACCAAGTCTGAGAGCCTGACCACCCGATCGCGTAAGCTGTCTCTTATCACAAACATGGGTTACTGAAGACCAATTCTAACCCGGATTTTAAAGGGTGGGTCATCTTTGTACAACACATGTGTGACGTACGGATTTAGCACTCTCCACCTGTCTCGTCATCCCGTTGGTAAAAATGTGTGATACGTTGCATTACGACATGATAAGGTGCGATACTGCAAGTGTGATACTGTGTTGTACTTAGTGTGACGCTGTGTGCTAAGGTGTGACACGATATAGAAATAACTTCTTTGATAGGCATTTGCAAGTTGGAATACTAAGTAAGGATAAGAATTTATGGATGAACAACTTCTTTATTACGATTAAGAGCGACGTTTCGGTGTAGGTTCTAACATCGTTATAAAGCAAGTTTGTGTAGGTTCTAACACCGTTATCAAGCAAGTTTGCTTGATAACGGTGTTAGAACCTACACCGAAACGTCGCTCTTAATTGTAATAAAGAGGGGCGGTCGGGTAGCCTAGTGGTTAAAGCGTTCGCTCGTCACGCCGAACACCCGTGTTCGATTCCCGGACATGGGTACAATGTGTGAAGCCCATTTCTGGTGTCCTCCGCCGTGTTATTGCTGGAATATTGCTAAAAGCGGCGTAAAACCATACTCCCTCACTTGTTATAAAGAAGTTGTTTATCCATAAATTCTTATCCTTACGATATAGAAATACTTAATGCGGTCACACGATGTGCTATATGTGTGATACGGTAAGCAGGTGTAACAACAACGTTTGTGTTCTCAGCACGGGTCTGTGGACAACAAGAAAATGTCATCTACAGTTTATTTGTATAGAAGGGATAAGCTTCAACGGCATTCTCCCGTCTCTGAAACAACAACCTACATTTTACATAGCACGAGATGACTGATGATTAACAGCGGCCTCCGTGGACGCACACCCGTGCAGTAAAGCTCCCCTACGCAATGGAAAGCTCTAAGAAGGTACTTCTTTGTACAACTTTGCCTGGCGTTGCCTGGCATTATCATTTAAATGCTTAAGTGTATGTGTGACTTAATACCTTAGGGGTTCAGAGCAACATCTTCAGTTTTATAGCGAAAATGTCAAACCGGCGAGTGAGTTAGTGAGTGAGATGGGTTTACTGCCGCTTCACAAAACATTTCCGTTCCATGTATATATCTTGGTGTGACAGCAAAATGTGGTAGGCAACCCAAACTGACACAGGTCTAGTTGTATACCGCTTTGGTGAAACCGACGGTAATGGAGCTGAAAGACCATGTGTCCGGATAGGGGCAAACCTGAGAATCGAACACAGAACCAGAGGATCCTATACCCTAAACGGCAAATCTACGTGCACAGCTTAGAGCGGTGGAGTTTATAGCAAATTAGAACATAGATATATGACCAGTATATATCAAACCGTTACGGGACTATGGCATAGGTGTCGTTGTCACGTACAATCTTGGCATAAAATTCTCTTATTCCAAAATTCTATCTTAAGATTTTTGTGGTCTGCTGGTGAGTAGGGTTACGGCTAGCCCCGTTAAGGCCTTTGTAACCGCCCTTTCTCAGAAGAAATGCTCATTGATATTGCATGTATTCGTGGCCTTCCTTCTTTAGAGGCGGTCGGGTAGCCTAGAGGTTAAAGCGTTCGCTCGTCACACGGAAGACCCGGCTTTGATTCCCGACGTTGGTACATTGTGTGAAGCCCATTTCTGGTGTCCCGCGCCGTTATATTTATGTAATATTGCTAAAAGCGGCGTAAAACCATACTCTTTCACTCACTTCCGTCACCGTTTTTTTCTATTTGTTTTACCCGTATGACTGGCAAGAACCGGTTGGGAGCAAATGAAATCGTATCTAATATTGAGTATCAAATCTGTTTAATCGAGCTTAACGTGTGAAAATATTATATTTGAAAGCAATTAATGGTGTCATTTTCAAACGTAAATGCCTTTCATATTCTGAATTTGGAAAAGATCAAATAATCAATGTTTTGTGGTCATGCTATCCCTTCTTGACAAGGCCGAGGAAGCAGCTACAGACCGAACAGGGAACACCACCAACCGCCAGGAGGAACCTCAACAATCTAAACAGGTATTCTCTATATTACTATACAGTTAAAAACCAGAAATTTGCAGGTACCGCCCCAAGTGGAATCGTCCGATGTTTTAGAACTAACGAGTAACTGTTTCAGTGATATCTATGGAATCCTTGGGACACTATCGTGTTGCCGCCCTTCAAAAAACAAGCCAACAGTGACAAAATTAACCAAAGCGGGACACCGAGAAAACCCGACATTTAGGCCAGCTGTCACGATGTGAATAGTTTTTCCGGCTTCAAACAAAGGGCGGCAAGGTCAAAATATGTCGCATTGTCCAAAAATATATAAAAACGAGTAAAAAACCACTTTGTTATCTACGACAATTCGATATTTTGAATATGTCACATTGTCACCCTGAGGGTTTTATTTTGAAATGCGTCTCTGGTTAATTTTGTCATTGTGTGCTTGTTTCTGTAAGTGTGACAACTCAATAATATCCCTTCTAGGATTCCATAGATATACGTATTAGGGCTTATTAATAGTGTATTGGGTTTAGCTAGCGGGAAATGGTTGAATGTACATATGTTTGACCCGCCCCCGCCCCATCTCCCACCACATCTCCCTACCCATCTCCCTCTAAAAGAGACGTGAAGCACTGTTACTCACTCATTAGATTATTTCATGTTTTTTCATGTCTCAAGGAAGACGATTCTTGTCTGTATGGTTGGGGATCATTCAAGCCCAGGTGAGAATCTCTCCTACCTAGTGTGATGTCCACATTTCTCAACTGAAGCAAAACTGCAGTCTCTTCCAAGTAGAGTCAAAGTCTTATGATCTTGTAAACCCAAGCACGCTGTCATTATCTGCTTTTTCAACCAACTACAGTTGAAAGTTTTGAGCTTGTTGAGGACACAGTAAAGAGCCCTTGTCTCGTCGCTGCACCTAGTTCCGTTCTCCAAGGTATCGTCTAGAGGATAGAGAGGCCGTCCGCAGCCTGGTTCCCTGGGTATGCTGCGTTGGTGCTACGCTGAGCGCCGCGCAGCATACACAGGGAACCAGGCTGGTCTACCCGGAGAACGGAAGGCCGAGGGTTGGCACTGGTTCGAACCCCTAGCAAGGTCATACCAAAATACGTAAAACGCTGATACTTCTTGTTGCTCTTCCTATTTCGTAGGGTTAGCACTATAAAACCGACATTAGTTCGAACAAGTACAAGCGGCCACAAACACACATGCATGCACGTAGCTATATACGTACATAAATCTTGAACGCGACATTAAACCCCATGTCACATCACTTTCAAGGTATCCACGTTGTTCAGGCCACATTCGAAGGGGAATACCTTATGACGAACTTTCATCTTGCATTACTTCATAAAACACATGGGGATACGGGTAAAACATTTGTCTTGAGGATTTTTTATGCAGAGTTGCGTTTCTTAGCTAGTCCGAAATATTATATTTGGTTTGCTTGGACAGGCCTGTGCTCGTTGGTTTAACTAACGTCGTAAATGTGGACGTATTTTATATTTTTCTATATTAGTAACCAGGGGTTGTTTAGTAGTTGAAGCCTTAGGTCGTCACGCAAAGATTCGAGGTTTGATTCCCCGTATGATTAAACTCTGTGAAGTCCATTCTTGAGTCATGTCATGTCCCGATATTCTTGAATTCTAAAAGTGGCGTAAATCCACATGAAAGGTGTGTTTTCAGTGTATCGACATATTCCAGATGTCTGCAGCCGATGAATACCTTGCCGTGGTTCACAGCGTGGTCGGTGGTGTTCATATTGGCGTGGTCGTCGTGTTCACTAGGCCCCGGCATCCCGCACATAGAGAAGCAGTTTGGTCTGACCAGCAAGATGACCGCTGTGTTGACCAGCTGCCTGGACATCGGCGGAGTCAGTATAATGCTGTTCGTCAGCTTCATTGGCACCAGGTACAACATGGCTAAAGGGCTCGCTATCGGAGCATTCGTCAATGCTATCGGAGCCTTAGTCTTCTGTATCCCACACTTCTTCTATGAGGCACCTAAGTTTGGTAAGTGTCATCTGTAGCAAGATTTTACTTTTAGTATCCGTTTAGATACTTTTGCCTTAAACACTTCCAAAATATTTAATATGAGTGAGTGAGTTGGGTTTGACGCCGCTTTTAACAGTATTCCAGTTACATCACAGCGTGTCAGCTTAATGTGGGAGGAAAGCCCGAAGTGATGCAGGTCTCAGATGTTTACCACTTCGGTGAAACCCACGAGCACGGGTATGGTGCTGACAAACCTAGAAACATAATCGGGGCGAACCGGGATTCGAACCCACAATCATAGGTTTCTGGCAAAATAATGACAGATGGTCATTTATGGAGTTGATATAGCTTCTTCCCGTGTGTTATTCCCTAATTTATCATTTAACTCGTCAATCGAGACTGTTCGTTTCGTTTTCGTATTTTGTTACTTGACCAGGGTGTATTCTTTCGCTTCCAACAGCGGTCTCGTACATTTGAAGCATATTTTTGTTGAAGTTGATTTTGAATATATCATATCTAAAGGTATGATAAAGAATTTTCATGACCTTAAATACTTTTTGTTACTTTTGTTTATATTTTTTAAGATTTTGCAAACACGATACTCCGTTTTCACGTCGCAAATTTAAGGGGTGGTGAACCGTGCCTGTGTGTGAGGTAGAGAGAATTTTCAAGGTTTTACATTTTGTAATGAAATAATTTAATTTTCCGGTAGGAGTTACGCCACTCATGATAATATCTCCTTACCCCACACGGTGAGAAAAACATGATTCACTCGACACGTGAAATATCCTCTATTTGTTCGGCACGGGTTGTCCAATTGTCTATACCGTAATCAAAAATGTACGTCACCTTGGATCCGCTGGTCGTTTCGAATCCAACAGTATGACCCTTGGCCAGTGTTCGTGGGTTTCACCAAAGTGGTAAGCATCGATGTCCTACATCTCGGCCCTGTCTCCAACATCAACACACATGAAGACCTAACACACATAATGATAACACTGTTCAAAGTGGCATTAATCCCAACTCTTTTTGAAGGCGGGTTTCTGAACTGACGGGTTTTACCGTTTAACTTCATTTTCATTGATAAGTAACGTTTTACCCCAAATGGAAGGGTGTTTGAAACGTTCTGTCACCCACTTGTACTACGTGTGCACCATATTATATACTATCCAAAAAAAGAAACGCATAGGTGTTACTGATATGTCAAAACGAAAATAATACCTATTGTATTCTTATTATCGTCAAAATATGTATCAATATTGGTAAGAGCATCAATTGACACACTTCCGTTTGCAACAAATCGATTTTGCTTGAAAATGTTGACTTTGATGTGATTTTTTTAGAATGAGTAAGAAATGCATCGCCACAACGCAACAACTGGCATCTTGCACGTTGAAATTGGGCAGGAAAAGCATGCAGTGTTTGGCAATGAAAAGCAAGCTTGCTTTCGGAAATAGGCATTCGTTCAGAAGGTGTTTCCAAGCCAAATGAACATGCCACGTCTTTATGCTGCCACAAGGAACATCGCCATTGGAAGACTGCAGGCTGGAGAGTCCCAATCTTCTGTTGCCCGACGTCTGAATGTTAGCCAAAGCACAATATCACGGCTTGCAGCTCGCTACAACCAAACAGGCACAACAAATGACCGTCCCCGTACAGGAAGACCTAGAGTCACCACACCAGCCCAGGATCGCTACATCCGGGTACTCCATTTACGTGACCGTACTGCTACGGGTGCGAGCACTGCAGCCAGGGTACCAGGACTTAGAAGGATATCAGGCCAGACTGTACGGAACAGGCTGAGAGAACATGGACTGAGAGCCAGGAGACCCTACGTCGGGAACGTGCTACGTCGTCACCATCGTGCTCATCGTCTCCGTTGGTGTAAGAACGTGACTTCCTGGAACCTTCGCAACTGGCGACGCATTTGGTTTAGCGATGAGTCCAGATTCCTGTTGCAGAGACGTGGTGGTAGGAACCGGGTCTACAGACGTGTTCATGAACGTTTACCCCTAACTGCGTGCGTCAAGTGGACTGATTTGGTGGAGGGAGTTTGATGATGTGGGCGGCAATATCCTACACTGATCGTACCGATCTTGTCCACGTCCAGGGAAACCTGACGGCTGTACGCTACAGAGACACCATCCTGCTACCACACCTCCTGCCAACCATTGACGTCCAAAGTGAGATTTTCCAGCAGGACAACGCCCGGCCCCACACGGCACGTGTCACAATGACCTTCCTCGCTGCTAACAATGTCAACGTGTTCCCCTGGCAATAGAGCACATGTGGGATGAACTTGATCGCCGTCTCCGTCAGCGTCAACATCAACCCCAAACTCTCCAGGTACTAGCTGCATTTCTGCAGGAGGAGTGGCGGAGGATTCCCCAGGCCGTTATCCAGCGTCTCATCCAGTCCATGACAAGGCGTGTGAGAACTGTTATTCGTGCACGTGGTGGGCACAACAGATATTGATACTCCATTCACGTTTGAGGAATATTGTGAATGCCTTACCTCAAGTTTTTAATTGACATAGTTGTATGGACGTTGATCTCTCCTAAACGGATGTAAGATTTCATGTACTCAAGTTCATTTCCTACCAAGTTATTCATGTTTGAATATACAACATTTTCTCAGCAAATACGGGTTATGCGTTTCATTTTTTGAATAGTATATTTCATTCGGGATTAATGCAAACTAGCTCAACGTTATCCATCCGAAATATATGTTTTATATCAAATCCTTTTGACCTTGTGAAGATTAAATCCCGATAATATTCGGATCGTTCGACTCAGATATGTGATAATTTTGAAAAGTAGATTATATTATAGTGACAACTATGATGACATCATGGCTCCAGACATTCTACTTCATTTACCATTTATCGATTTTAATTTCTTTTAAATATTCTAGAAAACGTTGAAAATGCCTCCAATGCTGATATTTGTCCACTGAGCGCTATCAGTACAGCCGTCAACGACAGCTCGCCAACCAGCGTCCTCTACACTACATACGCCTTCATGGTCGTGGGCGATTTACTGAGGGGGTTTGGAACAACGGTCATCTTCACGCTGGGAACCGCCTATATCGACGAGAATGGCAAATATCCTTTGTCAACGCTCTTTATAAGTATGTATATTGAGGGAAAAGGACTAATATACGTTGACAGATTACCTGATGACATTTCTTTTACGAGAAGACAAAACAAAAATGTCCAATTTATTTTAGTCTGAAAACCAGTCACTGAGGCAGACTGAAAGCAGTTCTGGTGAATTGTCTTATTTGCTCTTGATTTTAATGTTCGCAAAAAATAAAGAGTGTATCGCTAGATACATTCTAAGTGAACAGAATAAACTTAACTATTATGACACACCTTTCTGTGGATATTGTACAACTGCTTTGTTGAAATCTACTTTAGAAGTTTCTCTCTTATGTCATCACTTAAAACTCCTGGATTAATGCTAACAGAAGCGTAACGTGAACCCTACAACCTGACATACTCACGCATTACTATTCTGATACTGACCCGACTTTGACCCGACTTTATATTCAGCTGTGACGTACGCAGCCTCGGAGATTGGTGGCTCAGCCAACGCCGTCCTAAGCGGCTACATCATGGACAACGTCTACGTGGACTTCGACAAGGTGGACCAATCTCAGTAAGAAAACTTCTCAGTAACACAGGGTTCTCGTCGAATACATTCGACTCTTTGAGGGGAAGGCGGGTAAACTTTGGTATATCAAGAGATTCGAAAGAAATGATGTTTGCACCAGATTCTACTCAGTTCGTGCGACACATGAAATCTAAAATATGTGGAGTGAGAAGTTTATTACAGTATCAAGTTTTCCGACATCCTGATCATCAAACTCATTTTAGTTACAGAAGAAGAACTTAAATTAACTCAGATACATTTCGTCATTAATTGTGATTCATAACTTTTGTCTTTTAAACGTGATTTTAGGGTTTGTGTTAAAAAATCTCAAATTTAATTGTCGTCACAATAATTTTACGTTTCAGAATTCCAGACCCTAAAGACCCGAACTGGATTGGTGCTTGGTGGCTGAATTTCACGTACGCGACCGGGCTCTTTCTTTTGACAGTCGTACCCTTATATGGTTACCCTAAAAGATTGCCAGGTGAGCATATTTGCAGAAATATAGCTATAGATTTACTCGCAACGAAATGTTTATATGTAACGATAGGCCAGGAAATAACACAAGAGGGAATACTATTACGACGCGGTTTTAAATATACTAGTATACCCCCAACTTTTAAATGTGATTGCGAGTTCATTTTCAAGGTAGAGATTTTCAAATGGTACACTGTGTGTTGACACATCATCTGCCTGTAGAATGGTAGCAACCTTAACTGCCCAACCAAGTGGGCGCGAAGGGTGACCTAAGGGGTCTCTATTCATGTTTGATGACACAAAGTTACTGCTATTAAACTGGCATGTCATATTGGGCTAATGCCACCGTGCTGAACATGAATCAAACCGTAATCAGTCGACTCTTTAGTAAACAGACATTGACTGATGTGAGGGACTTGCAAAGATAAGTGCCAGAGAGGACAGGGTCTTATAGGCCGGGCAAAACGTCTGACAACTTCAACTTGCACTGTACTTCGCCATTACTGGCAAACCCACAACAGAGTGTCCCTTAGCACCATCGGGCGTCAGCTGAATGCAGCAGGATCAATGGCCAGAGCGACCAATAAGATGTCCACTCCTCTCACCCTAACACTTGCGGGTCCGTTTTGACTGGTGTAAGGCTCGATCACACTGGAACTTGAGGTCATGGAGGATTCATTGGCTGACGAAAATCGGTTTTTCTTGCACCCCGATGATGGGGGGCAAAGCGAACATCTTATCATCTGCGCAACATCCAGGAAAACAGTGACATGTGGTGGCGGCTGAGTGACAGTATGGGGATGTTGCTCCTTTGATTGTAAACTTGATTTGGTCACAGTTCGAGGGGCATTACATGGAGACAGGTACCAAGATAACATATTGGACGGTTCTGTTGTGCCTCATTTTGATAACCATGCATTTGGCACGTCCTGTCTTCATGGACGAAATGCCCGACCCTACCGAGCACAACGCCATTGAGACTCTGCCTTGGCCTTCTCGAAGCCCAGACCTGAATCCAATCCAAGCGTCTATGGGACCAGTTAGAACGTAGGGTTAGAGACACCAGATATTGATTTACATTGTTGATCATTTAACTATGACATGAGTACAACGTTACTAAGACGCGTTCGTGTTGGTCTTTCCATCTCATTCCTGACAGTAACCATACTTATACTGCCTTCATTTATCCCAAATTAGAATCCTTGTAGTCGCTGGCGAATTGCAAATGCTCATTTTCCTATTATTCATACAATTAACACCTTATTTGACATTAAGTAACAGTTTTGATTGCTTTTGTTTCGCTTTCTAGCTTCTCCTTACCCATCTCTTATCTGATTATCAAGAAATCTTGGTGGTGGGAAACTTTTGACGAGGATTTATATTATAATACAATATATCAGGTAACCAGGGCAACTCAGGCCCCGAGAATGACAAAGAGGACAAGGTAGTGGTAAGCGGAAATACACTCCGTGAAATGATCAAGAACTTGCTTCGAGATTTCGCAAATGCAGCCCGGCGACTCGTAAGTACTGCCATTATTTAAATTTATTAGATTTTCGAAAAGGTACGTTTATATCAGGCAGGCAGTCAAGCTACTGCATGCAGTCAGCCCTGAAGATTTAAGCGGATCGTCCTGTGGATATTAGCGTATCATCTGAAATACTTAATGTCCGGTGTAACAACATGATGTCCAATTTTATTTGCTAAAGAAATAAAATAAAATAAAATTTTGGGGTTTGGGGCATTTGATGAAGAGTGCTAGAAATTATATATAGCTACACACTGCTTGGAGCATGAAAGAAGCTATGAATCGTATATGTACGACTTGTCTCTGTGAGGCAGAGAAACAATTTTTGATTTTTATAATTAAGTGTTTGGATTAATTTGTTTACACAAACCTGATGTTAAGAGACGACTGATGTTGTTTCGCGTCCCTGTCAGCAATAATCCAGATATATAACGGCGGCCTGTGAATAATCGAGTCTTGAAAAGACAAACCATTGATTGATATGATGAGCAACTTATCGTCGACACGTCTGGCGCGTCGGGCACGATGACACGCAGTCAACAAAGTCACAGAACCTCACCACCCTATTCAATTTATTCGCCCTTACAACAATCAGTGCCAGTGGCTTATTCTAACCCAGGTCTCCAAGAAGTCATGCTTCTCTTACTTGAGCGACTAACGGGGTTCGGGTGGTCAGGCTCGCTGACATGATTGATGCATGTCATCGAATCCCAATTGCGAGACGTAACACCACATTCATCACAGAAGGTTGCACCTGGTAGGCAACAGAACCTTGGTGTTTTGTTTTCCAGATTCTGAATACCATTTTTAGATTTACGGGATCATTTCATGTTTTGTCCTACGGACAATGGTTATTAATAGGGATAGGTATTGGACGTCTATAGTGCATTACACTATTTTGCAATGCACAATGTCGTATTGCGATACGTATCACGATATATTGTATAATTCTAAATTTGTAACGCAGAAACAACCTGATACATTAAGGTATGAGTGAGTGAGTGAGTGAGTATGGTTTTACGCCGCTTTGAGCAATATTCCAGCAATATCACGGCGGGGGACACCAGAAATGGGTTTCACAGATTGTGCCCATGTCGGGAATCGAACCCGGGTCTTCGGCGTGACGAGCGAACGCTTTAACCACTAGGCTACCCGACCGCCCCCATTAAGGTATGAACTAAAGTTCATAAATGGAAAATAAACAAGATACTGGTACAACATAATGTTTACTCCTTCAATAAATACGGTGCCATCTTGGAGCCCCGGATGCTCGCTTCTGCTCAGCAAAGGCATTTGGCAAGTATATAACATTAAACACATGATAGAAATCCCAATTTGAAATCACTCGATATATCAAGCATGGAAAATGATATTGTTATGCGTATCGTGGAAAGAATGAACCTCAATTTACCCCACACCCTTAGTTATTACTGCACCTAGAAATGATATTAAAGTAGTAATTCAATTTGCATATATAATTAACCTGAAAAAAGTAAAGTGTCCCCCTGAAAGAGTTAATCACTGCCACGCGACCGCGAATGTAATTGTTAAAATCACTTTGGTAGTCAAAAACATTTAAAAGCAGCTTCCTTGTGATGCGCAAAGCACGTTCATGCAACAAGCCACTCGCAATAGGTGGCGAATAATAGGTATGATTAATACAGGAATGTCGAGAAAGACCCCCCAAGGTCTGAACGGCCTGGTGTGGGTGAGCACGTGAAGATCACGACCTGCTCCGCTTGGTTCGGCTATAACCCTTTTCCCTAAGCACCTGTTTGGTCTGTTTGTTTGTTGTTTAACGCCGCACTCAGCAATATTCCAGCTATATAACGGCGTTCTGTAAACATTCGAGTCTGGACAAGACAATCCAGTGATTGACATCGTGAGCATCGACCTACGCAATTTGGAAACGATGTCATGCATCAACCATGTCAGCGACCCGATCCCGTTAGTCGCCTCTTACGAGAAGCAGAGTCGCCTTTACGGTAAACATGGGCTGCTGAAGACCTATCCTAACCCGGATCTTCACGGGTACAAAGCACCTGCAAGAATGAGATTTGGATGCCCCAGAGAAAATTGTCACCACTGACATTGGTAAAGCGACTCCAGTCGGCAGGTTTAAGTCTAAAAATGGTGATTAAGGGTCCTTTGCTGTCATATTATCATCTTGGAAGAGCAGGAGCGTTTTCGGGTCTGGCGGCAAAGAGACACGACTTTGGAAGCGGATCAGTCACGATCTGGGGTTGCCTGTCCCATGACTGCAAGTTGGACATGGTCACTGTGCAAGGGAATGTAACGGGTGAGAGATACAGGTGTCAAATCCTGGCTCCGATCGTTCTACCACATTTTGATAACCACTTTCTGGCTACCAGAGGACCACTACGTGGACGATAACGCGAGACCACACAGTTCTCGACAGGTAACGCCTTCACGACAATCCCTTTGCCCAGATCTCAACTCGCTGAAACACATTTGGGACGCAAGGAACATAGGCTGGACCCAACCAGTGCCAATCTACAGGAACTGGCGCAAGCATTGCACCGAGAATGACAACAGCCTATACAGGAACGCATCAGACACCTCACTCGGGGCATGAGGAGGACGGTTGTGATGGTCATCCGGGCACGTGGCGGCGAAACATGCCATTGACCATCTGGTCACTGGAAGTCATGCTGGTCATTTTTAGCAACAACCAGCCACAACTGTCTCTAGGGCACCCTACAGCTCCGTACTTGAGTGACGTACTAAATTTATCAACACGCACATTGAAATGTCCACCAACATTTTGAATACCACTTTCTAATATGTCATGATTGTTGTCCGTATGTATCGGCAATTAATTACTCTTTGGTTTCTTTGTCATAGGGTACGGTCAAGCACATAAGTCTTCAAACCTCATGGTCAAAATATCATAGGGCGCTTAACATGTCTACTAGGTGCACATATCTTATTGTCGTTTGTTGATGAAACCACGGCCATTGTCAGACGTAGGCCGTCTGAAAAGAGGCACGTGCATCCCTTCCCCAAACATAGATTAGATTCGGCGGTGTTCGTTAGCTCAGATATTCCCTACGCATTTTCGGTTGATCCGTACCAGGATGCACGTGGGTTCGAAACTCAATGATATGTCAGCACAATACCCTTCTGTGCGGGTTTATCAAAATCTATAAACGAATACGACCTGGCACTTTTGGACACTGCCTATTATATGTTGACCCGCCGAGAAACTACTGAAATACTGATCAAAGCACGGTGAAATCCATCTCCCGCTCTTACACTTTTTTAGCTTTTCAACCTTGAATTCGTCCTTCTCAGCGTAGCCTCGGCTGTCTCCACGTGTGCTGCTATAGGAATCGGGGTCTTCTCATACAAGTTTCTCACTATGCAGTACGATGTCAACTTCCAAGTCGCCGGGTACATATCAGGTAGGTTTTAAGATTACTAGTAATCAGTCCACACAGTTGAACATGCATAGTTCGTGCAGTCCATATCAACAGCAGGGGTAGAAGGTTTTCACGTGGGCCATTGGGTTGTGTTACTTTTCTGAACCACAGGAATTGATATTGACTTATTTTGACTGCCAGAACATCTCACATTTAACCGAGTGATGACGAATGAAACAGACATGCATGCTCACTGTATGAGCGGGCTATTCTCTTATCAAACGGAGGAAGCCCTGACACGTGTGTCAACGCGCATGTTGACGGGGAATTACATGTAGCTCTTGGGGGAATAAAGGACAAAATCGACATCACTGTCCCGGAACGCTTTATGCACAACCTGTAAACAATAAACAACAATTGCACAATGAGCGGAATACCTGCTCTGAGAACACAAACACAGCAATGAGCGGACCTTCCAGCTCAGGCGTACAAGAGGTGAGCGGAGCTCCAACTCACCTCAGGGCGTTTCCTACGAGCGGCATATCCTGCTCGAGGTAGTCCCTATGCCAAGGCTCGGAATACCAAGCCTGACTAACACCGTGGTAACTGTGTAATGGTAGCACATATATAGTACTGAACAATGGAACTACAATGACGTTGCTCTGGACATAGGACTTCCGGGGGTGACGTACCGACACAACTCAGGGGATGAACAATTAAGGCAATAAATGTCATACTATAAATAACAGTAATTAACGGGAAGTGATAAAGTAGCCCAGTTTGGCTGTCAGTCAATATACAATGAAATGTTGGTAAGGTTTAACAACGGTGATTAGCGCCTAAAACGTAATGACAATTAAGTTATGGAGACATGGCTACAGGGTAATTTGCCTTTGGAGTCAAATGTACTTCAGACAATGGTAGTCGTAAATAAGTCGCTATGACACGTGCATGACAGAATTATAGTGGACATTGAGTGTGTGATTGTGTGATTGATTGTGTTTGTTTGTTGTTTAACGCCGCACTCAGCAATGTTCCAGGCATACGACGGCGGTCTGTAAATAATCGAGTCTGGACCAGACAATCCAATGATTGACATCATGAGCATCGGTCCACGCAATTGGGATACGATGACATGCATCAACCAAGTCAGGGAGTCTGACCACCCTATCCCGTCAGTCGCCTTTTACGACAAGCATATTCGCCTTTTACGACAAGCATGGATTGACCTATTCTACCCCGGATCTTCACGGATCTTGATTGATTGTGGTGCCAGGGAGCTAGGTCTATACTTCAGTTATAGTCATTGGTGATTTATGATTGTTATCATTCCATGAACACGAAAGGTACCAAGTCAGCTTTATCAGGGTTGGGCTACATTGCTGGCAGTGCTGTAATCCGGAGATTCAACTTACACGCTCTGGGTATTGAACGTCTGAGCTTTGGCCTGTCCTTGGCCTCCGCCATCATGAGCATAGGGCTGCTGGCCAGATGTCCTAATGTCCAGCTTGCAGGAGTGGAAGTCCCCTACCTGGGAGAGAAGTAGGTCTGGTCAAGAGTAGGTCAAGTACAATAAGATGGGTCCCGTTTTTCACAGAATTGTCTTAGAGCAGTACGACTGTCGGAAAGCAAAGGGGCAATGCAATTATCAATGCGGAGTTATGCCACTTGATCGTGCCACGACCTGCTTAACGTGGGTTTGAATCCTAGATTCGACCCGATCATGAACCATTGTCTTTAAACAACATACTATCCCAATATGTTTTGGGTGTTTTAATGCATGGTATCGGATGCGGTGGAAAAACAAGTCCTTTCGAGCAGTCAATACGTTACTCTTGGCGACTTTCATGAAACCGACTGTCTCTGTTGAGTAAGTAAGAAGAGTTTAAGCCCAACTTTTAACAATAGTCCAACAATATCATTGCAATGGGATTTACACACTGTACCAACGTGGGGCCGCGAACACGGCGTAAAGATGGAACGCTTTCATAAATAGGCTTCCCCACCGTCCCCTTATCTCTTTGATTAGTACCGGAATACATAACAACAAAATTATTATTTGATGTAAAATTACCAACAATAAAGTTTTTTTTATTAATACGTATGTTTAGCATTTGTCTTTGCTTGAGAAATATGGCCTTCGTGAGATTAAGGCTCAATGTTTATTTCTAGCGCAACAAACGGTCTTTTGGCGGAGTGCCAACGTTCTTGCCAATGTCAAGGCCACCCCTTCAATCCAGTTTGTGGAGCAGACGACATTGTGTACTACTCTCCGTGTCATGCTGGTTGTACAGATATGATGGTCAATGGGTCGGACCGGGTAATGGAACATATTATGTGCATAAGTGGTGTCCAGGTGGCGCTGCATTAAACCGTGCAGAGTTACGTCCTTTAGTTGTACCAGATCCCGTTGATTACGAGATGGTCACCGGCATTTTGAGATGCGTATTAAGCGTTCTTGTTGTACGATTGCTTCTCTCTCTTTCTCAAAGAGTTGGGTAGTATAAATAGTTTAAAGACGAATCGGCTGAAGCTAATCCTGAGTAAATATCAGTAATTGTTTGAAGCATTCCTACAATACACGATCTTGTATTCCAAAATGGCATATACTATATATACTCAAAGGCAGGTTATTGTGATGGTACGTACAAAAATATGTTTTTTTTCTTCCGTGGATGGAATGGTTTCACACGGAAAGACAACATCTGAAGGTGCGGCAACAAGCAACAGTCCATATGAAGAGCACTCCTGACATTCAAATGAAACGAGGGGGGTTCAGGGACACATTCACGCAGTTAGTTACTAGTGTAACAACCCTGTGGAATGAGGCAGACCTGGCCTAATTGGGGCCACTAGCGGTTGAATAAGGGCCTGGGGAAAGGCTGCATTTCTGAGAAGTGACAGGCCGTAGTTCCTGCAACGTTTTAGGGGGGTGTTTTGGAACACGTCGTAAACGTCGTTCTGTGTAATCCCAGACATGTCAGATTGGTTCTGAATCGTTCTGTTGCAAAAACGGTAAAATCTCCGCTGACAAAAACTCTCCCGGGTATCCAATCAATCACAATCATTTCAGTCCTTGTCGGGGAGTGGGAACACTACGGGGACGGCATCTGACGTTGTTGTTCTGTTGATGATGTCGCAACTTGTGTCATATGTTCTTGTGGACGTTGACGTGACGTCGGTACGATGTCCCTGGTTCAAGCATTCTCATGGTTCGCGATCCGTCATTTTCACTTAGGACTGGCATGGGGAAATGCTTTTAAAACGATCAAAGTGGTGTTTTCGAAGAATTTTACTTGCGAGGATTTACCTAAATTTTTAGCAGTGACGTTTTATATTGAAAACTTGTTCCAAATGAAAGACAGTTTTTTTAAAGAGCGAGCTCTTAAAGGTACTGATAGTAATTTAAAATTAAACATCAAACAATTAAGAATGTTTTCATATTGCTGGTCTTTTCAAATGATTATGGGAAGCAAAAAGATAGATGTTCTGATATTGATACTTCAGTCATTCACCAACTGCAGCTGCATTCAACATCAAGCTGAGTCCAGCTCTGACCTTGACCCTACAGCCAGATCCGGGCAGTGTGAAACTGGCTGCTATGGCGTCTACATATCAACGCCGTTTACCTTCCTCATGACGCTCTTTATGGTTATCAGCATCTCGAACGAGTCGATAGCCACCCTAAGGTAACAGGCTCAATACTCCACAATATGCGACTAGTGCAACACAAACAACGCTTAGGCCACAACACACATGTGACTTTTTCGGCATCCTTTTAATATTTTGAGTCGTCAGGAAAAGGTGACCAATTAATTGTACAAGATTCGAAGAAAAACCAGATGGTTCTTTTTTTCCATTTCCAGTTAATATTCAATTAGAGCGGTGGCGGGAATTATCAAACGCTATAATTTCATTTCAAACAATAATTAATATATACAAACCTTTCAATGTGAATCATATTACCGCGTGAAGACGAGTAATTGCGATTCAGCAAACATGTTGCAGATAGATATTAGACATCGTCAGCTCTTTATATTTTGTACTCATGTCGGCTCTGCCGAACTCCAGAGACGGGCTATTCCAAACACTCGTGTCGGGCTATTCCGAGCAACAATTGGTGAGCTCTTGGGTAACTTATTAACCATGAAAACACACGTAATTCTACTCGGGTGTAATATCACAATATGCAATATCAGTTCAATATGTTCAAATACAGGTAGTATTTCATCACTAAATGCACAAGAACATTTCATAGATTTCTGTACAAAATAAAACAAAAGTTGAACGTTAACATTCACTTTTCATAAATTTAGCAAAAGTGTGAGGAAGTGGTGCCTGTTGTTTGTATATTGTGTTTTTCTGCCGGAAGAAGAATTGTCTCTTTCAAGGCATGCACATAGAAATAGCCGTCCTGATCAGCGATTTGAGGAAAACATACGGAAATTAAATTATGTTTGTTTTTAGCCGCTTGTTTTGTAATACCCGACACCGCTCTACCTTAGTTTCAGACTGGCGACTTCCATACCAGACTACGCTTTGAGTTTTCGATTGAAAATTTAAAAACTGCACAAAATAACATTCTGGAATGCCTCATAGATGGCTGAGATTGTATGGCAGTGCTTCCCACGTACTGTGCAAAGTCTCTTCCGTTCAGATGTTTTTCCCACTGAAGCGAGAATAGACGATGATTTTGACGGATTCTGTCGTAGAGCCCGTAACTGTCGTTCGGAATACCCGGTATTAACCTTTTCGAGGTTGCATGATTAGGAAACACATTCCGAATGTCACTTTCCGGATCTGGTAAGACACGCTCTGAATGATCTGATGAATGGTCGTTCTGACGTGACCGTAATGGGATGTCCTTAGATCTTTGTTTGCCGGTAGCGAGAACTGACATCTGATTTGAATGAGATTTTAACCTGGTTATCTGGAATGATACGCCCACAGTGCGATGTCTACTTACATATGGACATGTTTGGAACAAATCGCTATGTAAAACCTGTTTGAACAGCTTAGAAGAATGGATATAATGAACTACTTCTGAGCAAACTTGATTCTAATTTAGATGAGACTAATGATGATAGTCTATCCCTTTTGGTCCACTTCATTGCCATCTTCTTAGACAGCATCCATATTGATTTTAATGTTATGATCCAAATTGGTAGGAGATCACGATATTTTGGTCCATATTTGAATAACTGACGAAGGTTGTTATTGTCGACAATCGAATACTCACCTGTGATTATATGACGGACAGGTTGGAAGCAGTACAGTGAGTTCTTTATTATGAGGACCACAACGTTTCGGAGTATATGCTTACTTCTTCATCAGGTGAATGAAGGAGTAAGCATATACTCCGAAACGTTGTGTTCCTTATAATACAGAAGTTGACATGCATAAATTATCTTCCTTATGATGAATTGAAGTCTTTTTTCCATTTCATATAAACACATAGGGTTGTCTGTTCGGTAAATTAGGCCGGTACAGTGGTCCTCGTCATACCTTGTATTATTATGTAAATATTAGAATGTATTATATATGTGTGTAGCCTTAAGCTGATGTCTGTGTTTGTTACTTCAGATGTGTGGATCAGGATCTGCGTCCGTTTGCCCTCGGGGTGCAGTGGGTGATCATGCGTCTTCTTGGTATGTTCTCTTAATCAGCCTCCTGGCTACGTGACGTTATCAGTGGCACAAAGAATCCTTTTGAATCACCAAGTAAAACCAGCTGGATGAACACATGCTGTGTATCTACGAATTAAAGTGTTGTGTGAATATGTAAGGAATATGTTTCGTTGAAAGGGTAAAAATATACTGGTCGTGAAAGTGGTTTTTTTTCAGAAACGTACGTTAAAATGCAACAACGACATATGAAATATTTATATTGAAAATTATGCAGGGAATATTTACTGTGAATCATGAAGTTAATGCGAGCATTAAGTGACACATTCCTGCACGGGTTAATTGTCAAATCTGGTTGACTACAGATGTATATACTTGAAAAAGCCGCTGAAGGAATATAAAACCGATGTAACCTATTCTCCACGTGTCACAATGACATGAATCACATAAGAAAGCACTCAGCAAACAATGTTATTTAGGGGTAGATGGTGTCGAAGCACCTACCCTAACCCTATCTAGGCTAAAGATGAGACCTTACTCTTTTTGTCTCTGGACCAAGGCTTTCACAGCCAAGGTCAACTGACACGGATTAAGTAATAAATACATGTATATGCCTCGGTAATAAATAGATGCACAGCAATTCAGGTTAGCTGACAGTACAATGGTGATGAGGATTGTAAATGGGGATAAGCATCTCATATTAAATGAAATTGAGTAATTAACCTTTGGAATTAGTTGTCCTTTCATACAAACTGCAACTGATTCTGATTTCTGCCATTTTTTCAACAGGTAACATTCCTTCTCCTGTGTTCATCGGTGCCATCTTGGACGCTATCTGCCTGGTGTGGAGTGACCCGGTGCCAGGGGTGGGAACTCGGTATTGCCAGGTGTATGACAAGGAGAAGCTAGCTTACGGATTTTGTTTCACATGGCTGTCCGCGAACCTCTTGAGCGCATTTTTGTTCTTAATGGCGTCCTTCGTCAATGTACGACGGAACAAAACAAAGGAAATGAGCGCAGAAAGGGAGACTGGCCCACAAAAAGATGAAGACACGAGACTATGAGACGGATTTTGTCATCATCATAATATATATGGAAAATACTTATCATCCTTATGTGAATTGTTTTACAAAATTAAGACTTCGAACATGTGAAGGGTTTTGAAGATGTGGAACGTTGTTTGAATACTAGCATACACATCTGTGATTGGTATTTACTTAAGGATAGACCAGAAGCAGTTGTAGTTTCCAAAATAAATTTATTCCAAAATGCTATATGAAAGGCTATGTCTATTTTGTCCCTTTGCAACCTCTATAGTCTCTATTTCATAAACGTTTCAGATCAATGTTTCAAATTTTCATCTACATCCGGAATCGGCTGTAACGTAAACTTATGTGATGTACAAGGAAGTATGTGGCGTACACTGGGGTAGTTTCTCTTTACAATGTTTCTGTACAGCAAAAGTAAAACTTTGTACTTAGTAGTGCTTATATCATTCTTAACATAGGCGAAGATTTCGCTCTTGTCTTTGTCCTGCATTGCACATGTCTTTGTTTTATTTCCATACGTTCCTTTTTCCGCCATTGTATTGCTGTGGTCCAGTCTAAGGAATGGGTTAGAATCCCCCACGTGGTAACGAACTCCTTGTTCTTCTAAGACCGATACTGCTTCACTGTTGCTAAACTAACGTAGAACTCTTGCTCTTTATTAAAGTTTTCTTTATGCCATTGTTGTTTGGCATGACAAGTCAAAGGATTACTTCCCTTCTCCTATTGGTCTACCTGGAAGTGTGTAGTTTTATTACTAAAAGCGGTTAACAAGAAAATAATTAGAGACTCTTCTCAAAATCATAATTCCACATGACCGTGCTTGATCGATTGACTCTTGAGGGAAAAGCCGAACAATTATCATTTTATCACACAGTCTGCTCCGGACATCCAGCATGTTCAACAATTAATGGTTTGGGTAAAACCTAATTTCCCCGAATCTTCTAGAACCCATGTATTTGTTTATAAATAACCATCCCAGGCGTGTATGTCCAGTTAGACTTGGCGAAATCTCACTCCGCTAGTTCTTGCTGCAATATGTCTGCAAAGGAGTTGTCCTGTTTTACAGGGATCTATTGTGTACAGACATCGTGCATTAACACCAGGCTTTGTACATAAACTCCAGACAGGTAAACTATTGAACATGAACGTGAGACATCGTACATGATCAACAGACATCGTACGTGAACGTCAGACATCGTACATGGACGTCAGACATCGTACATCGACGTAAGACATCGTACACGAACGTCAGACACCATACATGGACCATACAACGACAGACATCGGGTATGAACATCAGACGTGTATGAACGTCAGACATCGTACATCAGATGTGTATGAACGTCAGACGTCGTGTGTGAAGGTCAGACATCTTGCATCAGACATCGAATATGGACGTCAGACATCGTACATCAGACGTGTATGAACGTCAGACGTCGTGTGTGAACGTCAGACATCGTACAGGACATGAGACATCGTACATGAACACATGAACACCATGTTCTCAGATGAATGCTAAAGTGTTTACGTTCGAAACTTCTAAACTGAGAAAGTGAGCCTGCTTACCCAAACCATTTCAGTTTGACAAGCATGGGTTACTGCATCTTCCCAAGGCAAGAGAGTTAACTGACTTTAAAAGTCCAGTTTCCACCCTTGCCGAACTAGGCTGGAATTACTGTGCTCGAACGTAGCGCCACCAGTGGCTATTACCAGCTATGTCCCTTCTAAGCCTCTCCTACGGACCAATCAGATTCCACCTCTCGAATCACTTGCGTTTTCTTCAAACAAAATGGTGGCGCCCAGTTAGGACTATCTGATCGATAATCAAGATCTATATTGTGATAAAACGGGTCTTACATCGCGAAATGCATCAAATCACGCGAGCACCTTGATTAAAAACAGGAACAGATTTGGAAAATATCTGCTGACAACGAGTTGGCGGTGCACATGCTTTGCAAATCCTGCAATCGACCAAATCTGCACGACGGTTTACGAACCGGATTTCGATTTCGGTGCGCGATTTTTATTGGACTATGCATAGACTCGTTAGTCCAGCCAAAATGTAACTCCATAATACCAGCTTAGTTCGGCAAGGGTGGAAACTGGACTTTTATAGTCAGTTAACTCACTTGCTTTGGGGAGATGGGGTTACTGGGGACCACGTCTTCCCCGAAATCCCTACGAGGCCTCTAAATAAGAGAACCCAAATACGGCAGACTTGTCTCCACGATTTACAACAGCTGGCATCATATACATGTTAATGATGAACATAATTAAATGTACAATACATGAAATTAAATCACCAACGTAAGCTGTAATGTGTCAGGAAAATAACTATTGCAGTGGAATATTCTATACAAAGTTATCTCCTGCTTTATTTAGTTTCGAATATTTTGCTCTTGACAATAAAGTATTGGACTGATTTAAGAATTTCCATGTTGGTTGATTCATTGAATGAAGCGTTTCCATGTAACTGTTTGTACTATTGGACCCATGGCCACATATACGAAAAATATATGTCTGTCTGTCGTATAACTGTTTCCATGTTATAACGATGGGTGTAAAATACACATTACTTCTGATACATGCATGCCCACAGACACAGTCTGGTCTGGCCGCAACATGTCGATTAAATTTATCAGCGATTAACATGCTGCAACCGAGCCTGAGGCGAGAGTAAAGGATGTCACAAAATCTGGTACCAAAGTTCATTCAGATATTCAGGCATAACACCGATATTCCTTTTATAAAAAGTCATTGATTTGAAACCTTTCCGGCTATCATTTGGAGATTTGAAATTGGTTTCATTATCATTTCGTTCGTGACTGTTGGCATTAACAAGAACATGGATGTGGTTCTGACACACCAAGGATCACGATCAGGGCGATCCCTACCCACTCTCCTACCCAGAGTTCCATGCGGCCGACAGCCAGGCAGCATAGTACCTCTGCCTCAGTCCAGCGCAATGTGACGATTTGTCACATCTTTCACAGTCCATTCAAGATATTGAATATGCTTTTCATCCGTTTCATGTTTGACAAGTCCACACATTTTCATAAACAATTGTCAAAGAATAGTATCCTTTGTTCACATTGGTTGTACGGCTCCACGTGCTGTCATCGAAGCCCAACGGAGAGCTAGCGATACGGTCACTTTGATGTATAGATATATATTGTCATGAAATTCACCGTCGCAGTTGTAGTAGCATATCTATATAATTATGCAAAACAATATGTTAAGCGCCGCCCAAAACTTGCATTAGTCTGTTCTATACTGATTTCTGCAAAAGCGCGTTTGTTTACAAACAAGAGAAAAGTCCGGTCACGGGATATGCAAATTAGCCTGTGGCAGAGGTATTATGCTGAGTCACCACTGCGCCGGAGTGTGATCCCTACCCACAAGAATTCTGTAATAAGCATGTTAATGTTTTGGGAGAGGACTATCTAAGTGTTGAAATCTTGCGCCCAGCCCTTTTCTTTGTGAATAAAATGTGTTAAAATCAATATAATGCAATCAGTACAAGTGGGATATTGTATCTGGGTAGTCAGAGTTTGCTGTTAGACCGATAACCTTCATAAAACAATATAAAATATAGAATCTAGCAAGCAGATAACATAAATGGTGTTTGAATGTCTGGAATCAGATATACAGGATTCCCATTCCGCCAAGCCATTAATATTATAAATAGATACATAAGAACGTTAGCAGTTGTAAACGTTGCCGTATTTGTTAAAAATACTTTAATTAGCAATATTAACAGAAAAAATTATTTTCATTTCGTTTTTGCCTTGCTGCGACGAGACTCGAACCTCGGATCTCGACATTATGAATTAAAATAAGTGTCTGTTCGTTTGGGTTAGTGGTGAAATTACGTCCCTTGAAAATACAAGGAAGGCAACTCTAAAGTCGGTGCCCGATGACATAGAAATGGGTTGGTTCGGGGATGTCTTCCCTACAAAACTAAGTTTTGTAGTGTTTATATCGTATATGGCACTTTTTATTAACCAAGGTAAGTAGTTTGCTTCATATTACCTGTACCAAGTACTATCTGCATGATCTGCAATTGTTTATTTGAAAATAGTAGAACTTGTAGCGCGAAAATGTAGCCATGAAAACTAGGCCTAGCAGCCCGGAAAATGTAGTGTAACACTGTACGTTTGTGTAACACTAACAGGCTAGGCCCTTACTGTCTAACTGTTATCCTATGTCGTGTCTAACAAGCAGCTGTTTACCTGTTATAATTAAGATGAAAGCGTAAAAAGAAACTCGGGCTCTGAAACGTGCGTGCTTTTTTGTGTGTCATAAAAGTTAGAACAGGTGTTGTCATGTATGTACACACTTGAGTTTTTCCAACTTCTTTAATATGAAACATGTTTCAAGTAAGTTACACATTGACTGTTAGTTTTCAGTAGACCCGCCTACCTTTTGGGAAAAAATAACTAAACTGGAGATTTCAACCAAGAACATGAAGTGAAGGGTGAACTTGCATGCAAAAAGCAACAATCAAGAGTGTATATCGTCGAGTACCCTATTTTCGAATGACACCTATTTTCGAGCAGCTGTATTTGATATTGATTTGTCGCATTATAGGGAGAGATGTGACATCATCTAATCTGCTGACTTGGGAAATATCAGCAATGCCGTCTTAACTGTTCAAAAATAGGGTACGTCAGGATGCTTGGATCCTGTGGTACCATTCATCTAGGGCTGGGACGGGTAACTCGGGTCGGGTGAGTCGTGAGTAGGACTCGTGTACCCACAGGACTACCCAGACCCGTGGTTAGTCACATGATATAACCAAAACTTATGCTCGCATTTCTTTCTGACGATGACACACATTCCTTTTGTATATGTTTGAGAAATCATAAAGCTTCAGTCAACTTCAGTGTACGTATGATCAGATTGTTTGATAGGCCTACATGTATCTAAACAGTTCTTGCCAGGGCTGTGGTAAAACAATTCCCAATCAGACATTGTTCCGACTACTGTAAGTAGGCATTTATTTACACTTTTATACTTACTTCTGGTATCTTTTTAATATTGCCTACCCATCTATCAATGGACTATGATTTTACCTGCAGTTTCCCAAGTAAACTTTCTCTATCAACCTGAGCTAGATGGTCTGCATATTCATGATCTCAAATAAGGTAACGGAAGTGAAGTAATCTGCACAGTTTTCCCACAATGCAGCCAGAAATGTTTAGGAAGATAATAAGGACCCCAATGCTATACCTAGCAACACTAGTAGCCAAATGATAAATACATACTGTTGTCATTAAAGGTGTGCTTTTTTATATTTATTGTCAACTTTTAATACTTTTCAACTTCCTTTGACAAATTATTTGCATCGAAATTTTTTAAATATCTTTTCTGATATTTTGTTGTTCATCTTTTGAAAAAGAACTTCTTTTCCGTTAAATATGTTTTGGATACCTATTAATTATTACACATGCTGAATTTTGCTTGCGCTGTCTTTGCACCGACGTTCACACAGTTTGGCCCTCACTCAAAGAAGGTTCATTCAGCACAAAGTGAAAGTCAATTCTTAAATGATTACCCCAGACACAATATGAAGCACTGAGTGCTTTATTACCTGGACACCCTCATCATGCTCATAGGCAGCGGTGAATGTTATTGCAGTCCTTGTCATGTAATCTGAGTAGTTCTACCACTAATTATACCTGTAATAAAGTCATTAACTGAGCATTAAGTGAATGACGACAAAAACACAGACGGGTGGTTATACCATGTTACATATCTGACAAAAACGGAGTAGTAATTGTTGTACTATGTGCAATTTTCCTGAAAAATAAGGGTCGTTACTGTTGAGTATGTGAACTGGATGTCATTGTTAGAAATTAATACATACACATATTTTTTTGTATACAAAACTACATAGTTGTACATACAGATTTACACACGCTGATGAATTTGCAAGGTGAAATGCAAGGATTCAAGGGGATTACCCCTTGCTGTCAATTTGGTTTTCCAGTTGGCACCTTGCTGGTCAGAAGCCCAGTTTATTCGGTTGCTGGTGCTAATTGGCTTCTGATGATTACGCAGGCTAATTTAAAATGGGCCAACTAGATGACCACTGAAAGTTGGAATGTTGTTTCCCTTTAACTATCGTGATAATATGGTGTACCATGCTACAGCTTTGTCACCAAAGTCTGTGTATATATATCATCTAGGACTGCTAAGTTTGCATCATGTCATTTACGTAGATAAGCATTCACCAATGTATACAAGACACCAAGGTCAAGACTGCAGTTACCAGGCACTGCATATAGAGAGCTATTTGGCTCTGGTTGCAGGCTATGCCTCTTGCTTCACTGGTCTTGCCTGCCTTTTCGATCCTTAGGGTTAGTTGTGTTAGGGTTGAGGTAGGCTACCACCAATTCTACATTAGCTGTTGGATCTCCTTACTGATCAAGCTCCCTTTTAGATCAGTAGGCTTTGATACTCCTTTTCGATCAAACACCCCTTTTTGATCCATATGGTTAGGCACCCCTTTTTCCTTAGGGTCAATTTCGTGGTTTGGAATGTGTTTGTTATCCAAGGGTTTACCTTCACTTACAAAAGTGGAGATCCAGGGGACCCCCAATAATTTATTTTAAGGGTCTCTGCAGGCAATGCAATGAAATGGTATAGTGTACTGTACATTTTGATAATTACTTTAGAGCCTGGAATGAATCAATGATCATGTGGACAGTAGTCATGATTGATTGATGAAACGACAGATGCCCATAACTGCTCTTGACGCGCTGTGGGTACAATGAATATTATTGTGCATCCTTCAGAACGCAGTATACTTTTTCCTGCATCCATTCTCAACATGTGTGCGAACTGGATGCACATTTTTGCGTCTCGTAAAACCCTGGTTATCTCAACTAAATTAATCTAAATAACTTTGAGGAATGTCCATGTCTATAAAGTTTCTAGTTTCATGTAGGAAAAGGGCTGCTGTGCATGCGCATCAAGCAGTGTTTGAAATAAAATAAACTGGCTGGCTGGCTTTTGGACCCACATACTTTTGAAGCATCAGGTCCTGACCAAACTTTTCAGGCCCTTATTTTAAAAACTGCAGCATATTAGGACAAATAAATTGTGTCACATAACTTTACTGCAGGCTCTAAGGACCCTTACAATTGAAACTATGGGCCCAACACGAGATTTACCTGCCATGGGCCTTCAGGCAGGCACTTCTTTCATACACTAGCATTAAGGTACAAAATTGGGTGCTAATCAGTTGGTAAACAATCACTAATTATTTCTCATGATGGCACCCGCGCGGTGGTAAAGTGTTGGCTAATGGGATAAAGTCATTAGCCTGGCTTCAAGCTGGCAGCTGGAGTTCTATCCTCTGTGCTAATTGAAACCTGTAAAAGTGCTTGTGATGAAGTGCAGTACTCAGTTACAAACAAAACCAAGTAACTACGTTCTCAATGATAATAATTTCCCAAATTTTCAGAAATCATACTGATCCATACTTGTGTGTGCATCTATGTGTTGAATATGTTATATCTTGAATGTGTTATTGATTTCTTGTAACACCTGGATCTAGCAGTGACCTATAACACAATGGGCAAAGCAGACACCAGAACTTCTATACAATATGATCTTTGACATATGTTATGGTTGATTCCCAAACTGAACTATGGTGAACCCTGAAATTACAGGATTAAATTGTAAAATCAGAAAATAACCACACAAGGACAATGCACAAGCAACAAAATATGTTAAAACACACATGATTAGGATTACAATAATAAAGGCAATACAATGGGTCAAACATGTGGCGGCAGCAGTAAATAACAGGCACTATGTGTGGATTGATGCTCATGATATCAATTACTGGATTGTCTGGTCCAGACTCGATTATTTATAGACCAGCCAGTGAAGATCCGGGGTAGAATAAGTCTTCAGCAACCCATACTTGCCGCAAAAGGCGACTATGCTTGTCATAAGAGCAGACTAACGGAATCGGGTGGTCAGGCTCACCGACTTGTTTGATGCATGTCATCAATCCCATTTGCGTGGATCGATGCTCATGTTGTCCATCAGTGGATTGTCTGGTCCAGACTTGATTATTTATATACCAGCCCGTGAAGATCCGGGGTAGAATAGGTCTTCAGCAACACATGCTTGCCATGAAAGGCGACTATGCTTGTTGTAAGAGGCGACTAACGGGATCGGATTGTAAGGCTTGCTGACTTGGTTGATGCATGTCATCAATCCCATTTGCGTGGATCGATGCTCATGTTGTCCATCAGTGGATTGTCTGGTCCAGACTTGATTATTTATATACCAGCCCGTGAAGATCCGGGGTAGAATAGGTCTTCAGCAACACATGCTTGCCATGAAAGGCGACTATGCTTGTTGTAAGAGGCGACTAACGGGATCGGATTGTAAGGCTTGCTGACTTGTTTGATGCATGTCATCAATCCCATTTGCGTGGATCGATGCTCATGTTGTCAATCAGTGGATTGTCTGACCCAGACTTGATTACTTAGAGACCGCCGTCATATCATGCATATAGCTGAATTATTGCTGAGTGCGGCGTTTAACAACAAACAAACAATTTAAAACCACCATCATATAGCTGGAATATAGTTGAGTGCGGCGTTAAACAATAAAAAAAAAACCAAACAATTGTCAAGCGTTTGTCTCAGTTAAATGTCTTGAATGTCACATGCTTTGTTCTTGAATCCAGAAAACAGTGTTGGAAGCAGGTAATACGTCAATGTTTTCCGACAAGTATTTTGTACGCACTAGACATGTAGATGAGATGCAAGTCAGGTCATAGGAGGCCTTGAATCTCCCTCATCTAGCTCTTATTATGGGTACAGGCAGCCTTCTAGAAACTGCTACCTCATGTAGTGAATCAAAACCTGTAACTCTGCTCCTGACAGTGGAGCTCTCTATACATTGAGTGTAACAAATGTGTCAAGCACTGAGGTGGACTTTGCACTATAAACAATCACAACTCAGGGAGGTCACGATAAATTAATATCTGTCATGGACACTACCACAACTTGATATTGTACGCATGCAGCACAATCAAATTGCTGTCACTTTCGATCAACACTATTTCCTCTAATTAAACTATTGCCACATAACACATGTGACATGTATGTATGAAGCCCTCAAAATTATACTTGTTTTTTTAGTTACCCAACTGATCATTTGTTCATTTGCAAACCTGAAGCTTTTGTCATATCTCATGATGTATGTAACTAGTTGCCATACAAAACATAACTTTTATGGCATATGTAGTTTTTCTGCGTTTTTTTAGAATTAGTGATGTTGTGATTCACACCGGTGCATTGTCGACAAACTTTGCATGACACGATACCCAATACACTTAACTTGACATCGATTCACACTTAACCCCATATCGATCATCCATGTTGATCTCGCATCAATATCAAGAAGCAAGTAAAAGCTGTTTTTTCTATTCCTCATAACTTTCATAGTGTGGATGCGAAAACCATAATACAGAACGTAAACATGTTTGTTTCTTATTATTTTCTCACACAGAAGTCAGTGTCATGTTGATGGGTATTAGTCAGTTGTCCTTCTTTACCTTTATGAGTGAGTCTATGGACTCTATTCTCAGACTAATGACTGGGTTTCCTGGACAAAATGTTGTACATGCAGTATCGAGATACAGTTTACAAGGAACACGCTTATAACGAACAGACGGATATAAGACTTATTTTTTTGTCCTGACCATTTGCTGTATATATGCTGCAAATATACTTAAAGAGAACTATGGTTACAACGAACTAAAATTCGTGGCTAAGGCTAAGTGGTTCTCTACCCAATTCAATGTTCGCGATATCAGTGAGTGTGATAAATTTTAAACCAGGGGCCAATTTTAGAAACTTTAGATGTACACACTCTATTATATATCCTTTCTCACTGCACCAAACTCCACAACCATAAAGTAGAATAGGGAAGATAGTATATCAAAAGTAGAAACTAGACAGCCTAGAGGTAAATACAACTTGGCTAGTTTAAGTAATGTCGTTGAAGCTTTCCAAACATGCATCATACAAACAAGTAAGACATTATAAACAAGAAAATGTTTGATGCGTTGCATCAACATGGTGGCAAACTGTTTGTTCACCTGATTAAATTTACAAGAAAACAATGTTATCATTATCCCTGCCATGGGGCACATTGGGATTTCATTTGTTTGTATAGTAGTGAAAATACATGAAAAAAGGGTGTGTATTAGGGCCGTTACGATTCACTCGCGTATTTGGTGAATCGAACCGTATTCATTCATGAATTGAATTCGTTATTCGTAGCCACTAGAATCGAATATTTATGAATATGCAATCATGTGCATTTACATCCATAAGAACATATGATATGCATAGATTTCTTTAAAGACAACGCTCTTATAATATTTAATTTGACAGGAATTTGGTCACTGGTCATTGTAGCATTTGAGCAGATACTAAGACTATAAATACCTGGACAAGTACAGTATATAAATGTATAATATAGATAATTAGCAAACAATGTCAAATAATTTCTGTTGTTAATCTTTCACTGAATATAACAAATAATACATCAACTACTGACTTATTATTGTATTTGTGAATTAATATTCGTATTCATTACCCTATATTCGTGATACGAATCGTATTGGCCTCATAGGTTATTCGTTGCAGCCCTAGTGTGTATCTGTAGAACAAAAACATTACAGCATCAGTCTTGACAAGTTCACTGGAAGTTTTCATGAATGGCCTAATTGCAAGCACTAAAGAAATGATTAAAGTCTGCAGGGAAGCAGGAAGTAGGCAAATTGTAAATTGTGGTTTGTTTGGATGTATGATCCAGAAATGAACACTACAACCCATCTGCTTTTTTAAGTTATGCTCTGGTAATGAAAGTAACATGTATTTGGGTTAAGTCCAACTTGTTGCCAAGGATTCAGCAACAGGCACCAGTTCAGCATATGTTTGATATATATGCAAAGTTTCATAATAAAATATTTAAGAACTATGCTCCAGAAACGAATGCTACGCATATTTGAGTCTAAGTCTGGTTTGTTGCCAAAGAAAAACACAAAAAAATTTTTTCAGAAATACTGAAAATATCAAAAGGCATAAGTTCTGGCACATGTGTTTGATATATATGCAAAGTCTCATAATAAAATATCAAATGGTTTCTGAGATATGCTACGGCAAAAAATGCTACGTCCCGTTTATTCCATGGAAACACCAAAAAGTACTTTTAGAAGTACCAAAAACACCCAAAGGCACCACTTCAGTATGGGATTGATACATATGCAAAGTTTAGTAATAAAATATTAAACGGTTTCTAAGTTATGCTACGCCATTTTATAGAACTGTTGCAAATAGAATAAGACATTAAGTTGAATGTGTTTAGAATCAGTGTCTTTTCTTTGTTGCATTTTAGCAATCCTGGTGACAGCATCGAAGACGTCTAGTAACACCTATAAGTACAACACAGTGACGGTGGTTCTCCTTACTGAGTGTGTCAAGCTGGTGACGTCCCTCATCCTGTACCTCAAGGAGTCAGTAATACCATCACTCTCGGAACTTTACACCCCAGTCAACTCACGCAAAGCCAATGTCAATTCCTATACTTTTTTAATCACTATTTTATACCTTTAAGGATGTGTACCAGTACACAATTTCATTTTGAATGTGTGACTTCATGTTTACACTGACAACCATGACAACCAGCTGTATCCCTGAATATAATAGATCCTCCAAAGGGGATGTGACTGGTGAATGTGTGCTCAAATTGCTCTCACAGTACCCTCTTTTGTAGCTCGGTTACAACAAATGTGAGGTGACATGAAATTCGGTTTTATGGCGGTCCGGTAGCCTAGTGGTTAAAGCGTTCGCTCATCACACATAAGACCCGGGTTCGATTCCCAACATGGGTACAATGTGTGAAGCCCATTTCTGGTGTCCCCCGTCGTGATATTGCTGGAATATTGCTCACTCACTGAAATTTGGTTTAACGTCGCGTCCATTACAGTATATAGTGACGTTCATGCACTAGTGTGTGTCTGCTTGTACTAGTCCGGACTGATGCCGATTTATAGTGCTAGCACACAGAGATACCATGCCTCAGTTTCACATGAATACCCCACTCAGACACAGTATACTGACTCCGAGCTGACCAGTCCTTGTTTCAGCCCCTTAATGCCAGGCGCCTGACAGAGTAACAATAGGTACCATCTTTTAATGTCTTTTGGTATGACGCGTCCAGGGATCAAACCCCAGACCTTCCGCTATCTGGGTGGACGCTCTTCCACTAGACCACGGAGGCGGTCTGGTTACAACAAATAGATTCAGCCTATGCTTGTCAAAAGAAGCTATTAAATGGATTGGGTTGTTAGCCTTGATTGATTTGCATGTTATTGTGTCCCATTTGCGTGGATCGATGCTCAGGATGCCAATCACTGGATTGTCTGGTCCAGACTCGATTACTTGCAGACCGCTGTCATATAGCTGTGATATTGCTGAGTGCGGTGTTAAACAGCAAACAAACAAACAAACAAACAATTTATAGACCACCATCATATAGCTGGAATAAAGCTGAGTGCGGTTTTAAACAATAAAAAAACAATTGTCAAGTGTTTGTCTCTGTTGAATGTCATATATTTACAGGCTGCCTTCATATGGCTATGATATTGTTGTGAGTGGTGTTAAATAACACACAGAACAAATGATATTTTAATATATTTTTTATAAAACCTAAAAATTTGTTCAGTAGAAAGTAGTCTAAAATAGAATTGCCAATTGCCAGGGTAAGATTGTAGATTTTATAGGTAAATATTTACGTAAAGCAACCATTTAGTGATCAGGAAAGTAATATCTCCTTTGGAACCATTGCTATATCTGTGTGACTTTCCCGAAGATCAAATGTTTCTCATCACAAGCTTATTTCAAAATAAGCAGTCACTATTTTTTTGTTTCATTACATTTTGTTTCTGTTGGCAGAAAACGCAAAAACATTCCAATGCAAAGATCATAACATCATGTTACATTCTTTGTACTGATATGAATAAAAGGGACAAAACCCTTTCCATTTTCATGAGAAATCTCCGCCAAAAGTCAGAGTCTATTTTCAATTCCGACTTTATCATGAGCATGTGTTTATGAATCACAATCAAATAGTGATGACACCAGGTGTTAAACAGATAACAAAACGTTTGGATCCAAAGCATGTTTTAAATGACCCCTATGATGATGAGAAACATGTTTAAACTTTATTTGACCTCAGGTCACTGGAAACATGGTAACAGCCATTTCTTTCTGTTTCTAGCCATTCCTGTGCTACACTGAAGGCCGACATCATCAAATATAGACAGGGTAGGTGGGGTACTTGATGTGGTCAAGTTGTGGTGAAAGCCTTCTTGAAGAGCCATGTTTGAAATTTATGTTCTTTTTTACATTTTTGGAATAACAAAATATGTTTGATAGAAACGTTCATGTGTGTAATGCTATAAGTCCTGTTATATATACAAGCAACTCTTGTTAAGTGAAGTTTCAAGGAACCAAACCAAAAATATCTACTTAATTGAAATTCTACTTTTCCTACTTTGATTTTGACAAGTTGTTATCACCTACAATACATCTTATCATTGGAGGGACAATATACTTTCCATGATGCCAAATTTTGTTTTAAAAAATATCCCAGATTTCGCCCATTATTTCATTGATTTAGTTTAATTAATGACCAAAGATTTGTAACACACAGAATTAACTTTGACCATAGTTGTGTTTGTCTCCCAGTTTTAGGACTGTACTTCGTGCCAGCGTTTCTCTACTGTTTGTACAACAACCTTCAGTTTGTGAACCTCGCTGCCTATGACCCAACCACATACTACCTGCTCCTACAGTTCAGAGTTGTCATCACAGGGGTTTTCTTCCAGGTGAGTCTTGGTCCCCACAGGGGTTTCATTCCAGGTCTTGGTCACCACAGGTATTTTATTCTAGGTGGGTCTTACTCATCAAAGGTGTTTTATTCTAGACGAGTCTTACTCATCACTGGTGTTTTATTGTAGATGAGTCTTACTCATCACTGGTGTTTTATTGTAGGTGGGTCTTACTCATCACTGGTGTTTTATACTAGATGAGTCTTACTCATCACTGGTGTTTTATACTAGATGAGTCTTATTCATCACTGGTGTTTTATTCTAGATGAGTCTTACTCATCACTGGTGTTTTATTTTAGATGAGTCTTACTCATCACTGGTGTTTTATTGTAGGTGGGTCTTACTCATCACTGGTGTTTTATACTAGATGAGTCTTATTCATCACTGGTGTTTTATTTTAGGTGGGTCTTACTCATCACTGGTGTTTTATTCTAGATGAGTCTTACTCATCACTGGTGTTTTATTGTAGGTGGGTCTTACTCATCACTGGTGTTTTATTTTAGGTGGGTCTTACTCATCACTGGTGTTTTATTCTAGATGAGTCTTACTCATCACTGGTGTTTTATTTTAGATGAGTCTTACTCATCACTGGTGTTTTATTGTAGGTGAGTCTTACTCATCACTGGTGTTTTATTGTAGGTGGGTCTTACTCATCACTGGTGTTTTATACTAGATGAGTCTTACTCATCACTGGTGTTTTATACTAGATGAGTCTTACTCATCACTGGTGTTTTATACTAGATGAGTCTTATTCATCACTGGTGTTTTATTTTAGGTGGGTCTTACTCATCACTGGTGTTTTATTTTAGATGGGTCTTACTCATCACTAGTGTTTTATTGTAGGTGGGTCTTACTCATCACTGGTGTTTTATTTTAGGTGGGTCTTACTCATCACTGGTGTTTTATTCTAGATGAGTCTTACTCATCACTGGTGTTTTATTTTAGATGAGTCTTACTCATCACTGGTGTTTTATTGTAGGTGGGTCTTACTCATCACTGGTGTTTTATTTTAGATGGGTCTTACTCATCACTATTGTTTTATTGTAAGTGGGTCTTACTCATCACTGGTGTTTTATTTTAGGTGGGTCTTACTCATCACTGGTATTTTATTCTAGATGAGTCTTACTCATCACTGGTGTTTTATTCTAGATGAGTCTTACTCATCACTGGTGTTTTATTTAAGGTGGGTCTTACTCATCACTGGTGTTTTATTGTAGGTGGGTCTTACTCATCACTGGTGTTTTATTGTAGTTAGGTCTTACTCATCACTGGTATTTTATTCTAGATGAGTCTTACTCATCACTGGTGTTTTATTCTAGATGAGTCTTACTCATCACTGGTGTTTTATTTAAGGTGGGTCTTACTCATCACTGGTGTTTTATTGTAGGTGGGTCTTACTCATCACTGGTGTTTTATTTTAGGTGTGTCTTACTAATCACTGGTGTTTTATTGTAGATGAGTCTTACTCATCACTGGTGTTTTATTGTAGGTGGGTTTTACTCATCACTGGTGTTTTATTTTAGATAGGTCTTACTCATCACTGGTGTTTTATTGTAGGCGGGTCTTACTCATCACTGGTGTTTTATTTTAGGTGGGTCTTACTCATCACTGGTGTTTTATTCTAGATGAGTCTTACTCATCACTGGTGTTTTATTTTAGGTGGGTCTTACTCATCACTGGTGTTTTATTTTAGATTGGTCTTACTCATCACTGGTGTTTTATTGTAGGTGGGTCTTACTCATCACTGGTGTTTTATTCAAGGTCTTGGTCATCACTGTTGTTGTATTCTAGGTGAGTCTTACTTGCCACTGGTGTTTTATTCTAGGTCTAGGTCATTACTGGTGTTTTATTCTAGATGAGTGTTGGTCACCACTGGTGTTTTATTCTAAGCGAGTCTTACTCATCACTGGTGTTGTATTCTAGGTGAGTCTTACTCATCACTGGTGTTTTATTTTAGGCAGGTCTTACTCATCACTGGTGTTGTGTTCTTGGTGAGTCTTACTTACCACAGGTGTTTTATTCCAGGTCTAGGTCATCACTGGTGTTTTAATCTAGGTGTGTCTTGGTCACCACTGGTGTTTTATTCCAGGTCTTGGTCACCACTGGTGTTTTATTCTAGGTGAGTCTTACTCATCACTGGTGTTTTATTTTAAGCAAGTCTTACTCATCACTGGTGTTTTATTCTAGGTGAGTCTTGGTCACCACTGGTGTTTTATTCTAGGCAAGTCTTACTCATCACTGGTGTTTTATTCTAGGTGAGTCTTGGTCACCACTGGTGTTTTATTCTAAGCGAGTCTTACTCATCACTGGTGTTGTATTCTAGGTGAGTCTTACTCATCACTTGTGTTTTTTTTAAGCAAGTCTTACTCATCACTGGTGTTGTGTTCTAGGTGAGTCTTACTTACCACAGGTGTTTTATTCCAGGTCTAGGTCATCACTGGTGTTTTAATCTAGGTGTGTCTTGGTCACCACTGGTGTTTTATTCCAGGTCTTGGTCACCACTGGTGTTTTATTCTAGGTGAGTCTTACTCATCACTGGTGCTTTATTTTAAGCAAGTCTTACTCATCACTGGTGTTTTATTCTAGGTGAGTCTTGGTCACCACTGGTGTTTTATTCTAGGCAATTCTTACTCATCACTGGTGTTTTATTCTAGGTGAGTCTTGGTCACCACTGGTGTTTTATTCTAGGCGAGTCTTACTCATCACTGGTGTTTTATTCTAGGTGTTGGTCATCACAGGATTCTCTTCCAGGTATATCCTGGCTACCACATGTGCTATTCGTTTTCGTTTCAAAGAGAGATGAATAGCAATGCTCTCTCATTGCCTCCATTTGACAAAACCATGCATTTTCACACCATTCAGAATTGCCTTTGTTTCTTTCTCTAGATTCTATTCCGTAAACAGCTGAGCCGAATACAATGGGCGTCTCTCATTCTCCTCACATGTGGATGCATTATAAAGGAACTAAACCATCACGGCAGCGGCACCAAAACCGGTTCCACGGAATCTCCCAGCACAGTAGGCACATCGTTCCTCAACTTTGACAAACTGTTGGACATTCACCTGCTGTTCATCATGCTACAGGTGTTCTGTTCCGTGTTTGCTGGGGTGTATAACGAATACTTACTCAAGGACAAAGGCTGTGATGTGCATCTTATGATGCAGAACATTTTCATGTATGTAGACTCTATCATATGCAACATCTTTGTGCTCGGTTTCCATGGAGACCTAGCAAGTGTTTTTTCAGTCGCCGATGTGATGGCCATTTTTTCACGGCCAGGTGTTATAGCAATTGTGTTCAATGCTGCGGCTTGTGGCATCGTCACAAGTTTGTTTCTTCGATCATTGAATTGTATTTTGAAAACATTTGCAAGTGCCTTAGAAATCATGTTCACTGCTATTTTATGTTGGTTTATTTTCAACATTCCGGTCGATGCATACACGGTGGCAGCTATATTTGTAGTAAGTGCTGCCATCTATCTTTACGCTCAGAATCCAATCGTAAATAAAGCAAAGAATGAGGTAACTGAGGAACCAAGCAAGACTGAGAAAAGTAGAGAAACTGTTTAGATTGTTGGATTACTGTTTTTATTTTCATATTGATCAAGATTGATCACTTTAATATCAGGGCTCCCAATAATCATGATTATCACTATTTTGTTTACTGTATTTCTTCACATTTTATGTGATTTCTCATGTTTATATTTCAGTTCAAAAACTTATTAAAATTTAATAATAGATAATAGTTTTGAAACTTGATGACATGGATGTGAAAAGATAATATTTTTATATTTCTTCTTGTTCCAAATTTGTTGTGGATGAGAGTTAACATAATCTCAGGACAAAGTCTCAGAAAATACATAATGAGTGCACAGTGTTTTATTTTTCATTTGCCATGTTAGCGGTAAGTTAGCTGAACATCTATGATCCTGCGGTCATAGATATCCAAGTACAAGTACAGTCGAACCTCCTTGTCTCGGACTCAGATGTGTCAAATCCCTACTTGTGTCAAACTCACAGTCCATTTCGGCAAACTCTTTCAATTTGTATCACTATTTTAACCCGGATGTGTCAAATCCCCGGTTGTGTCAAACTCACAGTCCATATCGGCAAACTCTTTCTATATGTATGACTATTTTAACCAGGATTTGTCAAATTCTCGGTTGTGTCGAGCTCACAGTACATTTCAGCAAACTCTTTCTATATGTATGACTATTTTAACCAAGGTTTGTCAAATCCCTGGTTGTGTTGAACTCACAGTACATTTCGGCAAACGCTTTCTATATGTATCACTATTTTAACCAGTGTCAAACCCAGACCGCGCAATTGCGCGATCCACGCTAAAAAAAATCAAATCGCCCCTAAAAAAACCTCAAAGCGCGATCTGTCGCGCACAGTAATTTCTTGTACAGTCACTTACTTTATCAGTTGTTTATCCCTACCTTTAGATTCAATACTCACTAATGCTTTTATCAATTACCGAAGAAAGACAGTTCACAGCAAACATTGTAAACAACTGTTGAAAACCAATCGATAATAACCAGAAGTTCAAACAAGAGTTATACGTCCCTTGGGTTGCTGAATAAATTATCGACAGGATTTGCATAGGAAACGAAATTTAATTTACCGGTACTTTAGTAGAAAGTGTATCAAAACTTTGATCAAAATTATGTTGTATTTTGTTGTTTAGTAATCAAAAACCTTTGACAAGATGTTAAAAGACAAATAAATATTCTATATTGAATAGTTCTAGAAGTATTTTTGAGCATTTTAGTTCGTTTTAGTTTCGTTTCTGAAATCACACAATATGAATCGCAGACTGTCATTGCAGACGATCTTTTGATAGTGAAAATGTCTCGCCAAAACAAAAACATTACAGACTTTTTTAATCAAAATAGATGTTCTAAAAAAGACAATGATGAAACCACAGTCACTGTAATGACTTCTCAAACTGAAGGGGAAATCGATCCCGGTCCTAGTGATTCTAAAAAGCAGTTCTTTGTTCTGATCTGTTACACTTTTATATGATGATGTTCCAGTACATAATACAAAATAAGACATTTTTGAAGAAAGCAGTTATCCCCCCTACTTTTTCAAAATCCTCCCTATTTTCTACATGATGGGGGGACAAGTCTCCCTTGAATTTCAATTCTGGGTTGGACACTGTTTTAACCAGGATTTGTCAAATCCCCCGAGTGTGTCGAACTCACAGTACATTTCGGCAAACGCTTTCTATATGTATCACTATTTTAACTCATATGTGTCAAATCCCGGGTTGTGTCAAACTCACAGTCTATTTCTGCAAACTCTTTCTATATGTATGACTATTTTAACCAGGGTTTGTCAAATACCCGGATGTGTCAAGCTCACAGTACATTTCTGCTAACGCTTTCTATATGTATGACTATTTTAACCCGGATTTGTCAAATCCCTGGTTGTGTCGAACTCACAGTGCATTTCTGCTAACGCTTTCTATAAGTACCACTATTTTACCCTGGAGGTGTTGAACTGGATGTTTCCAATTCCTAATTGTCTTGAACTCAATATATTGTCCCTAGAGTTAAAATTGATTTAAAACTTACCCTTATACATCAAACTCAATTTATTTTCAAAACAAAGAATTTGTATTAAGTATAATGGTCAAGTATAATGGACGATGTAGACAATACCCACGTTCGACGAATAGTGATCACGTGATCGTCATTATTATACAAATGTTATTAACATAATGTGCACAATGTGATCCTTTTCTGTCTGTTGTCTGATGGCCTAGTCAGATGGTAGTAAGGTTGAGTCGGATGTGTCAAACCCAAGATATGCCTAACTATTTGTCAGGTCCCAGAAGTTCAGGACAACGGGGTTTGACTTCATATGCATAATTTTTGGTATGATATGTTCCAAGCATGGATTGCCATGTGGTTTAAAACATCATCAGGTCTATATGTTCATGATGTTGGTGGACTGATCTAAGGCACCCATGTACAGTTGCTCCCCTTTGTCATGGGTTCAAATCCCAGATTGTGTACGCATCCTACCTGTGCTAGTGGTGTACAAGGTATCACTCTGGCATCACTCTGGCAACACAACAGTGATGCAGTTATGTAACTGATACCCTTTTCAAAGTGTTAAACCCAACTTGCTCTGTTCTCAGCGAGGTATGACGGTATTGACAAGCTAAAATATCGAATAATTGGCATGCAATTCATTTGAGATAATGATATATATTGAAACTATTGACATGGTTACTAATAATCATCATCATTAGTGCAACCGGGCGAGATGATAAATACGTTCTGTCAAATTATACTGTTACATGTATTATTATATTTCATACTCATTTTTATTCCAACTCTATAAAGAAATAGAATTTAGGAACATAAATTCAGTCACACCATACTGTGTTTTAATTTTATATTGATTAGAAGTTTGAATCATATGTTTTTTATGTGATTAGAAGTTTGACAATATGCTTGCCTTACCAAGTGATGGATTCATAGTTTCATATTCAACCTCAGCATGTTCAGTAAACACACGTGTGATGCATGTTTGTTCATGTACATGTTCACTGAAAACATTCCTGGACTTCGTTTACATTCAGATGGATGCCCATGCATAATTGCACTTTAAAGAGGCATCTGTGGGATGTGTTTTATGTCTTCGGTAACCATGTCACTATATGTTGGACGGGCAAAAAACAGCATTGATAACTGGTAGTATCATTTGTTAGTAGTTCGGTATTGTTCAGTTATTATAAGGTCGGGAAGGGCAGGTCAACAATGCAAGTAGAAGGAGAGGGTGGGAACATTTTATATATTGTATTGAAGATAAAATATTCATCTATAAATGAAATTATTTATATTTGGCTTTAATAAATGAATTATTAGGCTTTCATCTGAGCCTGCCTCTCTACAGTACCAAAGACACTGCCTCACATAATCTTATTTTCCTGCAGACAAAATTATCACATGGTGGCCTTCTTCCTTACTTATGACAAACATTCATGCTTATTGGAAAAACATCTGTCAACAGTTGGTACACAGATGCTTTGGACAGTTTGTTTAAAAAAAACAAACACCTGGTGTGCAATGTCTGCCCTAAACATCAGAAACCACGGAACTGATGAGACTGAAACTGTACATACTTGTTTCCACAAACCTCCTAATTTCTTCTTGTGGAATGAATCCGAATGTCCATATGCCCGCCACAGTAGCTATAGTGAAAAACTTCTTTCTGGCCATTTCTCAGCCGTTTTTGACTGAATGAAATTTCGTGTGTGTACTTAGTAGCGGAGCTCAACAGATATGTTCCGTTTTTTACGACATGACCTTTATTTGACCTTTGTACTTCGCCGTACTGAAAGCTGAAACCTCTAGTTTACTGAATGTTTTGTTTCAAAATGTTATAATGATTATTGATGTGTAATAGGTAGTGGGCCTCAAATATTTTTTTTTTCACGACAATACCTTTATTTGACATTTGCACTTCGCCAATGCTGAAACTTCTTGTGGCCATAACTCAACCTTTTGTTTCAAAATGTAATAATATTTGATTTATGTGTAGTTAGTAGTTGGGCTCAAAACGTTCCGGATTTGTTTCTGATACATTATAAATTTTGACCTTCATTGGACCATGTTGACCTTGACACTTTGTCCATGCTCCTAAATTCTCTCAAAATGCATTTCCTCACACTGTAACAGCTTTCCTCACACTGTAACAGCTTTCCTTACACTGTAACAGTTTCCCTCAAAAACCGCAGAACCATTAATGACTCCTGAATTTGATCAACATGTTCGAATACGATTTTCAGTATGGCTATTTAAAAAACTATTTATGGCGGATGATCCACAGTTTCTGCTCAAAATGTACTGTAATATTAAATTCCCTCAAAATACAGTGTTTTTCTTTATACACATCTCCGAAGTTGCTAGACTGAGGAAGCTTTTCTTTGGCATGTATTGTTCTCCTTATGATAAAATCATATTTTGTTCAAATCTTTAGGATTTTTGTGTGTGAAACATTTAAACAAACTGGATGGTATTAGACTCATTATTCTCCTTCAAAGGTTTATGAGGCACGGAGTTGAAACGTTGTGTAAAGTAACTTGAATCTGTTGTGTATCCATCCCTCTGAGGTACCATCCCACAGTGTACCATGGATACCCACAGTACACTGACCTGGATCTGGAACTGACCAGTCCTTGTTTTAGCCTCTTAATGCCAAATGACAGGCAGGGTAACAACAATAACTATCTTTTAAGTGAGTGAGTATGGTTTTACGCCGCTTATAGCAATATTCCAGCAATATCTTCACGGGGGGCACCAGATCTTTTAAAGTCTTTTAGAAGGACACTGCTGGGGATGGAACCACCAACGTTCGCTCTCCAGTGAAGACTTAGAAACATTATGGATAGTTAGTTACTTGTTTCATATTTGTAAATACTTTGGCCTTCAGTATTTATGCAGAAAACATTTGAGTAGCAATGCTCTATTTTAAGTAGCTGTTGACAACACATCCAGGCAGGCACTATTTTCAGTATTTAGATGAAAATCTAATAATTAGTTATTGTGCCATTTCATGTTATTATTATGCAAATAGGCTTTGCCAATATTGTTCAACAAGAAGCGACATACCTAAGGGGACTATTGTTTATGGATGAAAATTTACTAGCCAAAACTCATCTCCCTAACACACTCAGCCCTGAAACCAACACACAGTCTTGCAGGCTCGATTTCCTCTCTAGCCTTGGGATTGTAATCAGAATAAAGTGCCTTCATCATGTTCCTACTTGTTCATTGATATTTAACACACCTTGCATATTAGGTACCAGTATCACTATTGTGTTGTTATCCTGTTACAGAGTGTTCACATTGTGTTACACTATGTCCATGTATATTGTTGTTGACAGGGGTCTTACCGGTATATTGACTTGATATAAGCTAGGTTCACAACAAACTGCCTGGCTGTTTACTATTTGCTTCCAAGACATTTGTGTTGACAGTATTAGCATCTTCCATTGACACTGGCCATCAGGCAAGTTGTCCTATTTTATTACTGATGGAAAGACAGCTTTTTGCAATGTTGATTTTGTTAAGAATTTCCAATTATGTGTGCAGTTCTGTTGATTTAATCTTTTCTTTTGTAAAGTGGCTTTTTTTTGTAGTTAGACGAAAACAATATACCATATATTGCTGTGTACAAGGTGATTTTTTCGTACCTAGAATTACGGGGCTTTCATTGGGGGGGAGGGTCTTCTTATACACAGGGTTAAAGGGGCACTGATCTAACGCAATTCCCCGGACTGGTTGTTGCCTTTGTTATTGTTTTTTGCCCCGTGAGACTCGGATGATACGCAACGTAACTGAGCGTGACAAGAGACTGGGCTACCGTCTGCAAGGACAGCTAAATAAACTTGGAGGCTGGAGGCAATATTTGTTTTACGCATTTTTGCATAAACACTGATTTGTTAACTGTGATCTAAAAAGATTTCGACAAAGGGCGCATGTTAATTAATTTCTTCAGCCTAAACTAACAGACAAAAAGAACGGCGGAGCTCATCGGATGTCGTCATTTGGAAATACCCCAGATGGTTATAGTTAACACTAAAAAAAGTATCCATGCAGTGAAAGCATTTTCGGTTTTCGGATTGCGTCGAAAATACGATTACTACTCCCTTGTTGTCATCCACGTTTTCTCGCATAACCCTACACTTGTGTATTAGTCGTCATTCACTTGATGCTCAGTTAATGAATTTATTACAGGTACAATTAGTGGTAGCACCACATAGATTACCTGACAAAGGTTCCCATTTGGCATTTATTGTGTCTGGGGTAAATATTCAATCTAAATCCAGGTTTGAAGTGAGGTGAAATGTGTGTTATGTAATATGCACGTGGCAGACCAGCAAGAGGTGAATGATCAGTTGATTTACTTTTTTTTGTAAATCAACGGATCGTTCCTAGTCATCAAAGGATTAACAGAAAATACGTTGATTGATTAATCACTGTTATTTTGCACAGTGGATATGTCAAAAGTGAGTGTTTACATGTCTAGGTTTACTAAAACAAAGGGAATACACTCATATCATGGCGTGAAGTGCCGATGTAAAAACAACATACTTTGTTCAAAGGGTTAACTGATAATACGTTGATTGATTGATCATTGTTATCTATCACTCAATTGATTTTTTAGGAACTGTGGACGTTATGAAAATAGTTGTCACGTGGGCTTTCTCAGCTGACCCTTGAGACTTGACACCTATGTGAAACACCTGAAACAATCCAAGTGATCAGTTGAGAAACGGGTTAAAATATCCCCAAACGATATATATTTTTTAAAATATGTGATTGTTACAGAGACACGTGACATCGAATAAGTTTTTTTGTACAGCTGCAGACGAGTGGGATATTGTTCCTTTGTGTGGATATTCATGGATACATTCCTCGAACAAGGAAGCTGCCTATATTTATACACATAAATTTGGTAGGTTGTAATTATGGTATTTGCATTTTGTTTTCCTTCATTTGCTGTAACATTGAACCGATTCGTCCTTGTTTCTCTAAGTCTTGGTTGGGAAATTCTTCAATGCGCGATAGACGTTGTTTTCACAGGCCTTTTCCTTTGTAAGCGTGTATATATTACCGTCAATTTGTAAAACGTGATTCTCTCAGGCAATTTATAAAATGTGTAAATATTTCAGTCATTTTGACTGAAAAATCTGTCCTATCCGTCACCATTACAGATGCTACCGACAAAGATACCTACATTTCCTTATTATCTCGAAAACTGTATTTCATTTTGTTGATCAATGTGACCATACGCCCTTATTACTACCCATAAAAGTGACTAATGCGCTTACGAATGGCGCAGCAGAGGTCGCGAACTAGTCTAGATTTCTGCTATACATCCGGGTACTCACTGGGAAAAAACAATAACAAAGGCAACAACCAGTCCCGGGGAATTGTGTTAGATCAGTGCCCCTTTAAAGAGTTTTGATGTTTTTTTCCCCAACACAAAGACATTACTGTGAGCATGTAACACTGGAAATACCATGTCAACAAATTTGTACTGAAGTACGCAAACTAATCATGTAATTACACTGTCTGTTTATAAAAAGTGTTCATTGTATATGTGGACTTATGTTTGTAATTTATTTTAATAAGTTTATTCAAAATTTAAATCAATATTCTTTACTTTCAATTTGGCAAAATCATGTGTGGAAGTGATTGGAAGATCGCACAACTGTGTTATCAACATTTCACATTCTTGTATATACGAATTTCCTCCTATATGATAGAAGAATATAGTGCAGACAAGATCATGAAGTATTGATGTCTTAACGATGATCTAAATAACATTGGGACAAAAATACAAAATAGAACATTGTACAAAGTATGACTCTTTCTAATTGCATTGCTTATTGGAGAAAAAACACATGTACATGTTATGTATGTCATGCTGGAAAATGAAAACAACTGGAACTCTGGCAGTTATGATAAACAATTTATTCGGGTCAGCATGTGATGGAAATTTTCTTTCAAATGTTTTTTTTCTCCAATTTTTAGGGTTGACTGAGTTGTAAAAAAATAATTTCGGACAAAAGTTTGGCCTTTTAAACAGTAAGTCAAACTCTGTAACGCTATGTTGACTTTTGTCCCAACAGTGGCATTACACAGCCCACGTTTTGTCAAAGTATGTAAACGCTATGCCAGGACAAGGTATGGTAAGGGCCTTTTGGCCTCTAAAATGGTGGGGGCAGTGGGGTAGCCTAGTGGTTAAAGCGTTCACTCGTCATGCCGATGGCCTGGGTTCCAATGTACATGGGTACAATGTGTGAAGCCCATTTCTGGTGTCTTTCCCCCCGTGATATTACTGGAATATTGCTAAAAGCGACGCAAAACTGTATTCACTCATTCACTCTAATATGGCATTTTTAATGTTGACAGAGAGGCATGATTAAGTACCTACGTGTGGTGAAAATGAACAGGACTTTTTTTCAAACCCTAGAAAAATATTCAACTACATGTATGTGGTCCAATTCTCATTTGTTGGAAGACATCAAAGAACTTCCATGACAATTTCTGAATTTTTTCTGCATGTTTAGAGAACTACAGGGTCCAAAAGACCCCTTATCACACCTTGTCCTTTGAGATTCAAGTTGTTACGCTGTTACTATGGTCCTCTCATCATGGTTCCAAAAGATTCCATGTAAAGACAAACTGACTAGATATCTGCCACTTCCTTCTCTTACAGAATGAGTCAGAATCTGATTTGAACATATTTATTTGTTTATGTTGTTGTGATGTTTTCTTTTTTTCAGTAGTTTTTAGCAATGTTTGTATATTTTTACAGGTTTTCTACATTGTTGATTTTTTTGCATAAATAATTCTTGCCAATTATGATTAATTTCAGATCATTGTTTAATTTGAACATTGTTATAGTTGTTAAGAAATGTGTTTATTTCCACCCCTTATGCATAAATTCCTACATTCTTAAGCTTGACTAGATACTTTTTCCAAATATGTTCTGACATTCTACACGACATAATTTTCAAGGCATAATATTTAGAATGAAAAAAAAGTTTTGTTTTCAAATGAGGATTTTCATACTGACAAATTGTATCCACATATTATTTGCACTGAACAAATAATCATTCTCAGCGCCATTATTTACTCAATAAATATTTTTGAACAAAATTTACATTAATTCACCCTGCTTATGGTACTACACACAGTACAGGCCCAATGGTTGTGAACAGCTGGTGAATATAGTCGTCTCAGCTTGGTTATACAAGTGTACATACAGTAATATGATATACGAGGACTGCATTATGGTACAGTGCCTTGTATTGCCTTACAACAATAATATAAAAAAATAATAATAAGTTCTGTACACAGAATGATTGTGACCATGGTAACAGATTGAGTGTATTGATGGATGACTTCCCTAACTATTGAAACTATAATTTAAAAAAGAATAATGAATGCTGTGAAATTAACCTGAAATGAAACCTAGCAACAATGTTTTGGTTTTTTGGGTGGTTGGGTGGGGATTTCAGTTCCTGCCTTTTGCCATATTGTCCAAAAGACTGTAGCCTGGGGTTACTAAATGATGCCATCTCTGTTGCCTGAGGTTACTAAGTGATGCCATCTCTGTTTGGACATTTACATGTTGGAATGTTAGGTTAAAGAGAAACAAACAACACATATTGTCCTTATATATTATTTATCCTCATATTGTTATTATTACATGAGAGTTAACCATGATTAATTTGTGATTGTTATATTCAAATGTACATAAATCATTATGGAAATCAACAACAGATTATATTTATTGTTATATTTTCAATAGTTTTCTATTAATGAAATCCAAACAAATAACAACCAGTAACATGGCAAAACACAACTGCATTGGAATTTCTTTTATGTAATGGAATACATCATTTGACAAGATTGATTTGAGAAAAGGAAATATTTTTTTTCGAAAATCACATAAATCTTGTTTTACCAACTGGTCTTTGACAATGAATGATAAGCTTTCACCATATTAAAGGGGTGATAGGGTGGCTAAGTGGTTCAAAAGTTTGTGTCATGCTGAAGACATGGGTTTCATTCCCCATGTTGGTGTAATGTGTCCCCTGCTGTGAAATGGCTTCAAACCTCAGCAGTCCAGTTATACAAGGCTCTACAATTTACAGTGAGGAATGCACCCCTTAGCTATGCCAGCATCTGTTGATTATGTTCAAATCTTTCATTGTGATCCTCGGGCTATCAGCACCAGTGATGGATATTTACAGAGTTATTAGTCTGGTTGTTGTAAGGGACTACCGTATTCGACGTAATAAGCGCCCCGCTCTAATAAGCCCCCACAGCAATATGGCTAGTGAACAATCCCAATTAGCACCCCTTCCGATTGATGTATACAAGACTTATTTGTTCATGTATAATACATACTCATGTGTTATATGCACCAATAAGTATGGGTAATTAAATTCTGGAAAATATATGTCATGTTAGTTATGCACTTACTTTTCTTTTGTATCATTTCAGGCTGTCAGGGGGGCGGTCGGGTAGCCTAGTGGTTAAAGCGTTCGCTCGTCACGCCGAAGACCCGGGTTCGATTCCCGACATGGGTACAATGTGTGAAGCCCATTTCTGGTGTCCCCCGCCGTGATATTGCTGGAATATTGCTAAAAGCGGCGTAAAACCATACTCACTCACTCACTCAGGCTGTCAGCATAAATTACAAAATTTACAATCTTTCAAATCTGTTTTTTTCTCTCTCCAAAATTATATTCTTATAAGAGCCCCATATTTCTAATTTTGAGAGCGCCCCGGGCGCTTATTACGTCGAATATGGTAAGTCTTGTATATATATAAAATGGAAAGTATGTCAGGCATCATGGATTGGGTTTTGGGTATTATGGTAACAGATTTAAGAAATAAACAGCTCGTGGTCGTTCATCGTACAATAAAACACTGCAAGGAGAATAAACCATTAGGGGCACAGCTTGCAGTGTTTTATTGTACGATGAACGACCACGAGCTGTTTATTTCTTATATGTGATATCAGCATTATTGACAGCCTCTTTATGGATGATGATAACATAATATAGAATCAATAGAATCCGACCTTGGCAATGTCAGACAAGTCCATTTTATGCACAGGAGGATATTTCCCATATTCTCACAATCCTCACGTCAATTGCCTGTACCTTTTTCCCCCCAATACCGATTGTCATATCTCTCCCGCTTTTGGATGTGATTGTTCAGCCATCACATTTATCTACGTTGCCCAGTGTCAACTATGGGGAACAACTCACTAGACACTACCCTCACAAAATTAAAGTCGTCCAATATACAACGGCATCAAGTTGCGAGCGCATGTTCGAATCTCCAGAAATGATAGAACGACGTTTTACCATGAAAATAAAGCAGACTTCTTCCTTCATTGTTATTTAGCTAACTTATGTTTGAAGTTCAATCATGAGGGTGATAGACCATGATGGAGCTATTATGTTGTGATACATATTGCAGTGAAGCTATTCTGTATCACTTGCTGCATCAGTGACAGATGCAATGACACTTACGGATTCATTGTTGCAAATTCTGCATACATTGAACATCATCAATCTGTTTCCTATGGCATTAGTTCACCAACACTACTTTCTGGCCATTTGTAGAAAGAATATTTTTGGAGACAATATGTATCATGTTATGCATATTCTTCAAAACTGAAGAAAACAGGTACCTTTCCCATTGTATCCATTTAGAGAATTTACATTTAAGAATTGACTTTCAGTTTGAGTATGAACGTTCATAAAATGATTATTATGCCTGCATAATACAATTTTTATTCTTATAAATTTATGATTAGGAAATTCTGTGTAATTATTACTACACTGTAGATCAACATGTGTTTTCAGATATGTGAGCGTAATTGAGTATTTCAAATGGAGAAATTTTAACATTTGAAACCTCTGGCTTACAACTTATGTAGGTTCCAAATGATCTATTCTGAGATAAAAAAAAAACATGACATGTATTAAACCAACTTGACATAGCAAGCACCTACTATACTGGTGGACCATATATTTAAAGCATTCATTGCTCCAAAATATAGTGATGGTGACAGGTTGGCCTAACTTATTTGGCACAATATATAACATCGAGCACCAAATTTCCGAATGACACCTATTTTCGAACAGCCGTATATGATATTGATTTGTCGCATTATAACGAGAGGTATGACGTCATTAAAGCTGGCAACTGGAGAATGCAGGCTTTCAGCCTGTCAACACTGAGTTCATGTGAAGTACTGTACACTTGTCCGTTGTCATTCAGAGTTTTGGTGTCCGTGTATGATGAACAGGAAGAGTAAATTAGTGTGAACACTCTAATTTGACAAATATTCATATTTTATATTCATATTTTGTATATCGGTTTCAAACTTTCAATTATTTTTTAAGTTTTAATGCTGACCTGCAAGAGTTATGTTGAGAACTATGCACCGAAACCCATCTGTTCATTCACGAAAACCCTGCTACAGTACCAACCAATCAGGTGTTCGACAATAGGTAACGTCACTCAGAAGCCTTTTATCAAGGATTTGTTTTCTTTCGGAATGTAGCTGAATTCTATTGTTGAAGACATCACCTACTGGAATGAAGCAGAATTTGAGTTTTCATTCACTCATCCCTCGAAATATCAGCAATGCCATCTTAACTTTCGAAAATAGAGTACGTCAAAAATAAAATGAGTTAGGGCAACCTGTCACTATATTTTGGAGCAATGAATGTTTTATTGAGGTTGAAATGGTTACAAAATTACTTTGAAGCCATTGAAAAAGACAGAAATGACATATCAATGATCAGACTGCAACAGATTGGCTTTCCACTTGAGATGACCTAGCTTCCACTAAACCTACTGTCTTTCAGTTGTTAAAATGCCATTAACAGTGATACTGTGACTGCATGAAAAATGATAAGGTTGGCATTGTTCAACTTCAATCAGCATATTATTCTTGATAGAATTGCAATATCATAATGTCATGCATGACACTACATCCATATCATCGGCGGATACAGCTTTTTTGAAAAGGGGGGGGGGGGGGGTTGCACAATTAAGATCTATTTATTGTCTTTGGTGGTAATTTATACAGAAATAAAGATTTTTTTCGAAATAAAAAGGGGGGGGGTGCACATACCCGCAGTATCCACCCATGCATATCAGTTTACGAAACTACTAGTGACCCTTAACTTGATGTGTTGAGTATATATAACAAATCTCCCTTTTAAGCTAGTATTTAACATGTTTCACCCTGGGTTTTGTTGTAGCATGCCTCTTGGTTGATTTTTTTGCATCATATATGTAATTCATAATATATTTATATATATATATAAGAATGATAGTGTGTTCATGGCAATGTTCACATCAGATTCAATAATAATTTGGTACAGGTAAACATTTGGTAAAGGAAACAGCTGTAATCATAATTACAAATTTTGGGTGAAGTCAAGAAGACATTGGATGTTAACTTGTTATCATGGTTACAGAGTTATATGTATGTTTGATGTGTGGTTGCCTTTTTACAGAATTATATGTAGTGTTTTTATGCGGGAATAAAATATTGAAAGTGCCTTTGTATGAATCACTTGTGACAGATGGTGCTTGTGTGGAGCCTATGTGTTTACAACCATTAATATATCAACAGAAAAAAGTAACTGCTTCATATTAAGTTCAATGAAATTAAGTAATGCATCTTTCCGTATATATTCTTGAAGACATCTCCTCGACTCTGTTTCGCAATTTCATCCCCAACGTCCAGCGATACGCCCAATTCTGCTTCCACGTCACTGCAGGCACACCTAGGTTAGTGTTGACAGCATCTGAGGTTCAGAAGACAAATCTGGGATGATATCAAGTATGCAGATGAGTCCAGGTTTCATCTGGACAACTCTCATGGCCGTGCAAGGGTCCATAGGTGTCCAGGAGATACCTTTAGCCATGCTTGCATAATTCAATGTTGTCAGTTTGGGGGTGAGTTGCCTGTATCACCCCAAAAAATGGTCACACCTGAAAGTGACATTGTTAATTGAGTTGTTACACCATCGCTCTTGTAGGTGGTCTCGCTCTGTCTCCTATGTCAATAAATTTGTTATGATAAAGCATTGATCAGACGAATGACCAAATTTTATGATGTTATTTTCAATAACATAACATTTACACCACTTTATATGAAGCACAATTACTTTTTTCTGTTTGTATAATTACAATCAATGTAGGTACTATGTCACAGTCAGCGATATTCTGGCTAACCATGGCTTTTGTGTACGATGACTCCCTGTCACCCAAGTGCATGCCAAACTGAGGCATTTGGTAGTGAGGACCTATTCTCACTCAGAATCAAGGGGCACACAATTTTGAGCACTTCCTCACATAATCTGTTGTTGAGAGAGTTTTACATCAAAGTCCGCCATATATCTGCTGTGTCACCTCAGTCTGTATTGTGACATTTTGTCGACTAACCAGCATCTTATTGTGAGAGCACTGGTCCCGAAAACTGGGTCATAATGATACAAGGTCAGCCAACAGTCTGTAGTGTAAGCACTTTTGATTTTTCCTTGATCAATCATCCTCATCAGGAGCACCACTAAGAAAGTAGATAGTTGTCTCCCCTGTTCCTAAGCGACAAGTTCTCCACACTGTTGGTTCCTGTCCTGTATCTCCTCCACACTCAGTTCCAGCAGTACATGGGAACATCTAAGACTAGTCTAGAGTTGTCTCCCCTGTACCTAAGTCACACAGGGATCTCAACACTCCACACGGCTGCTTCCTGTCCCAGTAGAGCCGTATCTTCTCCACACTCAGTTCCAGCAGTACATAGGAACATCTATAGATTAGTCTGGAGTTGTCTCCCGTGTTCCTAAGTTACACGTCACACAGGGATCTCCACACTCCACACTGCTGCATCCTGTCCCAGTAGAGCTGTATCTCCTCCACACTCAGTTCTGGCAGTACATAGGAACATCTAAGACTAGTCTAGAGTTGTCTCCCGTGTTCCTAAGTTACATGTCACACAGGGATCTTCACACTGCTGCTTCCTGTCCCAGTAGAGCCGTATCTTCTCCACACTCAGTTCCAGCAGTACATAGGAACATCTATAGATTAGTCTGGAGTTGTCTCCCGTGTTCCTAAGTTACATGTCACACAGGGATCTTCACACTGCTGCTTCCTGTCCCAGTAGAGCTGTATCTCCTCCACACTCAGTTCTGGCAGTACATAGGAACATCTAAGACTAGTCTAGAGTTGTCTCCCGTGTTCCTAAGTTACATGTCACACAGGGATCTTCACACTGCTGCTTCCAGTCCCAGTAGAGCCGTATCTTCTCCACACTCAGTTCCAGCAGTACATAGGAACATCTATAGATTAATCTGGAGTTGTCTCCCGTGTTCCTAAGTTACATGTCACACAGGGATCTCCACACTTCACACTGCTGCTTCCTGTCCCAGTAGAGCCGTATCTCCTCCACACTCAGTACCAGCAGTACATAGGAACATCTATAGATTAGTCTAGAGTTGTCTCCCATGTTCCTTAGTTACATGTCACACAGGGATCTCCACACGGCTGCTTCCTGTCCCAGTAGAGCTGTATCTCCTCCACACTCAGTTCTGGCAGTACATAGGAACATCTAAGACTAGTCTAGCGTTGTCTCCCCTGTTCCTAAGTTACACGTTACACAAGGATCTCCACACTGCTGCTTCCTGTCCCAGTAGAGCCGTATCTTCTCCACACTCAGTTCCGGGAGTACATAGGAACCCTCCTCACACTCCTTGGAACACTGCCATGCTGAAGCCTAGAGGACACAGATTGGAAGATAATGCTCATTGGAAGTCAAGAAAATGCATATCTTACAGAATCAAATATAGTGTCACCCTGCTAACATGGCTAACTTGGAAACCCTGTCCACCAGACAATCTTGTTTGCAATGTCTGAATGAACAAAGCGACTTTAATCTGCATCAATGATGCATTAATCCAAAAAATGTCTTAAAACAGATGATTGTACTTGGTTCTGTTTGCATAAACATTGCTACACTGGAGTAACCACGGTGCAGCACAGCAATTGCTTTGTGGATATTTATGGATAATTCACCATGTACACCCTGTCACTAGACATTCCAGAGACCTACCTGCTGATAGTGTGGCCCGACTGCTGCAAGCCAAATACCCAGAGAAACATCTTCTCCCTAAACAAACACATGACATTTTAATCCTCAATACATTCTTTATAAAGTAACACTGTCAGCACAACTTCATATCTGATGAAACTAGAAGATAAGGCTAGGACGGGTAACTCGGGTACTCGGGTCGGGTCGGTCCTGGCTGGGTCCTGAGTAGGACCGGGGTACCCACAGGACTACCCGGACCTGTGGTTGGTCACGTGATATATTGTCTAATGACAAAAATTATCTTAAACTCTATGGTTACACTATTAGTCACTAATGTTCCCATTTCTTTCTGACAATGCACCCATTCCTTCTGACTTTCATATGTTTGAATAAAGATAAAACTTCAGTGTATGCATGACCAGATCGTTTTACACGTGTATCTAAATACATTATGCCAGGGCTAAGGTCAAATTTTTCCACATCGGACAGTTTGTACCTATCTCTAAATATCTACAGCGGGTACCTGGGTAGGGTCAGGTAATAAGGTGGTGGGTAGTAAATTCTGACTCGTCCCAGCCCTACTAGAAGAAGTATGCTTTTAACATCAAACAAAGTGAAATACTACAGTTGTGGAATGTTAAGGTTGCAGCATGAAATTGAAAAAGTTATGGTGTTCAGAACTTCAAGTGAGAGAGGGAAAAGCTCCACTTAATCCCGACCTGGTAATGGTACAGCTGTTTCGAGTTGTCTGCAATCCAGGTATGAATGTCCCGGGAGACGATGTTCCCAGACCCACAGGCAAACCTTGGGTAGATGGATGATGGGAAGATCCTCTCCTTCCACTTCCCATGTCTCTCCACCAGCCACTCATCCCGGAATCTGAGGAAAAGAACACGAACATTGTGCACCTGTGTATATCAAGAACACGAACATTGTGCACCTGTGAATATCAAGAACACGAACATTGTGCACCTGTGTATATCAAGAACACGAACATTGTGCACCTGTGTATATCAAAAACACGAACATTGTGCACCTGTGTATATCAAGAACACGAACATTGTGCACCTCTGTATATCAAGAACACGAACATTGTGCACCTGTGTATATCAAGAACACGAACATTGTGCACCTGTGTATATCAAGAACATGATTTGTGCACCTGTATATATCAAGAACACGAACATTGTGCACCTGTGTATATCAAGAACACGATTTGTGCACATCTGTATATCAAGAACACGAACATTGTGCACCTCTGAATGTCAAGAACACGAACATTGTGCACCTCTGCATATCAAGAACACGAACATTGTGCACCCGTGTATATCAAGAACACGATTTGTGCACATCTGTATATCAAGAACACAAACATTGTGCACCTCTGAATGTCAAGAACACGAACATTGTGCACCTCTGCATATCAAGAACACGAACATTGTGCACCTCTATATGTCAAGAACACGAACATTGTGCACCTCTGTATATCAAGAACACGAACATTGTGCACTTCTGTATGTCAAGAACACGAACATTGTACACCTCTGTATGTCAAGAACACGAACATTGTGCACCTCTGTATATCAAGAACACGAACATTGTGCACCTTTGTATATCAAGAACACGAACATTGTGCAGTTCTGTATGTCAAGAACATGAACATTCACAACATTGACGAAACCATCCGCAGAAGATGACAGTACCCTTCCAACTGTAATGAGTGAGTGAGTTAGTTGGGTTTTACGCCGCTTTTAATAGTATTCCAGTTATATCGCGGCGTATCAGCTTAATGTGGGAGGAAGGCCCGAAGTGATGCAGGTCTCAGACGTTTACCACTTCGATGAAACCCACAAGCACGGGTATTGGTTGACAAATATAGAAACATAATCGGGGCGAACCAGGATTCGAACCCACAATCATAGGTTTCTGGCGTGTCCAAGGGACGCAACTCTGCACAGCAAATCGCGGCGCCTTAGACGACTGGGCCAGTGCCCCCCAAACTGTCATGAAGATTACTTAATGGTATTAAGGCAAGTTTGAGAAATCCAAATTAAATGATTGCAAGTTCCACTTGGGATGTGTGCAGAGTTATGAAATATTCCATGTCACTCTAAAGTTCTACACCACAAACAAACCTTACCTTAAGTTTAATCGAATGTTAAAGATCCAAAAATGATCAAATCTCAAAAGGGAAGATAAAACATTACCATTTGTACTTGAAAAAGTTTCAGACTGTTTCAGTTAAATCTCATAGGGTTTGAACCCATAACCTCCAGATGTGACACAGTTTGATGACAAATAGTTGATTGCATGATTATCTCCCTTGGACCACAATTCTGCAATGCAACTGTAACAAGCTAGACTTTGATTGTGATGAAGTTTCAAAAGGCAGCTCTCATGTACAAATGTAAAAATGTGATCTTGATTTAACTTGTAAAATCTGTAATACTTGTGATAATACTATGGACTTGAGAAATCAACACTTTAATGTCCGAAGTATCTCCTCACAAGAACACTTTAATGTGTGTTCCTGCCTTTTGTCACTTGATGAAATACAAAGTACATTTCAAACAAATTTGGAAGAAAATCATTTATCGAGGAACAACAATGATTTCTCTTTACGATACAGTAACATTCATCTGTCAAGATGCTTTCAAGTATAGATATATACAATCAGAAATGTTAATTATCTGTGGAAAAGTAACCCTTAGAAGAGTGTTTGGTCTGAAGAGCTGCCAGTTTGCTGATGTTAAAGCCACACATATATATTTTTCATTCCACAGGCCCACCGCCCCTACTGGAAAGCAGCCAGTGGAAGAAATTAATTACACATAGAAATATTAATTTTTCATTATTTCTCCTGCTTGTAATATAGACCCACTTATACAATAAATAAAATAAGTTTAGCAGGACCATGAGGGGCACATGGGTTTTTATGCATCTCTCGTTAAGATTTATACCACGAGCCGGACGTATAAAACCCCATGTACTCCTCGTGATCCTGCTACAGCGAATTTATCTTACCGACATGTTTTAATAAGACCTAATGAAATAATTCAAATAAATTCCAAATTGATAGAAAACAGCTGCTCGATTGAGCTGAGCTCATGTGACATCCATTGGCTTTTTGCTTTGAAGCGGGGTATAAAAGATTTATTCTGTCTCTCAGAAAAATGCATGTGCAGCATATAGAACTCATGGCGAGTTATAAGAGATTTATTCCCCCACTGAGAAATTTATTACCCTCCAAGGTGGGTTACATAGTATTTATCAAGATCAAGTGGACCAATCAGATCTCATCATATATGATAATGTTATATATAAATCCCATGTCTCTATCACTATCAGTGATTCAAGAGGCCACATGCAGTATCAACTCCACAGCAGAATATCTTTCATATAAATAAATAAATAAATAATTGACATTATGTGTCTCATTTTGACTGACCTTGTTCGGAAAAGCTGGAAACATCAAATTTAAAAAATGTGTCCAAAAGCAACAGTTACCCACAGGCAGACCCAGGGTAGCAGGGTTTAGTATGAAGAGTGAAAGGGTGTATGCAGGGGGTGAGTATACAACTTCCCCACTCCACCTTTCTCAGATACTCGACGGTGTCAGTCCCTACATGTTTCTGTCCATATTGAGTCTTAGTGTTCTAAATCCTGGATCCATCACTATTAACAATGAATAGAATACTTTTATCATCACAAGCTAAGATTCTAATAAAAGATTCATATTTCCAGTATTATCCCTAAATGATTGTTCTGTCTGAAGGGAGTCAATGTACGTACTGGCCCCACCACAGTTTCTGGACAGAGGTCAGTGTGTGAACGTCGTCAGTTATTTTGACCAAGTCCACGAAGCAGTCGTCATCCGTCTTCAGGACAAACCTGGCTTCAGCATGAGCGTACAACCTGCAAGAACAAACATACATGTTACACTGAAGTCACCAGTTGAGACTTCCATCTTGTGGAATAGTCTATTGGTTGAAGCATCTGTTCATCACAATGAAGATCTGGGTTTTGTCCCATACCCTAGTTCATGAGTCCCAGTCCATTCTTGGTGTCCCCTGCCATGATATTGATGGACTTTTGCTAATACCCATTCTAAATCACCATGCTCACATCAATTCCCAGCTCTCTGTTGGGTGTTGTATATTTGATGTAGTAAATGTTTTTAAGAAATAAATGACAAGTTGTTTATCATACCATAAAACAGTGCAAGGAGAATAAACCATAAGGGGTGCTGCCCCGAGTGGTTTATTCTCCCAGCAGTGTTTTATTGTATGATAAACAACTCGTCATTTATTTCTTATATGAGATATCAACATTTTGTACAGCCTTTTTAAGAAAGTCAATAAACTGTACAAAGCTTTAAAAACATTTACCCGTATTTAAATAATGATGACTCCCTGAATACAATCCAACCAATGTCGGTCAATTCCATGTCGTGTACAGGTGCGTTAAGTTTAGTATTCTCACAATTTTCATGTCGATTATCTGCACCTTTACTCCAAATACTGATTGTCATATCTCTCCCACGTTCGGCCACTGTGTTCATCTGCACTGTCCAGATACATCTATGGGGATCAACACAATAGACACTTCCCTCTAATAAATAACGTCGTCCTATTTACGAGCGCATGTTCGAATCTCCAGAAATGACATCACAATAGAGCAATGTTTTATCGTGAAATAAACCACACTTCGTTCTTCATTATTCTTTGTGATTTATTGCGTAGCTATCATATATAATATTATAATCAATCCCCCAACCCCAGTAGAAAGATCCAGGTAAATCCCTGCATGGTCAAATCCTGCATTTGACCCACTGACAGCACATCCTGGCATGGCTAGGTGCATCTAGACCCATGGAGGCTGGAGTAAGGAGCAATGTTTTAACAAACACTTACTTTTTTTATACAAATCGTGTGAATGGTGGGTGCTAAATGTAGGGCAGCACATGCTTACCCTTTCTGCCAACACCAGGTGTCAGCACTGATTTTCAGTGATCCATTCATATCATTTTAACTGCTATTTTTGTCTTTTACACCCGATGTAATCTGTTTCGGCAGATAATCAAGACTGGGTATTCTCTGGTGTTGATGTTTTATACTAAAATTTAAATCAATTTTTCTACCACTGTTCATAATTAGTTTGCCTGTCCCATGAGAGTTGGCATCACTGTTTTTGTGACAACGCACATGCTGATGCATGGTAAAGGTTATCTCTTTCAATTAGCTCTAGCAGGGAGTTCACGTTAAACTTGTTTAAGGTTTTTACACATTATTCAATCTTAGAAACAATTGATATCAGCAGGCTTCATCATCACTCAGACACACCTGTGACAGAAACCATGAGGACCATTGGGGCAGGATGAGTGAGTGAGTGAGTTGGGTTTAAGCCGCTTTTAACAGTATTCCAGTCATATCACGGCATGTCAGCTTAATGTGGGAGGAAAGCCCGAAGTGATGCAGGTCTCAGACGTTTACAACTTCGGTGAAACCCAAGAGCACGGGTATGGTGCTGACAAACCTAGAAACATAATCGGGGCGAACCGGGATTCGAACCCACAATCAAAGGTTTCTGGCGTGCCCAAGGGACGCAACTCTGCACAGCGAATCGTGGCGCCCTAGACAACTGGGCCACCCGTGCCCCCCTGGGGCAGGATCACTCACCATCAGGGTCTTACCTAGTCTGTCATACAGACCCTGAAACAAATATATCCATTACAGCCCATGCAAGACTATAATGTTTGGCAAGTCTAGATTACTGCAGAATCAGGAATTGAAGAAAATTTCTGGGCTCCTTTTTAATTATATTTTACAACTATAATTTAACAACAGTTTTTTCTGTAAAATATGTTCATTTCAGGGACTAGATGTTAGTCTAGGTCTCACCATCTGAGCCGCTTCTGAGTGAGCTCGACACAACAAGCATGAGATGTGGGGGCCTATTCTTCCTGGGAGTGTGAGAGTGACTATTGCTTTACGCCACTTTCAGCAATATTAAGTATAGGGAGATGCCAGAAATTAACTTCACACATTGAAACCATTTGAGCAATCAATCCCAGCAGGAAGATTTAATCAACAGGCTACCCCTCATTCTTTCCTGAAATCCCAAAAGGGGTCAAGATTTACATATTAAATGGATGAAGTATAAATGTGAATCAAACAGGTTGAGTTTTTGCAGGAAGCGTTTTCCTTATATTGGAACATTAGCAAGTCTTTTACTAGAACAGATTTTCTCAGAAGACAGCATAAAAACAGCACATATAAATGGTGAAAAACAGCCTAAAGTTCCAGCCTAAATTCTGAGGACCAACACAAAACCAACACTAAAATCCTAAAGACCTGAAGAAAACATGATGTCATCAAAACAAGAAATATACATGCCAAAGTTTACCTTCCCCAGTCTAACAATTTTAGCACAGAAAATGTTTGCAGAGCCTAAAAAACATTTGAGAGAATGATGGTCAAAAAAATACTGCATAAAACAGAACAATTGTCTTCAAAGCCACTAGTTACTATACATATATCAAATGTCATTACATTTAAAACAAAATTGGCACACTAATTAGTTTGTCAATATGGCTGCAAAGTCTATGTAGTTTGGACTTGTGTAAGACTGATCAAGACTGAGAAAGTACTTAAAAACTATCATTTCTCGCAAATTACTTTGAAAACTGAGGGTGTTTCAATTCTTTTTGGTAAGTGTCAAAAGGTTTATCAGCCAATTCAGAATTTTTATTGTTTTAATCAAAATTCTGCATTGCAATGTAAATTTAAGTGTCTTCAACGTTTGAAGTTGGTTCAAGGGCAGATGGTAAAAGTGAAAAGAACCATTCAATTTGTATCAGATCTGGTCGATATCTTAGCCACAAGAAGGTATTAATATAAATCCCTTTGAACATCTATCTTTGACAAAAAGTAGAGTAATAGAGCAACCCGATTATTCAAACGAAAGTAAAGATGTCCTTCATGAAAGATCAACAGACACACAACTATACACTCATGATAAGTCATCCTACTAAAATAACTGATACTACAAACTTCAATCAAGCACCTACTTGGTACTTTCAGGGAGTCTGTGGTCTTGGGACTTCAATAAGCACAAACGACTAACTCCTGAGAGCATCTCTTTAGCAATGATGTGCCAGGAATCCATTACAAAAATTACACTGCCATACATTCGACTTTGAAATGACTGTCCAATATTTGTAGTGTGTCTATTTGATCTGTGTAATTCACAGAGCTGTGCTCAAGAGACAAGGCAAAGAGGTCTTTATTTAGCTAGGTGTCAAATGATCAGCTTCTATGGCAAGTCACATACAACCATCAAGCCTTGGGACATCAAGCAAGTCATAGTTCGTTTATTGTTATAATGTAAAAATTCTATTACTGTAATTATTCAAATATAATACACCACTGAATAAACACATCTGACATCGTTTGGCAACTGAAAGCTGTTTTTATTGTATGTTTTAACAGACTATTTTGACAAAAATTAAAAGTATGTGCAGATTTCGGTTAATTGCAGGATTTGCAGAGCATGTGTGCAATTAACTGGGCATTGTCAGATGTTTTCCAAATCTTTTCATGTTTTTCATCAAGGTGCTCAAGTGATCTGATGTACTTCGCGAGGTAAGACCATTTTATTATTTTAAAGGTCTTGATTAATGATCAGATTGTCTTGACTGGGCATAGTCGCAAATGCAAGTGATATCAGAGATGAAATCTGATTGGTCAGTTGGTTGGAGGGACATAGAAGGGACTCAACTTGTAAGCGCCACTGGTGGCGCTACGATCGAACCCAGAAATTCCAGTCTAGTTTGGAAAGGGTGGAAACTGGAGTTATAACATCAGTTAACTCCCTTGTCTCGGGAAGATGTCTCCACATGACCAAAGAGGTGACAAGGTAGGGATGTCATCTGTATGATGATTCCACTCGCTGCTTCAAATGTCTTGGTTGGAATATTGCTAAAAGCAGCATAAAATCAAATTCCTTCACACACTCACACATGTTCACTAAGCTGTTATGAAATGTTGTCTATGTTGTGTCTTAACTTCAGAGGGGGCGGTCGGTAACCTTGTCGTTTAAGCGTTCGCTCGTTACGCCGAAGAAACTGGTTCGATTCCCGACATGGGTACAATGTGTGAAGCCCATTTCTGGTGTCCCCTGCCATGATATTGCTGGAATATTGCTAAAAGCAGCGTAAAACCATACTCACTCACTCACTCGATTCCCAACATGGGTTCAATGTGTGAAGCCCATTTCTGGTGTCCCCCACCGTGATAATGTTTGAATATTGCTAAAAGCACTGTGAAACCAAACCCATTCACTCACTTAACTTCCGAGCCATTTGAAACTCACAATTACATGATTACATGAATGACAATTACATGATGATGGAAAGAAATAGGAAAATAAAACAGTAAGGCTGGCAACAGTGATACTGTTGTCTTTACGTAAATATTTCATATAAACAAAAAAGGGATGTGGGTATCCCCTAGGCTAAAGCACTAACTTGTGATGCCAAAAATATGGTTTGATACTCCACATGGCTGGAGTCCTGCAGTGATATTGCTGAAATAACCCTTTTCACTCACTCAACAAATGAGTGAAATGTTTGTATCTGATGAATTATCACACCAGGGATTTACCCAGGATTTCTAACTAACTGCCACTGCCAGGCAATTTGGGAAAAAACATTATTTTGTTCAAAAAATTTCTAAGAGTTCAAATTTCTTAAATTTCGAGGCATTTTGAAATTGGAATAATATAAAATGGATCATTAAAATCTGTTCCCATTTGTTATAAGTGCATACAAGTTCGCTTCTACAAAGCCATACAGTTAGTTATAGTCATACCTATTAATACATTTTTTGTAACATGAAATGGGAAATGTTTTGTTC